GTAACTCCCAAACCACCGTGCTTGTATCTCCACGGCTCAAAAGAAACTACATCCAAGAATCTCTCATGACCATCTACAGGATTTCCATCCACCTCAATAGTCTCCATCTCCCATCCCACTTCCCCTTCAAACCAACCATGCTTAACCAAACCTCAACCATCCTCACCCCACACCCTCAAGTAAACCCAACCCCTCCTCCCCATCCTCCTATCCACCCTCCCCCTCGCCATATCCTCCCCCTCGCCCCCTCGCCCCCCGCCAAACAACAGAAACACCCTGTCAACACATCCATCCCCCCTTCATAACCACCACCTCATCAATCGCCTCGCCATCCCAGCAACAACATGCACCGACATCGAAGACTTCATATTCGTCTCTCCACGCTTAGTCGTACCTACCTTTATCTCCCTATCCTCTTACCCCTTAACCCCCTCATCTCCCCTATGCCTACCCTTTCCTCCCCTTTCCCTCCCCCTAACCCCCTATCCCTCGCACACCCACTACCCATCACCCCACCATCCCCTCATCTCCCCTATCCTCTCCTTCCCCCAGCCCATCCCTCTCCATCCACTCAACAGCTCATCCCCATCCTCAGCACCGCACTCCCTTTGGTGAGATCATCGAAGAAAATTTAAGTGCTATAGTATGTGAAGTAACGTTTGAGACGAGTCAGCGTTTTATACGTCGGGATTGCGGGTGTGCTAGTTAGTTATCGGCTGATTTTGTGACGGTTGACTCGGTGGGATGCTTTTTCACGGATGATTTTTCGGGGTTTTTTTGTGAGGAGGCTTGTTAGCTTGTTATTTTCTTTCGAATAGTGTTGGGAACTCGGTGGTCTGGTGTGTTTGGGCAGTGCTTCTATAAAATTAGATTATCGCTTGATGTAGAAAAATACTGAAGCCAAGATGAATTTGTGTAAAGGAAATAGATTAAATTAAATAAGACTTCAACCGCAACCGCAGGAGTCTCTTGAGAAAAAACTAAAAAGCAAACCCTCAAATCTAGCTCAACCACGTCTTCTGGTCGTAGGACTCTTTCCCTTTGGCGTAGCCGTGCTAGAACCCGCCGTCGAAGCCGGCAACGCAACCTTTGCCTTTCCACTCCCCTTGACGCTCTTCTTCTCCGGCGCATTCCAATAATAAGCCATCTGCGCTGCCAAAACAGCGTTCAAAATAAACCCGGCGACAAAACCGTAGAGGATGAGTTTATCATCAACCTCTTGTAGAGTCGTGAAAATTCGGGAGAGCGAGCCGAGGAGGTAGTTGAAAACCTAGGCAGATATTAGTCCACATTTAGCCAAATATACCACAACCCGATCTCCTCTATCGTAATCTGACCCTTTTCTCGGTCCACCATAATATTTCGCAAGCGAACTGAACCAAAAGATCACATCACAAGAAAAAGCTATACTCACAGCAAACGCGCTCAACTGCCCCGTCCCACCCTCCCTCCAAACCGCCAAAATCTGCGGAAGTTTACTCGCCACGCCCAGCACGCCCGCACCCGCCTGAAAATACCCCAAAGTAGGCATATCAACCACGTTCGGACTAAACAGCGCATACGCCGCCGCCGCCAGGCCCGCAACAAACACCGCACCCCCCGTCGCCTTCCCGCTATAATTCAGCACCAACACCGCAATAACGACATTCTGCGCCATGATCAGGCCCGTCTCGCCGAACGTGCTGAACGGGAAGCCCTGGCGCACGTTGTAGGCCAGGCCGATGAGGTACGCGGAGGTTTCGAGGAGGTAGGAGAGGAAGGAGATGCCGGAGGCGGATTTGGAGGAGAGGAGTTTGAGGATCTGTGGGATTTTGACGATGGAGGAGGCGGCGATGATGGCGATGCCGAGGCCCTTGGAGACGGCGAGTTTGAGGCAGGCTTGGTTGGTGAGGTCGATGTCCAGGAGGAGGGTTTGGTAGCATGTTTCGCCGATGAGGGAGATGCCGAGGTTGCGGATGGGGGTGGGGAGGTTGGTGGTTAGGGGTTGGAGGGCGCTGCGGAGGGTGTCCATGGTGATGGTGTTTTCTAGATGGAGTTGATGGAAAGGAAAGTTGCGCTGCGTTGGGAGATGGTTTGGAGAGGATGTTGTGAGAGTCAGCCTGGTGAAATTCGCTCCCTTGCTAAGGCGAGGCTCCGAATGACTTCACCTCGCTTGGCATCAGCATGTGTCCTTCACATGAACGACCATCAAATATGTTTTCCCACAGCATGAGAGAATGTCTGCATTAGCTTCGTATAGTATTATGCTCGAGAATATGACAAATTAATCTACAGGCCCAGGGTGCAACCGCAAAGCACGAAACTCCAGCGATGATATTGCTATTCTGCCAGCCAAGCGGTGCAAAAGCTCCTTTCCACGACCAAATCCGTGCTACATGGAGGAGCGATAGATATATCGATTGCCTTTCATCTACTCGTATCCACATGTATTAGATTGTGATGATGGGAGCTGATGGAAGAGCGACTACAGCCAACGATGCCTCGAAATCAGCAACATATCATCCCCCCATATCAAATTCAAAAGCAAGACTCATCGATCTCCATCATCAGCGAAAATCATCATGCCTGCAAAATATTCTCCTCATAAGCACTTCCTTCATATCGCGTCTTCCAAGGTTCTTCGCAGTCATCGTCCGTCATCCTCAGTCCGCAAATCGCTGACTCAAACAGCTCTCCCCGCCTACGTCTTATCCGGATTTTTCTCATCGAATTCCTGTATCTTATCCGTCGAATTCCTCAAATGTACCTCGGGCTCCCAAGTCTAATGATTCTACCTAACCCATTTGACCAGGTACCAGCGCTTGTTGCCCTTCTTTTTCGAGTCCAAGATCTCTTCGACCTCGTACTCAGGCGCTTCACTATTGAGCTCATCATTGAAAACAGTTTCTGGACCGGATCCTTGGGACGATGGTGTAGTTTGTGACTGTGGTGTGGTTAAAGCGATAACCTAGTGTGGAGATGATGAGTGTAAGAACTTACGGGTTTGGTAGGTGTAACGCGTTTCTTTTTGCGCGGGCCTATGAGCTTTGCCATTCCTTTCTTTTTCTCTAAACTATGTCAGTAAAGTTCTAGCCTGCAAGTAGGGAATCTTACAGGTGAGCTCTTCTTAACGCCCGCTCCAGTAACCGTCGTGCCTTTTGTCTTCGCTCCTGCAGCCGTCGCACTTTTCGTCTTTGCAGGTTTTGCTCGACCTTTACTCTTGAGAGGCGATGATGAAGATGCCGCTTTCTCCAAGGCCTTTTTCGCCGCAGCTTTTCTTGCTAAGAGCCGAGGAGGAAGTGTACTTTGATCCAGCACTCGAGAAGATCGACGCGCCATTTTGAAGATTGCTGGTGTTGAGAATGAGATCGACCTACCCACAAATTGTAACGCGCACTAACGCGTTAGTAAGTGCTCATATAGATATTTATAAGACTTGCGATCGGGATGCGAAGATTAGTTGTAGATGTTGAAGTTGAAGTAGAGGTGAATCCCTGCCTGAGGTGGAAGTGAATTAGTTCACCTATGGAAGGGACGACTGTTCAGCCTTGTCCCCAACCCTCACCTCCCGATTTATGTTTGCTTTTCTATTATGTTTGTTTCGTCCAATCTTTAACTTCGAATATGATATAATAAATTTATAAAGTCACCTGTTCACGTGTAATCACTATATAATTTATGGCTATCTCTCCTAGCACGAGGTACTTCCTCTTATTATATCGCTGGACACTTATACCTCACTAGCTACCGTGTGAATATTCAAGTCCTCATCTCTAAATCAGTAAGATTAAGAAAACTTGTTTCTTTTCTCAGAGATCTATATTCCTCTATTAACGATCTATGTTAAGATCGGATACTCTATCAAATTTAGAAAGGCTTCGAAGAATGAAAACAACTCAACTACATTTTGTTACCTCGACAGTAGGTTACTTGACCTAGATATATTCATGAGTTGATCAAGGTAAGGTTATCGGACTTTTGTGTTGAAACCCGCTCACTTTCCCCAGCAGCCACATCTGAAGCTGACATCTCAACAACATTCCAAGACAATTCGAGAATTTAAACATGTTAAATATTTCTCTACTTCGTATTACTCCTCCCCTTCAAAGGCGGTCTCTTCTTCGTCTTCACCTCCACACCCCCATCACCAGTCTTACTCCCACTCAACCCAAACTTCAGATTAAACCTGGTCCCCACCCCCATCGCCTCAAAACACACCCCATCCCTCGAAACATTAAACCCCATCTCCCCAAACCCGCCCGGCGGACCCAACGTCTCCATCATCTCATTCAACGCCGTCTTATCCACCACAACATTCCAATCCAACGTCCGCTGTCCATGCACAGGATCATTAACCTGTCGTCGTTCCAGACTGATTTCCTGGCCGCTGCGTAACACCTGCACCTGTCCGGCCCCAAACCCTTTTCCTTGGATGAAGTCCTGGATCCCTTCGAGCAGTTCCGACGCACGTACTTCGAGTTTCTGGCGTGCTTTGGAGGAGTCACGGGCTAGTTCGTCCCAAAACGGAAGGACGGTCTCGAGGATGAAATTCACAGCCTTGTGAATGAGCCATGTTGCTAACACTTTATACACGAATCGACCAGTCCCAGATCCACCCTCCACATTCGGCGTCGTTGGAAGTTCGCCATTTCCGGATATGACAGTTTGCGAGAATCTCAGAAGCAACCGACATAGAGCGCCCCCCAGCAAAAACGTGATCCAAAATGCCGTCCCAATAATACCCTTCTCAAACGACGTAAGCGGTCGATTCCTCGGATTCGTCTGATGAAAATGTTGTGCCTTGAGCAAAAAAACCTGCACTACCATCATCCAACCAGCTTCCACCAGATGATACACAAAGGAGCCCATTTCCTACCACTCCATCATAACCTTATCCAGTGCAGTCCCAAAAACCAAAAGCGAGAATAAGAGGAATGACAGAGCGAAGTTAATAGAATCAACTCAATGCAAAGCCGAATTTCATATGTAAGATTCTCACCTGCGTGCCTGCGGCACTTCGTCTACATTCTTATACACGACGTTGCGATCTCCAATCGGCATAACACGCTGACCGCCGCAACGGCGTGCGTTTTGCTCCGCCCGTTCCGAGGCCGCGCATACTCGCGCGAATGAAGTGAGATCCACTGTGCGGCACCGGGGCTTTTCTATGGACTCGCGAAGGTTGAGATGATATCAAGGATGTTTCCTTGTGAGGAGTTGGGGATGATTGTGCGAAAATGATGAGTGCAAGTGGGAGTTGCGCCCGATACGGTAAGCGAGTACGGCGGATACGCTGAACGAGTGCGAGGGTGCGAGGGTGCGGGTGTACGAGGTTCGGCATTTGGAGTTGGCGAGGATAACAGGTTCGCTGTTCGCTCAATTGGAGCGGAAATAGGGGAACACTTTGAAGAGTGTGAAGTTTTCTAGATTGAGGTAACTGAAAAGGAGTTTCAATTACGTGCTTTATTTGGGTTCTGGGAGATGGGAGAGTGAATGCTTGATTCACTAAAATGGATTGAAAACTGGTGTTCACTGAAGGGATTTTGGTAAAGAATCTTGTCTCTGGAGGAAATATGCGGAATGCGTGATAGAACAAGCTAGGATCAAATGTAGATTTACAAGAACATAAAAGATACTTGTTCTCTATCGTTACAACAGGACTTTACTTAGGGAATGTATAAGCGAGTCAAGTAAGGTATACATAAGAGTAAAAACATTCCTAACTGGCATTGAAGTAAACTAAATTTATACTACTAGAGTGTCTTTACTTCCTTATTCTTCTTTTACCGCAAGTTGTGATTTATATCTTTATGTTATTGAGTGGTGCTCGGTTATCTCCTATTTTCTAAGCGAGGCTTTGTACCCAGTAATAGTGTTTGTATTGATTTTATTGTGTTACATCTAATGGCATATGTCAAGGTTTTATTGTTCGCAGCTTTCAATGGTGGTAAGCTGATTTTCTTTGTTTAGTTTATTCTTTGCATGTTCTTGACTGTCCAAGAACTCAAACACAGTACCATACACAATTCGAGTCACCTCCAACGTCACGATAGATGTGAGATTAGAGACAGACAAGCACTTGTGACCAGTACATCTACCTGGCTAGGAACGGATTTCCACATGCTAATTAGAATGAATATGCATTGTTTGAGGTTGTAATCAAGACGAATCATCAGTGAAAATGAACTGAATGCCTACTGAATTAAGTCCTCTAAACAAGATGAATTATCGACGCAAACAGTCAAAAGATATCCAACACCTAAACCTGAACGCAAAGATGTATCTGATTTCTTTCCTTCTATTTTTCCGTGGCTGGAGCACCCCCAACCATGAACTCCATCTTCGAAGAGTCCGCCATCCCTGACTGGGACCCCCTCGACGACGACCCAACCTGTCCCATCTGCCTCGAACACTACTCCCACAAACACGTCCGACTCCGCCTCGACACCTGCCAACACTCCCTCTGCCGCGAATGTTTCGCCGAACTCCTCCGCGCCGCCGACACCAAAGACGAAGAACGCCTGATCCGCTGTCCATTCTGCCGCAAATTCATGAACATCACCATCAAATTCGACAACGACATCTTCAAGCACCTAAAGTTACGGACATTGCCACTGGTATTCCATTCTGATTTCGACACGCTTCCGGATCAGACGTTCGCTCTCTATCGGCCCCCAAGTCGAGGATTCTCGCACGCGCTGCCGAACTCGGGGGTTTTTGGGAATGTTGGGTCGAGGGGTGTGCAGTTGCAGGATTTTGCGACTGTGGAGATACGACAGACGGGGAATTTTACGTCGACGATGTTGACGCGCGAGATGAGTGTTCAGTACTGTGATCCGCTGTTTTTGGAGGAGACGAATATCTACGACCATGACATCGAGCCGAGACTGAAGCGCTTGCTGAAGTTGCTTAAACGTGCTGTTCCTATTAAGAAAGGGGTTGGGCCGAGGAAGATTGAGAGAGTGCCGGATTTGCAGGTCGTGTGTTCGTCGAAGGAGAAGCGGAATATTGATGGGTCGCCGACTTGGTACGATGTCACGCTCTCACAGACTTTCGAGTCGATGCGAGGGACCTCGAGAAGTGGAAACGAGGTTGTACTTGCGAGATGGGTGACGGTGGTTAATGAATTCTGCAACTACGGCACGCCGAAAGGAAGGACAAGAGCATCTATGGCTACAGAGCCCTTGGCAAACTGGAAACACTTGTTCCGAGCACAGATGGAGATTCAGCGAGTGATAGCGGCAGCACGTCGGATAGATCATCCATCGAACTTCGAATGGCATTTTGACGCACTACTCACCGATTTCGGGATCATCACCTCAAAAACGCGAATTGCGCTTGATCCGCGAAAGGATTATCTCGACATTCTATACGAGTATGGAAAGTTTACGTACTACCTCTCCCTTGCGAAGCAGCGATTGCCTGGGATCTTGTGTAAAAGATACACGGACTTTGTGAGATTCAAAACTACGAGGAAGTCCCCGTGGCCGGCTGTGGCGAAGTTTGGGGCTATGAAGGGTGGGACTGCTTGGTTTAAGTATGTTGAGCAGGTTATCAGAACGAGCTTTTAGGCGATGGTATGCCAGAGAATAAATTTTTAGTGGGGTAAATATAATATCTAGCTCTTAGGGGCCTGGGAGAGCTTGTATATGTAACCGAAAAAATACTACCTCGATTCACTGTAAATAAATTCCAACCATCCACTCAATTTGGGTCTCAGCTTTCTGCTTCCATGATCTACACCGAACTATTTTACTTTGTTCTATTAGAGTGCATCCTTAAAGACCCGAGTGTCGGAAGATTGAGTGTCCGCTAGCTGTAACCAAAAACTAGTTTTTCTTTTTGGCTGTTGACCGTTGTAATCCCAGCAAGCCCAAAAAAACCATCCATTGTTTCAAGGTCTTATCTTGTAGTCAGCAAGAACATGTGCTGTACACAATAGAATGAATGCTACCTCCTTCAGGTTTCTGATTTTACACATATTTCGTTGTTTTTATGCACAGTGAACTAGCAACCCAATATTTACTAAAACCTCAAGAGCAGATTTTTTAAACGCAAGTTCCTGCAACACTTGCAGTCGCATTCTTGATATACGGCGCCAAAACACTCTTCGAGCACAACGCAGCCTTAACAAACTGTCCAGCCACCGACTCAGCACCCGCCGGGCTCGTGTGCGTGTGATCCACAGGGTAGAAAGCCGTCGTCTTAGCCGCACCCAATGCAATGTATCTATTTGCAACGTATTGACCATGATCAATAAATGAAGAAACCGTCGTCCCAACATTCTTCACGACGATCTTGCAGTAATCTGTGAATCTGCTTGGCGTGTAGGAGCATGTACCTGTCTCGCATACATTGTTTGGCGTTGGTGAGCTGAGGATCACATGTGCTCCCTTTGCAGTCATCAATTTTGCTGCGCGGGTGAGGTATGTTGGATATGTCTGGACGACTACACCTGCTGGTGTGGTGCAAGTCTCAGATCCGGAGCCCCCACAATCTGTTCTTCCATTGTCTGTGGTGGATAGTGACCCTCCGTCATTGTGGCCAAATTCGATGATAACAATGTCTCCAGAAACAACTTTTGCTGCAAGTGCAGTAAAGCGTCCTTCATCCGTATATGAACGTGCGGATCTCCCTCCAATAGCGGCGTTGACGACTGTTACTCCTTTGAGAGAGTATGGGAGGTATACACCCCAGCCTCGTTGCCGTTAGTTAAGAAAACAAGAAGTTAGGACTTTGTAAGCATACCTTCAGTTTGAGCACCACCGCCACCTTTCGCCATAGTCGAATCGCCTGCTAAGTAGACTGTCGGCGTTGCACGTGCTTCCAGTCTCTCATCGGTAGGAGCAGCGGCTGCAACGGTGGCCAAAGCCAAGATTGAAGAGGTAAATGGAGGCTTCATAGTTTTCTATGAATGAGTTTTGCGTTGAATGACTGGGAAAGAAGAATTTGCTGTAGTATTTACTGAATTGAGATACTAAAACAAGGCAAAACTATCGCAATGCAAAACGGAAGACACAGAAATATTAATATATACATACCAATGCACAATCAAAAAGAGACAATGGAAGAATTAAACCACCCACAAGATCCATCGTGACACTTTAACCCGAAACCACCTCATCACCTGTTTCTTCCATCTTCAAAAAAAACCACCTCTTCATCCCCACCAATAAACACCCATAATATCCGTCGATCAAAGCATGTCGGTGCGTACCTTAATATGTACTGTACCTTATAACCACCGTCATATAGCAAATGGCGGAGAAGTGGATATTCCGGCGGCTGAAAGGATGGCAGATGAAATGCTTATTGGCGGAATTTAAGAAAGCTTGGCTGTTGCTTTTGAGATTGAGTTGAGATGAGGGGTCTTGGGCTTCGGTATTTGTGAGCGATTAGTGCCTTTGGGGATGTACCGGTGCGGGGAGGTCGGGGATAGGAACGTTGATGGGGATTTGCTCGTGAAGTTGTCGAATCTTGAATTGGAAGGAGGAAGATGATGGGCGGAGCGGACCCGGGAGATCTTCGGGTCTTTGCTCCGGGAATTGTCTCGATGAAATTATGAAATTTTCCATACGAAATGTTTCATCCTCTGCACATTATTCTCCAAGAGATGTTTGCAAGCACTTTATTTCATTGTACGTATTGCTTATCACGCGTTTTCTTACAATTAAGTCCAGCCGACTAGTTCTTCAAAGCTGTCTGGATGAATTCTCAAACAGATTTCGAAAATTCCAACTATTGTCAACACTTCCAGATTCCATGCGTTTTGGAAGTCCGTCCATAGACGCTTTGTTGTCGATGACAATTGCTCATTTGGTTCAGAGATTGCTGTATCATTCGTCTAGGAGCAGATCTTCTCGTTATTTGCAGGCTCGACTGTCGTGACTTTACAATTACGCATGACTTCAACTTGAAAAAGTTCGCCGAAACATGCAGATGACATGACGATTCTGGATAAAAGCAAACCATTTCTAGATTCCCAAAACATCAGCAGACATTGAAGAGTACAAGTCGTATTTCAGATTCGAAGGTACAGAAAACTATTCCTATCGTTAACGAACGCTCGAGCGAAACCACGGAGTGTCAGCCGGATGCGGGATTTGCATCATGAATCTTTCGCATTTTATGAGCAATGACTTCTTTTCGAGAGGATTAGTTTGCGTAGGTATCGCTGGAAGTCCACGGGGAAGCAATTAATCCATTGTTGATCCGTGATGGAGACGACCTGTACAAAAATACCTAATCAGTGTCTCCTTCCACCAACTAAGTCAGCACCCCTCAATCATTTCTATAATAAATCCACTCTTGGATAGAAGCTCCGAGTCGCAACGTTGTAAAAGTTTGTTCCATGAATATCTGCTTCATATGCAGTGGGACTCTATTGCGAAGAAACCTGTGAGTCTTCATGGCAGGAGTTGGAACATACAAGTCGGCTCATGAAGCAAAATTACATGCTTACTTGCTGAATCCGACTCAATACACAGTTAAGTACTAGCTGGTGTCTTTTTTGTTGGTAATCAGACTTTTTTACACTTCAAGGCAAGTCTCCACTCCACGCCCTTCAAGTGGGGTTATTTTGTTGTTGATCGAGAAGTGCCCTAATAATTATCAAGTTTATTTTCATCAAGTGCTGTAAAGACCTTGGACAAAGAGTACTCTAGGTGGCAGCAGTATTTTGCACAAAAGAAAATTGATTATCGAATCTCCAAAAACAGAAAAGGTTGTCGGTGCGCATTAATTGGTCGCAAAAGGCTTGACCCCCATTCTGAGTCACAGCAACTTTACCTGCATTCCGCGAAGTCAAGACAATCCTCAAAGATCATTTTCGAATAATCTATTGTCTTTGTACTGCGCATCATCTCAGTCATTGTCTATTGTGTCACCACAACTTATTCCTGGACACTAGACTCTCAATTCTCTAGCTTTCATCGCAGCGAGCCATTATGCTTTCCACGCGAGGTCAAAAGAATGCGAGATCCGATGCGATGGCGAGTTACAACAACAAACAGAAAGAGCCATATCATAAAGCAACCAACCCTACAGGCGAAGTTAACTTTGCCAATGCAGTCAATGTCAGTAAGAGTGGAAGAAACCATTTAAGAAATGGACAGCTAACACGAGATGTAGTATCTCATAAAAGATGACATTATGAATTTCATGCGCGAGCAGAAGGTCAGTTTCCTACTCCTAAACAAAGTGTAGAGTGCTGAATTATGGAATCAGAATTTGATCGAGCCAGTACATCTCACCTACAATGACGGACCAGCTGGAAGTTTCCGTCTTCGCAACGCAATGGCCACACATATCAACGAAACATTTAATCCTACCTTTGAAGTCACGAGCGAGCATGTTACTTTCGCCCCTGGGATTACAGCGTTGAACGAGATGGTTGCGAAGAATTTGGCGGATGATGGTGATGCGTGGTTGTTGGGTATGCCTTGTTATGGGGCTTTCAATTATGATCTGAAGATGACAACCGGGTAAGTGAGATGGACAAGTCGAGCTGTTCGGAAAATTGATGCTGCCTAGATGTGATATTGTGCATGTAACTTTTGGGGAAGTCGATCAGTTTGGTTTGTGTGCTGTTGAAAAGTATGAGGCAGCTTTGATCTCCGCGCGAAAGGCAGGCTCTAGGGTCAAGGGACTAGTACTTTGCAATCCGCATAATCCTCTAGGTAGGTACATTCAAGATGTACGACTTGCCAACATATTAAACGCTGATAGGACACTGCTACCCGGTTGAAACACTCAAGGCGTTATTGAAGTTTTGCGATAAGCACAAACTTCATCTTATAAGTGACGAGATATATGCCTTGTCTGTTTTCAAGACAACCGACGCTGTACAGCCTGCTCCCTTTACGTCAGTGCTGTCAATTGATCCAACGGATCTGATTGATGCGAATTATGTTCACGCTTTGTACGGCATGTCGAAAGTACTGAGTCCAGATGTTGATTTCTTATCCATAACATAGAGCTGACGGATTTCATGAAACAGGATTTCGGTGCACCTGGTCTAAGATTGGGATGTCTTATTACGAGAAACCAAGAGTTGACAAATGCTACGCGTGCTATAGGGTAAGTCTCTTGTCATTCTCGCCATTGACTAATCCTCAGCACCAACAGACGGTTTCATTGGCCCTCTGAAATGTCGTCTGCAGTGACCATACGAATCTTAGAGGACCGAACCTTCGCAACCGAGCTTTTGGAAAGAGGCAGGAAAATGCTAGCAGAGAGTTATGCGTTAGCCACAGATATTCTCAATAACGCAGGCATCAAGTATTACAAAGGAGGGTGAGTATGTCATAAATCTTCTTCGAAGATCCACACTGACCCCTGCAAAGAAACGCAGGATTGTTCATCTGGATGGATCTTTCTCCATTTCTGGGTACTCCAACCAAAGAAAAAGACGGATGGGCTCTTGAGAAGGACTTGAATACCCGTCTTTCAAAAGCCGGCGTGCTTATGTCGAGTGGTGCTCCGTATCACAATGAGACACCAGGATGGTTCCGTTTGGTATTCTCGCGGGAGAAGGATTTGGTGGAGGAAGGATTGAGGAGGTGAGTGCCGCACTACCAGATTTTCAAATCAATTAGCTGACCTCCATAGGGTGATTGAGGTAGTTAAAGACATGAAGAATACCTCATCGGGTGTTATGAGGCTAGACTTGGAGTTTGAAGTCTGAAATTGTGTTCCAGGGGTCTCAAAAACGCTAGTTCCCCTACCCGGTTTCTAATGCGCCTCGACCTGTTTGAGGATGATTATATTGCACTTATCATATGGAATTTATACCGTTCTACGCACATTCGTGTTCTTGAGGCAGTAGTTTGATGAAAGCTGCGGGGAATTGATCTCCCTGCCGATTTCACCATATTCCCCACGTATTCGCAATTCCCAAATTTGATCTACCTTTTATTTCACATCATTCATCAAATATATCTCGCCTCCACGAACATCGATGTTTTTGATACACATTACCACGAAGACCTTTGTGTTTATCGCCAGTCTCAAAGTTGAACAGCGACAAATATATCGAACACAATATCCAGCAGGCCTCATCCCTAGCACAAAGTCCACTACTAAATCCATCCGTCTCAAGATATTTGGCCTGCTGAGACATCACAGAATATTAGAAAAGAGATTTGAGCTCAAAGATGTGAAAGCGATCAAATTTCACGAGAGGTTAGGCGCGTTCATCTGCAAATTCATGTCATGCTCGACCAAGTGTTCAAATTTAATTCAGAGATGTACACCGGATTAAGTTTGACTCTCCACATAATTTGTTTTTCAGTTCATAAATACATGCACCTCAGTCTGACTATATACAGAATCGCCAATACTCTTACTTTGTAGAGTAAGTCGAGTCGATCTCTCCCCATTTCACCTGGCTGAAGACCACTGAAGGATCAGGTTGGATCTGTTTGATCACCTCTGGATTTCCCTCAGTGGCGTTACATGGCCCAGTGTTACCACTGTCTAGCCAGTTCATAAATCCTCCAACATCCCACCACACACTGAAAATCAAAACCATTCCTCGGCTCAACGCTTCACCCATCCCAGGAATACCACCGAGTTTCATGAAGGTTCCTCCACCAGGTCTTGAGCAGTATGCGTCGTTCAATTCATCAAAAGCCACGGAATCATCAACCATCAGAGCAGCATTCTGAATGACCTTACCATCTTGGACATAGAGACGGCGGATCGCATACAGGGTTCCGTTCTCGTTTGCTGGGAATTGCGTCGTAACGGTGAAAGGTCTGCTTGTATCGACCTTTAGTCCTGGACCGTAATAGTCCTTGTTGCCAAGTGCATATGGATTATAACTGCAACCCCATTTATCGCACACGCCGTCGAACTCGCACTCAGCTCCACTGCATTTGTACAAACTGGTCTGGTTGCAAGTGTGTGGTGCGATGGATGTGGCTGCAAGATTCGCTTCCCAGATATCCATCTCGTTGCAACACAGACCTTGTGCTTTGAGGTTTGCCTACATATCATCAGCTTATTATCGTATGCTCATTGATGGCTTAACATACCACTCCGTTCACAAATGGCTTGCCATAACATTGTGCATCACAGTATCCTGTTCCACTAATTTGGAGTGTTAGAACTGCACAAACCAGGTTGCTGCTTGTGTCGCATGAACGAATGACTTACTATGCAGCACCACCGGTGTTTAATTCACTCTTTCCACCATCCGCCTCCATCTCACTCAGATAGAGTGCACCATTCATCCCACATGGTAACTTGCTCATATCAACATCAAACGAAAGCTCCCCTCCAGTCAACTTGAGCATATCGTATTTCTCCCCCGCCTCATCCAAGAGGTAAACTCTTGGGCTTACTGTCCTACCATCAAGCAATTGTTTTAGCAACAAACTTGAACCGTCAGTCGAGACACCATATTTGGTATAATCACTGATACCCTCCATGATGCAGTTTTGTGCACATGTCGCTTCGTCTGGACAAACTGTTGCATTTGGTGGACCATCTCCATCCCCACAATTCAATGTTGGATTGTCTTTCTGATAGATCGGATGCGTCATTGAGTCCAAAACCAACTGACTATTTTTTGCAACACAACCACCAGCTTTCGTACATTCCCATGTCTGAAGCTTTGGATGCACTTCTGGTGTTGTTCCAGGAGTTTGGGCTATCGCTAGACCCAACAACGCAGCGAGAATAGGGAGTGAGCGTGACATATCGATTGATACCCAGAGAAGATAGTTTTGCATTTCAAAAACTCAAAACAGAGGAAATCCCTCCTCAAATACCCCAAATCTTCAAATCTCCCATGACGATCCGGACATGCACACTCCGACCCAATTCACCTCACGGCCCGACCAGCCTCTCCAACCATCATCTGATTCGCAAAAGCTGTTCCCACGAAATTCTGTAACTGGGGTACGGCGGGGAACTTCCCTCGGCTCGACTCCATTTATCCAGAGTTTCTGGGGAGAGGCTCGGCAGTTTTAATATAATCTGGGGTTTCCAAGGGGGGTAAAATGCTCGGGTTCGCGTGGCGGCTATTTTGGTAGAGTGGATTCGAGGGTGCGATTCGGAATGCATCCGTGAGGTGGCTTGGGTTTTGGTCACGATCGAGTGGGATGTATCTTTGGGTGCGCTTATACGAGTGGTGTAGTGAATATCTACAAGGAATTATCCCCCGCCATCGTCCCCTTGTGGCGTTAAATTTGATTGCCCAAGACAATCGATTTAGCTTTGCGTTTTCATCTATTTCCCACCAAGTCACTTTCGCTTCGTACTTTCGACTTATTTTTGAAAATTTTCTGGAGTATTAACGATACTTGAGATTGAGTTACTCGCTTATCGTTGCTCTTGGGAAAGAACATATTAGATTGAGCCGAATAACTTATTACATGGGACCATTCAATCTTAACAAAGGTTATAAAGGGCAGCCTCAGAACCATTGCTCTAATTATATAAGACGTATAACATGTTACCTATTGATTGCATGGGGGGTCAGTATTAATCAATCCACCGTGTTCGCTCATCTTAAGAGATCTATAGAAGAAATAAAATACGAAACTTTAGCCGGAAAACTGCATTAGAAAATACATAGGGAGTATCACATATCTTCCTAAAATATCCACACCCACACACTCTTTCTGGAGAATAGATAATTTTGGTGTTTTGTGTCAATGTCCTTTGAATATATTGTTAAATAATGCGTAACAGCAACTATTTCTCTCCCGTTTAGCCTCAACTTTAGAGAAATGTATCATGGTTGATTTATAAAGTCTAACATACTAGTGTTCGTTGACGAATTCGTTTGGCTAATTACATAGTTAGTGAATAAACAATCTGGGTTCACTAGCTATAGTTTTTCTACTACGACGACATTTCTCATCCACTACCAGCTAATGAGATAAACGTTATATACATCAATCGGATACCTGTCTTCTGAATGGCTTTTAAATTGGTACACTTCACTTACATGTGCACACGAGAGATCATTTGACATAAGATGGAATTAAAACATTGTATTGTCTAAGAACTTTTAAGAACGGGATGAAAGAGGTGAGTTGCCATTTGCTTCTAATCAGAAATTAAAAGGGTAACAGCAAAACTATCGATAGCTACGAGTACATAGTATCCACCAGTAACTCCAAACTACTCGCGAATTACTTTCTCAAAGAAAAGAGCTCATATGATTAACCACTAAGGCCCATCTTATTACCGTCTCCCTCCTCAATCATCTTATAAGATTACTCCCTGTCTTGAAATTTAAGCACACTTCTTATTAAAACACCTGCACTACAAAGTGTACGAATCTGCATCCAAAACTAATTCAAAAGAAGAGAGACCTGTTCGATGGTTCTCTACTCTATAACAGACTCCCTATATCCACATCAACTATGAAAACCCCCTCTCCCCCATCCACCGTTAAACTTCAAACCTTGAAGACATCGAAATAACTAGTCGCACCCAACTGCCTAACAACGCCCCCACCAGGAATGAAAACACCATTCCCGACCCCAACCCCCGCCGTCCCATGCCGCGGGACCCTCATCGGCGTCATCTTCGTCCAAACATCCCTCTTCGTATCATACGCCTCCGTCTGATTGAAGACCCCACTAACAGCATCCACGTTCCCCTCGCCGCCAACCGCAACAATCACATCCCCCACAACACCAACCGCCAGTCCACCTTTACGCGTAGGCATGCGCGCCTTTCTGGTCTTCCAAATGAGCGGGGAGCACGTAACGTCGAGCGCGAAGACTGTATCCCTCATGCCCTCAGGTGTGCCGTTGATGCGACCGCCCACGACGTAGAAGACGCCATCGATAAGCGCGCCACCTGCGTGATCTCGTTTCTCCGGGAGTGGAGGCAGAGAGGTCCAGGCTCCCGTTCTGGTGTTATACGAAGACGTGATATCGAGTGTTTCCTGGCCTTCGATGCCGAGCCGCGAGAGGCCGCCCCCGACGTATATAGTATCGCCGTGAACGCCCACGGCCGCAGCGCCACGAGCGGTGCCGATAGGCATGTTACCGAGTGATTTCCAGGTGTGTGTGGCGGGGTTGTAGACGTAGCAGTCGCCTGCTGCGAGCCAGTTTGGCCATTGGCCTGGACCGACTGCTAGGCCTCCTAAGACGTAGATTTTACCGTTGACGACGGCGGTGTTGGGGTGATTGAGGGCTTTGGGGAGAGGGGCTTCGAGGGTCCATGTTTGGTGGGGGATGGAGTAGGATTGCACGATGGGGGTGGTTGGATCGGCTGTGGAGTTGGCGATTGGTGCTATGCCGCCTACTATGTAGATTGTGTTGCCAATTGCTACGGTAGAGTGTTCTTGTCGGTCGAAGAGGGTGATGTTGGGGAGTTGTGTCCATGTTCCTCCTGATCTTGGAGGGGCGATGGTACCAGCTGTGATAGATCCAGCAAAGACGACGAGAAGGGCTGTTGTTAATTTCATTTTGACTGTTGTGCTGAGGTCTTTTTGAATCTCAAGGTGGAATGGAACTGGCAGATATTTTCCTGGACATTGTCGACGCCTTATATAACAATTCCACTGTCCTTCGCAGTAATGTTTTGAAGTGCATGTCGACCTCCAATAATCGTCATGTTCCTCTTTCGATCGAGACGCGAAGCTCTAGGGCTGAAAGTCAGACTGCGCCGCGTCGGCGCACAAGCGAAGCCCCAAATGTTACTATCCAAAAGTCCATTGTCCGAACCATGTCGATAATTTTTACTCTCTTTTGAAAATTGAGTGGACAGGAGCTGTTATTTGTACCAGATTAAAGACAAATCCGGATGCCCGAAGGCGCGAGCGTTCAATTGAAAGGCCGAAGTTGAGAGCGAAGAGCGAGCAAGTCTTGATCGAGCGTGGCGTAGGCAGTTTTTGGCAAAAGATCTGCTACATGATCTTTTGTTGAATGGACAATAACAGTATCTAGAATGCACGGGGGAGATCTTATTCAGGCACCAAAGTTACGCCTCGTAGTAGCTTGCCTCGTATTTCCCTTTTCTCGTTCATAGCCTTCTTTGCAGCCAAGTGCATGGATTCCCGTTAACCAAAGGAACCTATTCATTCCGATGTCCAAATAGACAGCGGATATAGAACAAAACTCGGATGTAGAACATGTTGTTAGATGAATGTCAAGTAGCGATTCCAAGTGTACGATCATGCATCTCACAGACAGACTATGAAACATAAGTCTGACGAACAAATGCACACCAACTCCGAAATTGACTGGAGTAATATTTTCGCCACTTGGACTGATGCGTTTGGGGGTTTAGACATCGATGGTATATTTGAACGTATTTTGGCAAACGAGGACGAAGCCGGCACCGATGTAACCAGCGCCAATAACACTCACGGCAGAGCACATCGACACCAGCGTCTCACCAAAACGAAACGCCCACCTGAGATAAAGACAGCTCAAGCGCAGTAGGCAAGCACCTTGTTCACCTCTTTGCGAGCTTGTTCGAGGCTTATCTAGTGGCTTGAAATAAAATGGTGCGAGTATATCCTGAATGGCAACGAATTTGCCTAGAACAGGACTAGAAATACGAAGGCCGAGCGTATACGCCTATGGCCGAGGTATACATGTTGCCTTTGGGCGATATTGGTTACGGAAACTCTAGTATTTCTGGTGAGCATTAGAATAGCTTATTAAGCTTTCACTCAAGACCGACAAAGAATGGGCTTTTCACCCCGATTTACGACCAGATAGCCAGGAGACGACCCAGCTATAAGTGGCAAGACCACCGGCTGCTCTCTCGCTCGTCTGGACCTTAACTGCACTCTTCGGCTCTGTATTTTCAGGACTCGGCACACCACTCTGGTCAGGTGAATGCTTCTCCGGGGCAGGGATATTCAGACTCGAGTGAATCATAGAGACCAGCTCCCTCGACTCGCTTGCAAGAGAAGGAGGCATCTTATGCACAATCGCCAACGGCCTTCTTCGTTGCTGGCCATAATGCAGTTTACTCAATGCCGCACAGTCGGCTCCGTGGTCAAGGAACACCTTCATAATCGCACACCACTTCCTAGCATCTGTCATCCATTGCCGCCCTCTAAAGGTATTCTGATCCCAAAGCTCCTCATCAAACTCATATCTCGAAATATGTGACAGAAACCCAGTCAAGACCTCTTCCCAAGGCGAAGATCCTTCGTATGCGAAATTCGGATCCGCACCTGCTGTCAGAGTTCTTTCCACAATAGCCAGATCAGGCACTTGAGATTCGCCAAAACCTCTTGGCCGAGAATAAATAGTTACGTTGTGCATCAACATATGATGGTTGACATCGTGATCGACCATCACTCCAGTTTGATCTTTATGAGCTATGTAGTGGTTCAAGCCTAGTGCTTTGGCGAGGTCATAAAAGGGAATTCCACGACGGTAAGATCGCACTTCTGGTAGTTGGATTCCGTAGGTCCAGTGCCTCAACACTCGAGTTTCTTCTTCGAATTTTTCAAAATTGGGCATGTCTCGACTTCTGAGTGCGATCTCGATCCGATGACTAGCTTTTGTCGGCTGTGAGGAAGCAGGCTGTAGGATATCCTTACTAGGCGGCGCTGTACTGCGGTCTACTTTTTCCGAAGTATCCTGGTATTTGTATTCTCGAGACATTTCATTACTCGACCGACAATCGAAATAGTGGTCAGACTCGTTTTCGGACTCCGCCAGAAGCTCAGAAGTAAAGTGCGACTGTCTAATTCCGGAAGTCCTAGGCTTCCTGGACTGTATGCTTTCTCTATGATGATCAAGAACTGCATTCGTGCTTCTACCGTCACAAACTCTCCACTGATAAGTTGCCGCAGCATCCAGTTGATCCAATAACACAGGAAATCCAGTTCCAAGGTCGGCTTCTGCTTGTTGAGCGAATCGGAGAGCATTTCTGAGAATTGACATGTCCAGGGGTGTCTGGTGATTTCCTTTGAACGCTTTGAGCTGCAAAACGCAAGAGCGCAGTAAACACATATGAGGGCTAAAATCACTATCCTTGGTATGCCTGGTAATATTCTGCCACACCGTAGGCTTCTTGAAGAAATCAGAAACGGTACGATGAAGACACACGACTCGTGCGTCTGGCGCGGTATTGCTGTATTTCGAATCATATGATTCGAGAAGTCCAGAACATACACTTTTGAGCCGGGTATCCATAAGTTTACAGCGAGCGATAATCTCATCCTCGGACAGTGGTCGCATTGTGGCGTTCATAGCAAACGACTCGTCCTCTTCTTCTGCCCATGAAAGCTGAAGTAATGTGATTTGGTGATTGACTGATTCTTTCTGGGCAATCAAAACTATTTGGAATATTTGCGATGCCTGTTCTAGGTAGAATGGATCCATTTTTTCGAGCATGTGCTCATACAATGCCTCCAGATCTGCAGGGAGATGTCGCAGACGTTTCTGAAGATCAGAAATTCTGTTTCGATCACGAAGGCCCTGGAGAAGCGATTTGACAACCAATTTGACCCACAGGAAAACTCCATCAGCTTTGTTGACAATTTCGCCAACGAGACGTACCGCTTGGTCTGGGCTTTTAGATGTCAGGGCTGCCATATGCCGGTGATTTGCTAGGTTATCTTCAACATATTGGCTTATATCTCCGTGGGTCAGGTTCTGCAGTTTGAGGCCTGGGAATTTGTCAAAGGCCTCTTCAAAAACAACCAAAGGACGACTTGAAATGCACATTTTCATATTAGGTTCGTTCGAAAAACCTGTGAAATAATCTGCAATCTCATCGTGGTCGCCATCGTATTCGTCCAGACCATCAATGATGAAGCAAAGCTTAATGCTGTTTTGCCGGCAATGGTCGACGAGATTGCGAAAGGCACGTTTTAGTTGCGACAAACTCCAGACCTTCATCTCTGGCACTATTAATGAAGCTTTGGCGGATCCCGTACCAAATTTCAAAGCTGTTTTGACCTTCGCTGACCACGCCGCCCAAGCGGTAGGGAATACCTTGGGAATAAGCTCCCGATGGGTTTGTAGAGTCTCGAAGAGGAGGGTTCGTAGAAGTCCACGCTGGGATCGCTGTTCTTCACTACCGCTGTTCCAGAAAAAGAAACCTGTGATATCAAATGGCGAAAAGCCCGCCCATTGTGCAAGTTCAAGTCTTGTCTGACGATGGTTGTAAATGTATTTCATCAAGGTCGATTTACCGCTACCAGCTTTACCTGACACCCAATATAGTCCATTGTCGTGTCGTAACCACTCAACAAAATTACTCCATCCTCGATCTTTGATCGAGGCATCCTTGAACACCCATTCAAAGGTTTGATTGTGGGCAATTTCAAGGTCTTCGTGACGATCTCTGATAGTTGCGAAATCCAAATTCGCAAGGATGGAGTTCTCGACAATGATCAAAGTCATTTGCTCCTGGACTAACGTTTCTGTAGCAGAATTTCGTCCACGTATGAGAGCGTTCTCCTCTCCTTCATTGTCTTGATAGTCCAAGGTCTGTAGCGTGCCATGTTTTGCCAACCTCACTTCGCTCTTATCCCCTTGAAGTCGTGCCAGTAGTCCTGCTTGTCTTTGTAACTCGGTAGCAAATTCGTCTCGAACACTGAGAAAGGTATTTATTATTGATTGAGTGGATTCGGTCAATTGATGGGAGGTTTGGGCTTGACGGGTAGCAACGCTCTTTATGGTCTCCCTGACGAGTATTAGCACTAAAAAGGACGTGGGAGAAAGTACAAAAACCTAAAGTTCAAGAGCACTCTAAATTCAATCTCTGAGCGGATTTCAGACAATTGATTTGCCAAGGTGTCCATTTCCTCACGACCCCAAGTTGCTCGAAGCGCCGTTTTGAAGCTCTGCCAGTTCCTGTGAGTGGATCCTTCTCTTACCTTTACTCTGTTCAACCGAGTGAGCAGTTCTGCTGCAATCCCACGGCACTTCCGGCATAGGTCAATGACAGCAAGGTCGTCACCTGAAGGCTCGTCCGAGAATTCATTGGAACTTTTGCTAGACATCGAATTCTCCAGATTGGTAGTTAATGCCGACAAATCATCCGTCAAGGACCCAACAAATACATTGTCAGAAAGAGTCCCATTTACAGATTTGTATATCTGACGCGTCTGCGAGAGCACCTTGCACCCGAAATCAACGAACACAATCACGTTCGAGGCAAGGGAAAGAGCTGATATTGGATCCATGATGCCGTATACAACCAAATGCCATCTTTGAGATTGCACTTTGGGATGCTTGAGTTCAGTATGAGGTGTGATCAATTCACAATGCTTCTGTCTTTGCAGGACGTCGGAATGCCATCGTTCTCGGGACAAAAGGGGAGCTACTATGCGCAGAGTGAAGTCATGCTCTGAGGTAGTCAAACAAGAGATCCAAAATGAGCAATGAAAGGCTGACAGAGAAGTTGTAAGTATCAAGTAGCTAGTTTTGCTGGGAAGTTGATAGACAGGCAGCCTCGTCCTCGCTCTTCATCAAGAGTGGTGGTATGGGCAATGCACTTCAGCTGCTGATGCGGCTGCATGACCAGCGGGGATACGGAGGCCATTGGCTAAGAAGATGTTTGATCTTTGAAATGGAATTCAGAGAAGCAAAGAAAAATAAACGTAAAGAAGTGGGAGGAGCTGTAAACAACATGAACAAATGTGGGAGGTAATCATTGATGAACGAAGAGATATTGGAGGACGGTCAAATCAGTGAAACTGGCATGGCCATGGCTCGAGAGTCGAAAGCCATGCGGAGGTGCTCGTAAAGAGAAGAGAGAAACATTGGTGCCTGAGGTCACACTTCAGGTTAGCCTTAACCGCAACCTTGGTTTACCTGCAGCTTCCGGGTTGCCATCAGTCTTCGACAAAGAAACAACAACATTTTCGCATCAACATCTTCATCGCTCCAGTTATCTCTGGATCGCGCAAGAATGGAGACTAATAGGAATTTATTTCTAGTTCTCGAACAGCTATTGCTACGTCCCTGGTCTCAGTCCTCAATGGCCCCTCCAGCCTCAACCACGACCACGGCCACGGCCTCGACCATTCCCTCCATTGTGCCCAGAATACCTTGATCTCGCGTTAGGGAAGAAAGAGACATCGTATTTATAGCATGGGCTTCGTTTCAACCCCGGTACGATCTCAACTCGTGTCTCATACTGCAGACGAAGGAAAAGCGCCTGGCCTTGACTGATGGGCATGTATGAGTAGCCTTTTGCCATACTGTCTTCGATACACTGGCGGAGGAAGCTCGTGAGCTCCTGTGGGCTCGGCTGCGCCATTCCCATCTCTTCAAAGAAACCGTCAAAACTGTCAATGTCGTGGATCTTCTTGATGCTGTCTGCCAAATCTTTTGCGGATCCTCGTGGCGGCGCGCCATGTCGATCGAATGCTTCGTCGCGAAGTTGGATCAAAGGCTTGCGAGGACTACCGACTGCAGTTCTGCGGAACAGGTTCAAGAACATCAAAATACGATATGACGTCTTGCTTGCCTTGAACGTCTCCCTCATTCGATATTTAGAGACGGCAGAAGGCTCCAAGTAGCTCAGTTCAGAGTTTCCGGTGCCCTTCTTGTCCAGCACCCATACCACGTTACGAATGGTTGTCTCTTTGACAATGGCCGTCAAGACTTCCTGCGTCATCTCAACATCGCTGATCAATGCAGAGATAAGGAAATATCCTAAACTTGGACAATCGTTCTTGGAATTGGCGCCAGCCATGAAACCATTGATCGTTTGGTTGGCTTTTTGGGTGGTCTCTGGAGTTTCTGCTGCCAGACACAGCAGGAGATGGAAGAGGTGGAAGTACGACTCAATGGCCTTCTCAGACACATGGGTTAAGCTGCTCTGTGGTGTATGGTGATCCCGCTTTGCTGTTTTCTCATTGAGGTCGACCACTACACCGTTCATGAAGTGATATACGACTTCCTCCAATGAGCCCGTGAGGCGTGCATCCTTTGCCATGTATAGCAACTTTATCGTTGCGTCCTGCCTTACCTTTCTCCAATGTCCATAGGAAATAGGCAGTGGTAGCCACTCGTCAAATGGAATGCCTTGAACCGAGCGTCGGATTCTATGCATGACGAAAGCCTCTTCCGAGAGAAGATCGAACTCTGAAGCTATCGATTTCCTTGTCCCCCTTCTGGAATAGCTCACTCCTACTCCGAGTTTCGCAGAGATGAAGTCTTTTTTCAGACAGAAACACTGGAGTTCGCGAGTTCGAATCACATCATAGTCGGCCATGACTTGACGTAATCGTTGCCAGGCTCGTCCCAAAGATATCATATTTTCATGGTCCAATTGGCTAAGTAACATAATCAAAACCTCATCTGGTAAGTTCGCTTGGATCAACGGACAAGTCATCACTTTTCTCTTTTCTTCTGGCTGTGTTTCCGTACCGAGCAGCTCATTTTTTTCGTCTAACATATCCACATCTTCTTTTTTCTTCAGAATACTTTGGTGAGTTCGAGGGACCAACTCTCGAAGCCGGTCCTTTGATTGTTGATGTTCCTTTCCCTTCGCCTCTAGCTTGTCAAAACCCGCAGCCTCCAAATCCGGGCGCCGATCCAGATCCATAGACTCAGGCAATGGACTTCCAAAATCACACTTATCACAAGTATACTCATCCGCAACATACTTCCGCGACTCTCTCCACAACTTCAGCTTAACCGAATTCCCACCCCCCACCTGCTCCACACTCTCACTACTGAAGAAACTCAGCAGCTGAATCGCGATACTCTTCAACGTATACGCCGGCGTCCATCCCTCCTCCGTATTCAGTATCGACGCGCAGATATACTCGTTGAATATATTCGGGTGATGCACCCGCGAATTCATCTTTATTTGCGGTGGGGAGAGTGGATATTTTGGAGGGAAGGTCACCGTCATGTGCATGGCGCCGTAGGCTTCGGATGTGAGTATTAGACATGCGTGCGTGAGTGTGTCGGAGGGGATTTGCAGGGCGATGTTGGGGTAGGGACGCTGGTGGAGCTCGTTGATGTCGTGGAGAAGACGGTTGTGGAGGGAGGCTTTTGCGAGGCGGTGGGACATGATGGTTTGGGTACGGTGATGATACTCTGGATATGATAATAATGTGTGCTTAGTTGATGATGGATATCTCGTTAATGAATAGGTATGTGTTTTGGGATATAGATGGTAAGTAAAATATTTGTAAATTCCCAGCGCTTACTCAAAATGTCTCAAAAACAACAAAGTTTTCAGGATTCAGAGGAAGAACTATTTCAGATGTCTCTCCCCAAAAATAAAAGATGCAAAGGATGGTCAAACCTCTTATAATGACACTGTTCCAACTACCTAGCCGGCCTTCTTGGGGTTCAAAGGTGACTCGGTTCGGCATGAGTCACTCACCACGCTTATGGATATATAGTTGGTTTTCGGTGAATACAAACGGAATTATTATTGTTGATTTATTTTCTTCACAATTCATCATTTTAGGGTTCGATTTGTGTTGATGGGTTGTTTTGTTGTACTTGTAGTTATGGGCCGGCGAGAAGTCGAAATTTGGGTTTGGAATCAGATTTTGATTGAGATTTAGCAGCGATTTAAGAATCTTTCTTTCGACGATTATAAGAAATGGAGTACAGACATATAAGATATAGTAAGTTTCGCTAATCTCATTAAGATTCCCTTGATTCATATTTAATTATATTTCGCGCTGTATGCCTTGGAAACAAAATGACTGAAAAAAAGGAATATGAGAAGATTTGTGGTTGCAGGGGAGAGTTGACCTGTCTACAGAATATAAGCTAATGTCTTAACCTCGTTGCCTCCATCGTGTCATAAGTGTCACTCTGATCGTCCAGAGTAGTCTATCGGGTGTCAGGTTCGGAGAGCAGTTCGGGGCCGAGAATTTAAACGATTCCCGAGGATCCCGACGTCTTCAACCGCCATTATTTTGTGGCATACTAGCGCCTACTGTGCCTCTTAATCTTGGCTTAAATAACAGCGTCCGCCAAGTCAGGATTATATCGGCCAAGGCGACTCTCCAACACAAAAGCGAGTCTCCTGCCAAGCAACATCTCGCTTCAAATCCACCCCCCTATTCAGAATCGCTAAATCCCAATAATCTCACGACAGTACTCACAGCATGTCTCCCAAAGATCCCACCCATGTCCCAGTCCTCATAATCGGCGGCGGCATCGTCGGTCTCACCGCATCCCTATGTCTCTCCCACCACTCCATCAACTCCGTGCTCATCGAGCGTCACGCAGGGACATCGATCCATCCCCGCGCTCGCAGCGTAAACGCACGTGTCATGGAGATATTCCGAGAACTCGGTCTCTGCGAATCGATCCGCGAGGCCGGCGCTTCAATAGCCAAAAGTGGTGGTATTCTCTCTGGAACGTCACTTAAATCGGTTATGGAAGCGCGGCCGCGTCGAGTTGGGAAGGCAGGTATCTGGATCCCGGAGTTCGTGAAAGACTATGCGGAGTTCTCGCCTGAGAGCGGGACGTTTGTTACGCAGGATATGAGTGAGCCGGTGCTTTTGGATGCGGCGAGGGAAGGGGGGGTTGATGTGAGGTTTTACACGGAGTGTGTGGGTGTGGAGCAGGATGATGAGAAAGTCACTGCGAGATTGAGAGATAGGGATTCTGGGAATGAGTATGTGATCACGGCGGATTATCTCATCGCAGCAGATGGAGCCAGTTCTCCTATTCGGAATCAACTTCAAGTCCCTGTTACTGGCTGCGGAACAATGGGATATCTCCTCAATATCCTCTTCACAGCAGATCTCCGACCCCTAGTTCAAAACCGCGAATTTAGTCTTTGTGTAATCGATCGTCCAGAACTCGCAGGTCTATTCACATCAATCAACAATTCCGACCGCTGGGTCTTTCATCTCTCTTACGACCCCTCGAAAGGCGAAAGTCCTGCCGACTTTCCACCAGAACGTTGTAAAGAGTTGCTGCAACTTGCAATAGGCATTCCCGAGCAAGAAATAAATGTCATCTCCATCTTACCATGGGAACCATCCGTCCGCGTAGCCACGCAACTGAAACACAACCGCATTTGCCTCGCCGGGGACGCAGCACATCAGATGCCGCCGTATGGTGGGCAAGGCGCCACATCCGGGATCGCAGACGTGCATAATCTCTCTTGGAAACTGGCAATGGTTCTGCGAAAGGAGGCTGGGAAGGGATTATTAGAAACGTACGACGTCGAACGTCAACCAGTCGGTCAAGCGGCTGCGGAGGCCTCAGCGGCGATGGCTGATCATCGAGGTCTGATCGATTTTAAAATCAGTCTTGCGAAGATTGCGGCGATTTCGAGAATTGCGTCTCTGGTTGCGGGGTTTGGGTATTGCTATTCTAGTGCGAGTAAGGGGGTTGTGGCAGAGGATACTGGCCCGCTTGGAGGATTCACGTGGAGGTCTTGGGGTTTGGCTAGTTCGGGGCTGAATCTTGACGGGAGACCTGGGACGAGGGTGCCGCATGTTTGGATTGAGAGGGGTGGGAAGAAGATTTCTACTGTTGATCTGGTGGGGAGGGACTTTGTGGTGTTGACTGGAAGTCAAGGGGGCGCTTGGATTGCTGCTTGTGTTGCGGTGAAGAATATGCTGAGGGGAACACAGATAGAAGCTTATTGCTTGGGGCAAAGTGGAATGATGGTGGATAAAGATCGCAGATTTGAAGTTGCAGCGGGCGTATCTGCTGGCGGCGCGGTTCTCGTTAGACCAGATGGCATCGTTGCGTGGAGATTGAGACGAATGTCTCAAGATCCTGAGACAGCATTGTCTGAAGCGATGGTGCGCATATTATGTCTTTAAAATGCTTATGTTATATATTATATCAAATACGACGATCTGATTAAAGTTGTACTTTACGTTACGTATATATACCCCTCTGATAGCGTCAATTTTGCTCTTTAAAAGCTTGTCTATTGATCAGTTGAAGCACTTCCTTTTTCTATTTAGCCAAAGGTCGTCCTTCAATAGAGTCTGGTGAGTGCTTCCGGGAATCCTGTACACGCTGCTTCCGTAGGTACAATTAAGGACTCGTAGAAAGACAGCTCTTTTCGAGATTGTGTTTTCTTATCCTTGCACTAGAAGCTAGTGGTCAAGATCCATTATTTTACTTCAGAAATTGCAAATACACGAATGACAAATCATGAGTCCTGGACTGGAAAGGCATATGTTTTGCTTGGAGTCCCACCAAACACACATTATACATAATGTCATTTATTGTAGAGGTAATCTTCGTTTGCGTTATCATTCTTACAATCTATGTTGTGTTTTCCACATCAATCGTATTTGGTGAGTTGTAGGGGTTCCCCAAAGTTGTCCCCGAAACGAGAATCGCTTCACGTGGTTGGACCTTACAGATCCTATGTATCGCGTGGAATTGTAAGTTGAAAATTAGATTCCACTAGCAGTCAATCTACTTCAGTCCTACCTAAGTAGACGAAGGTTATTTGCAAAGAGACGAGCACGTACAAGAGTAAAGTAGACAATGAACACGTCATCTCAGTTCAATTAGGTTAATAAGATCCGGTGTTAGCTGATTAACTGCCTTTCTTCCATTTTACTATTCGCATTTAGCAAGCGTTCGATAAACAATTTTATAACTCTTTCGCCTAGATATTCCACTACATAATTTATTGTCCTCTTATTCTATCCCTCTGAGATGCATGCTACCATTCCTGCTACTTACGCGAGCTTCATATTCAATTAGACGTTCTTATTTTCTAGTATGTAGTACAACTTCTCACTCGATTTTCCATTCAATCTATTCTGAACATGTCGCTCGACGACGGTTCTCAGCTGGTAGTCTAACTGCAAGTAATCAAACAGTATACAGAAAGCCAAAGTCCTTTAGTAGGAACAAAATCAAACTTAACTTCTAATTGGTTGTTATAGTACAAGCTGTTTTGAGGTATTATAAAGGACAAGTGCAGTACAAAAGAATACTTTACAAAGAAGCCCTAAGAAAGCTTGTTTCTCTTCTTTCTATTTCTTCGTTTTACTAAACAATACTAAGCTTAAACGAACAGATTAAAGAAATGTAGACAAAACAATTAATAAAGAAAAATATAAAAGTAAAAATGTAAATTAGAAATAATTAAAAAACAATTTAGTTCGTTACACAGCCAATCATACTTCAATACATAGCGCAGTAAGAATGTCTTCTATAGGAGAAGAAAGCAAAAACATTGTTGAGAGAACATTGAGTTCTCACGCAGATCTAGTAGGTATCTATGAACCTGTTGTCCCATACTCTTATGACCCTATAGATCCATCCAATCGAGAAATGACTTGTCCCATTTGTCTCGAAGACTGTTCCGAAGAACTTCCCATGTGGCAGATGGGGCATTGCTCGCACGAAATTTGTAAAATCTGCTACTTGCGACTACTCGAGTCGCAAACTTTCGGGCCTCAGACTATGGATCCTGTCAAATGCCCATTTTGTCGGAAAAACTTAGATTCGCGAATACGGTGGTCACTTCCTGGCCCTTCAAAAATTTTGAGGGTTCAGAATTTTTTGTCTGATCATTACGATCATCCCCTAGGGTCGGCTGATGAGAACAGAAGTTTGATTGGATTAGATCAAGACGGAAATTTGATCTGTGTAGTACATACAGCTACGATTGAAGTTCGACAAGTCGGCGACTTCACAGAGTTGCTCTGGTCACGTAAAATGGCGATAAGGAAGACTTCATGTTCATCTTGCATCAACGCCCATCGCACCAACTGTACAACAACAGAAGCGGTTAGTCAGTATCTAAATATCTCTGAGTTCCTTGATTTAGCCGCTTCCCGATACGCCGCATGGAAGGCGATCCGACAGTCTGATCGTGTTATGTATTCCGCTATCCCAGAGAGCACCACTGGAGACAACCCGTTGTTCGTTGAGACTTTGCTGCAAGAGAGTATGTGGAGGCGCTTTGGAGATAATCATGATCATGAGTGTCTTCCTCAGTGGCTTTCGGAATGTCTCCCGTGTAGTTCTCCATCGGGATCTTCTTCCTTTCGAGTTACGATATGGAGTACTAAGATAAGAGAAAGAGTTTATCCTCATTCATTAATCCTACTGAAGTGGCTCCCTTCAGGTTCGGAAGCGAGTTGGAGACGATTGTTTAAGGCTTTTGTTGAGTTGCAAATGTTGCTAGCAATAACTTGCCCCGAAGTTCAACTAGCAGCAGAACTTGCGCCTTTCCTCGAATCTCAGGGTCTTCGACTATCACACACTAGCTTTACACTTAGCCCTCAGGATTTGTTTCCTCACGTTGTAGAGCAAGCTGCTAGAGATGGAGCAGCTGGTATAATGGGATCCTTTGAATTCATCAGAAGACGTCTACGTCTCCCCGGTAGTCGCTTGGACGAGCGTGACCGTCCGCTCATTTATCTCGCAGAACCTATATCTCCATGGTATAAAGAACTGCAAGACTTACATGGTTCGATATTCAGCTGCTAGTTCCAAAAGTCTTCAATCTCGCATGCTTCCATGCTAAGGTACGGAAGGGAGTAACACTTTTTACATAATCTGCCAGGAACAGAATAATGGCGGCTGTGAATTTAGAGGCATAAAAACATCAATAGAATTGTTAAGATAGTAAGTATATAGTACGATAAGTAAGAACATAGAGTAAGAAACTTAAATATTATATGTAAGAAAAAATAAAGAGAGTTATAATTAGAATAGAAAAAAAGTTAAAGAATAGAGATACTAATAATAATAATATAAGATAAAAGAAATATAGCTAATAATTTATATATATAAGAGTTTAGAGAAGAGTTATAGAAAGAGATTAAAGTATTAATAGTTTTAGTTATCTAGATATTAGATTACTAATAGATTATATTTAGAAAGAAATAATTATATTTAATATTAATAATTTTAATACTATAGAAGATACTTAAGATTATAAGAGAAATTAGAGATAGTAATAGAAACTTAAAATAGATTTTTAATATCTTATTAATATATATTTTAAGTTTTTAAAATATAGTTTAAGTAAGTAGTCCTATAGTATAATAAGTAATATGTATTAAGAATTAAATTATCTTATATTAAATTTGCTAAACTATATTTATTATTTCGCTAGTAAAATTACTTCTTACTTTACAATAGTAGTATAAAGAAGTATAAAGAAATTCTTTATCTTAAAAAAACAACCTCTAGTATAAAGAAATATTTATTAAAATAATTTAAAATTAAAATAAATAGTAAAACAGACAGCTAAACAGTATAATTTAGAGAAGAACAATTTAGTATAGAGTATTATAAAATAACTATTAGAGTTAGGGTTATACAAATCAGCTAATTATCGAGAGAAATTTAAATAGGCAAGGTAAACATCGCAAACATGGCAACCGGAAGTCAAGAGAACTATAGTAGTTTGGATCGCACTATAACTACGAACCAAGAACTAGGAATGTATGAGTTAGTAAACACTCCTTCAATCGAAAACCCGGATATGTTCAGTCAAAGTCGCATAGATGCAACTGAGAACTCCAAGGACTCAGAATGTCTTGTTTGCCTGGAGACTTATTCAGAGCAACGGCCAATGTTGAAGCTACAATTTTGTCCACACAAGATGTGTAAGATCTGCTTTATACGTATGACCAAGTACCAAGGTATTCAGATGGTCGACGGAGACAAATGGGCTGATTGCCCATTTTGTAGGGAAATGTTGGAGGCTGAACTAAGATGGACTATTCTTCCCACTTTCAAGCTAAACTTCTACCATGACTTTCTATCTGGTTCTTACTCTAATAGTCTAGGTTCGAATAAAGATGGGCTGATTGGCATCAATTCAGACAACCAAGGAGTTATAGTCAAGAACACGGTTGCGGTAGAAATGCGTCAGGACGGTGAATACACCGAAACCGTCTGGAAGCGTGAGATGTATTTGAGAATGACATCATGCCCAGACTGCACGAATAGTTGTGCCAACTCCATGAACTGCAGCACAGCAGAAGCCACCCGCCATTCGAAGATGGTCCGCGACTTCTTCGGATTTTTGGCCGGCAACATTCCTCGAGACTCAACTCGTCGTGTCACTCGTATGCGACAACTAGATATAGTCAATGATTGGACTCCTGGGAGTCGTCACACCGAAGCCGGCGAACCTATGCTAATTGAGACTTGGTATCAACACGGGTTTCAACGGAAGATGGGGCAAACCCACGATCCTGAAGGCCCTTCTTGCAGTGGTCAGCCGACCACTACATATTATGAATGGGTGAGATGGACTACTAAGGTACGAGAACGATACTATCGTGCTACCTTACTTCCCGTGAAGCTTTACATCGAACAGCGTCTCGAAGAGGATATAGAAGACGATAAACATCTGCTAAAGGTATTCATTGAAATCCAAAAGGTTATAGCGATGTGCTGTCCTGAGGTTCAACAGCTATCCGATCTTAAAACTTTCGTTGAATCCAAAGGACTTCGGACCTCGAACACTAGGCTCGTATTAGATCCTCAGAAGGTATTTCCCACAGTCGTAGAGGAACCAGACGAAGATCTGGGGTTCGGGCGGAATTGGGTAAGGAGGCCAAGGATGATAGTCCAAGCTTCGGCGGCATTTCTTATACGACAGCTGCAAAATTTAGGTGCAAGGACACCCGAGGAGCAAAATCCTGATACTATTAGCTTAGACATTGAGAGCTGCCCACACCAGCCACTAACAAAGTACGTCTCTCCATGGTACACTCAACTAGAGGATCTGCATCGTGCTAAATTCTTCTAGATTTTGACCCCATGACAAATAACTTCTTACTCAGCAATAATTACTTCTTTGCGCGAAGTAGGAAATCTTGATAGGAATATTAGGCCTAACATTAGACCCAGCATGGTCAGAAAAGAAATGAAAAATTGAACACGGTCGGTAAGTATGGTGCAGTAATGAGATGGGATTTGGAGGGAAATGGAGTATGCGTGCCTTTGTTAAAAACAGTTCAAAGAAGGAAGGTTCAAAGGAAAAGGGGGAAAAGGGCTATGCGGCAGCCGCGACCTCTTTGGAATGAGTTTGAACAGAAGATGAATTGTGATTGTAGTGATATCGGGTGAACATAGAGTTAAAATAGGTCAGAAATGTGATACAGCAGTATACCAGGTCAACGGAGAAGGTGCTAACAAGCAGAGGAAAATGCTATCAAACGGGTTTAAAGGAGAGAAACTGGATAAAAAAAAGTTTGTGAAAGTGTACAACAGATGTAGAGCTTTGAATAAGATATAATGTAAGATTTAAGTATAAGAAGATGGTCAAGTACAGAAGCTAAGGCCGGATGCTTTCCCTATTTTTTCAGAATGTAAAACAGCTTCCAGTGAGTAAACTCAGCAAACCCTGATAATGGCCCGCTCATCTGTAGGCACCCTTTGATCCTTTACCCCTCTGCTAAAGCGATCAAGTGTAGCAGATGTGCGAATATAACATCGCAAGAATTCTGACATGGCGAGCGCCATTGAATGCTATCTTGTCACATGCTAGTGTCGGGTCCTCTAGATGTAAATAACCAATCCTACCCGCCAAATAGAATGGCTTGCGCAAAAAATGACGCAGAAAGAAGGAAAGGGATGTATGAGCGAGGGTGGCATAGACTTCAGCTACAGCGGGGATCGTCATCCGTGCATCCGTTTCGGAGGAGTCCAATCTTTTAGGAGACATAGAGTATATATCCGCGATGTCTGGACAAACAAGAACGCGTCGCCATCTTGACAGCAATTCTGCAAAATCAGCTACTAGGGCATCAGACGTACGAATGTGTAACATCTCGTCTCTCGAGCGGTGCATTCTTCTATCCTGCTGGATGCTTTCTGTCTTGTGCAACGCTGCATATTCCTAGGCATTGTTGGCACGAGAATGAGAGCGCCTTCCGAGCGCACTCAGTTGCTCTATTATCGAGGCCTTCGTCCTACTCCATGTATCGTCTTGGGGGTCGACGCCCGGGGTTAATGTGAATCGGGCGACATCATGGTTGAGGCAAGCGAGGATTACACATGGTGGTACAGTGCTAGATGTGCAGCAATATTAGATTGAGGTGAGGCTTAACATTTGCCCAGTAGGCGTCGTAAAGGTAACTAGTTCGAGAGTATGGATTCGGATCGAGAGCGTTCGACTCCGGTTGGAAGAGGATGTTTTTGCTGAAAAGAGGCCGAGACAATCGGGGACTAAGCTATTGATATTAGAATCAGGGCCCATGATAATCTAAAGGAGGTTTTCTTCAGGTAAAGACTTACACTACTTTCTCATGTCGTAATTGTCGTGGTTGTGGTGTGAAAGCGCAACAGGTAGAGCAGCTGGCGTAGTTGTATCGGAGTCTGTGCACCAATCGAGGTCTGGACCTCCGAATGGACAGGATAACCTTAAGTAAGCACGACAATCTTTCGATCAAAAATTATCGTATGTTTGCACGATTTTTCAGGACGATAATTAGACATATCGGTGAGTTCGACCGGAAAGAGTTTGGAGTATCTGACATCGCCGTGCCTTTCACGGAGTTCGTGAACGAAGCATGTACGAACTTGGAATGTAGATCAACGTTCGTTTAAAGCCATCCTCATAACCTCAAGGTTACCTTGCATCTTTTTCACACTCATTGATTCTCGAATACAAAATCGCGTATATTGCGGAAAAGCTGTATTTGGGTTTAGCTTATTCGGCTAGGCGACTTACGATCCATGAGGCTTAAGCTCTTCATACTTCATCACGAACAAAGATGAGTTGACATGTTCGATATTTGCTTTTCCATGTCGCAATTCTGCACCGTGATGCGCTCTTTGGTGGCGCTGGTGAGGGGTTCGGTCTTGCGACTTTAGCTCAAACGAAAATGGATCGAGTAGGTTAGTCAACGCTCAACCTCACCTGAACCAAGTTCTACTCTGTCAATAACTCGCGGCCTCCATTAGTACCTCCTCCCATCACAAACCTCGTACAATTGATTCTGTCATGGGCGAGCCGACCGGACTAGTTGCTTCCTTTCTGGCGGCTATACAGGCGAGCTTATCTGTTCTGCTTGTCATATTCTACGGCGCTGTTGCGGCTCGATACAACCTGCTTGACGGCTCTTCAGCGAAATCTATATCCAAAATATCCGTCAAAATATTCCTTCCAGCTTTGCTTCTCACGAAAATTGGCTCTGAGTTGCACGTCGAGAATGCCCACCGATACTTGATCATTTTAGTATGGGCATTTCTCTGCCATGTGCTATCGTTTCTGATCGGAGTTGGAGCCCACTTTTTCTTAGGGATGCCGGATTGGATCACAGCGGCCATCATGTTCAACAACACAACATCCTATCCGCTTCTACTTATTCAGTCTCTTGATGAGACTGGTATCTTGAGTAATCTTATCGTTACCGATGAGACGAGTAGAGAGGCGATCGAAAGAGCCAAAAGCTATTTTTTGGTCTTTGCTACGATTTCAAGCTGTTTGACTTTCGCCGTTGGACCGCGACTGATTGATTCGGAGATGGCTCCGGACATGCCTGATGATAAGGACGATGACAGCGACGAAGAAGACAATAATTCTGCTCTTTGGAATAGCTCGAGCCGTGATGAAAGCCACGATGACCGTCCCATGTCTCCAACGGACCGAACTCGTCTCCTGAATCCAGAAATCGACGGGACAAGAAGATTATCCGCTAGATCTCAGGCATTCTTCCCATCTCGGTCTGCTTCCAACCAAAGAGATTCTGGATCAGGTGCCCGTAACTCTGTCAATTACGATCGAAGGCCGTCTCTGATACCTAAAAGGAAGTGGCACGAGATAAGTGACAGAACACGCTGGTGGCTATTATTCTTCTACGATTTTCTGAATGCACCGTTGCTTGGAGCTATACTAGGGGCAACAATTGGCCTAGTCCCAATCCTGCATCGAGCCTTCTTCAACCATTCCGACAATGGTGGCATTTTCTCTGCATGGCTTACGGCGTCACTGAAGAATGTTGGTGGCCTATTTGTACCTCTTCCAGTTGTGGTTGCTGGTGTCTCCCTATACACAGCGATGAAGCGGAAGACGACCGCCAGCTCTCCCGCAGCTACCCCTTGGCTGAGCACGATATTTATTCTAGTGGTCAGATTTATCGTGTGGCCCATCATCTCTATCTCGGTGGTCTATCTCTTTGCTAAAAAGACGGATTTGTTGAGCGATGATCCGATGTTATGGTTTGTAAGTTTAGTACAGTTCATTTGCATGTTACACTTGACAAACTCATTCAAGAGAGTTATCAATCCTGGTCAAGAGTTCTAAGCGCTCTTACATGCTGATTACGATTAGTCCTTAATGCTTATGCCGACCGGGGCACCAGCGATGAAGCTCATCACTATGGTCGAGGTCAGTGGTGCGGGTGAAGAAGACGAGCACAAGATTGCAAAGCTTTTGACCGTGAGTAATTGTTACTTGGACTCGAACAATGCCCTTCAATTCCATGCTAACTCACCAATTTCTTAGATTTCATACATAATTTCTCCGATCCTGGCATTTACTGTTGTCGGAAGTTTGAAGGCCAGTCAAGCCGCTATTGCTTGAACAACAAAATTGGTTATGCCGGCTCATTTTTTTCCTGCCGTCATTCGAAGGCATGTAATACCTTGTTGATATCATGATATTCCAATATGTAGTCAAGTTTTTAGGGACCATATTTTCTTTAAGTGGCCCTCCATTCGCTGAAATGACTATTCAACTTCTTGTCGGGGCCTCAAGAACAGAGGCTTCGTATGCTCGAGCACAACACTGATTGGGACATGATGTTGACTGGTAAGTATGAACTTACTCAAAACAACACTTCGACGAATGATGAGAGCTTTAAATACAGAGATTTTTATAACAGCCCCTCCTGCTCTCCATTCTGGGAATTTGTGCTTAGCTTTATTCTTGGCAATCCGAATCTGCATTTGCTATAGCGCTTGAAATGGCACCGAATACAAATTCTCTAGTGTACTTCGGTTGTACTGTTACGCTTTTTCACTGGCTTTTGCATTTTAAAACCCTTCGGCTTGAGGAGAAGCGGCGCACTAAGGGTATGCTGGTAACACAATTAGGGCTTTTAGTAACAAAAAGACCTCTTACTTTAGACCGAATTACTTATCTCTTAACTTTTGACTACTTGTAAAAATATGAATGCTAGAATTGCACCTTGACAAAGTGACTGCTAGGGCGATCCTTCGTATCCTGGTGCAGAAGCGGACATGGTATTCTCAAAATAGCACACCAACATCTGTGCGGTCATATCATGTTTATTCATCTGAGAATTAGGACGTTATCTGATGTCTGGAAATGAAATGTGTGCGTGGCCTTGATCCTCGGCACGTGCGATGATCTTTCGTTAGTACCCGAGCTATCAAGTCAGCAAGATTACTCCATCAGTGCCGGGAGTACAAGTCACCTAGAAGTCAGTCTCTTGGGCCTAACGCTACAGAATGAGTGAGCTTCAGCTTTTCCCACGGTTACTGGGACAATGTCTCCGGATCCATTCATTTTGTCATCCCATGTGGCACCAGGAAGACAGAGCAGTGCAGGAAGGCTTAATTTAATAATTTCACGGTCAAACTAATTTTTTACTGCTTGAACAAAATGGATTCATGTCTCTCATCTAAACCATGTTCGATTTCATCCCCTATTCCAGGTACTGCAAGATGAGAAATCATCAGCACTCGCTATCTTCCTACAAACAAATTTCCTTTCCTTTTCCGTAACAGTGAGAACACTCTCGCCCATCCGTCAATTTTTGCCCAAGAGTCCCTTCGATGATTCTGCTGCTTTCTTTTTTGACCCACTTCTGATGCGAACTTGCGATAGGAATACAGGCATCCTAAGACTCGTCTTCCGGCAGTTCTCGCCCGTCTCCGAGATTGTTGTCACAAGTGCAAACGATCATTTTGTGACACGTATCGCATCGGCCTTCCACAACAGGTGTACCGGCTCGATAGCGAGTCCAGAGATTGTAAGAAGTTCTGACGCTTCCCAGAATACTGGCGAGGGTAGAAAAGATCTGAAGACCAAGTTCGATTCCTGAGACAGCCATGGCAACTCGTTTGTTGTACGAAAGACTGGGCGTCGGTCTAGAGTGTGCTTGGAGTGTGATTTGAAGTTTTTGGTAGGTATCTGACGATGGTTGAATGTGTGGGATTGCGACTGGTGAGATGCAGTTTTGTTCTTGGTGTGCTGATGATGGATGTCTGATGAGGATGTGGGGGCTTGTTGTTGATTTTAGGAATTCAGAGATAATCCTCCTTCTAAATAGTACTTCTGACCATCTTGACCATCTCAATACACTCAACCGTCTTCAAAGCTACATCCTAAAAATCTTTGTCTTAAGCAAACAAATTGAAAAGAAGATCGGTAGGAGACATGACATAAAAGAATAACATGCAAGAAGCACTTCTTGCATACTTCTAGAATCTGTGGTTGATCAATGAAACGACAGCTTTTGATGAACTTCCGTTTGCTAGATACTACCTCAAAGATGTGCAAAGCGTCTTCGTTCACATCATCGATGCATGTTTTCAACTACATGAAATCAGTGTTGCTTCGACCAGAAATGCGGGAAGATGCCTAGGCACCTACCAATAGCAGATACATGCATAAGATGAGTCTTTCATTTCGTGCTGTTTGAATCCAGAATCAATCTTGCACACACATTCATAAAAGAAAGCACCCGCATAAAGCCCTGCAGCAATATGCAAACACGACGCACATGTCAAAGAATCCAAGCACAAACATTAAGCGAGTTGCGTTTACAATTACAGCTTCAAAGGGAACATGCAAACGGGAACGAACCCCTAAAGATACTTTCAGCATGGTAAAGACATGAGCGCGTTGACATTCAAAAAGCGTCTCTATACGGAATGCAAAAGAGACTCCCGTTTCCTCCATCAGAACTTGTTCTCAGTGTAACAAAGACGAAATCTATGTTCACAAAGGATTTCCCTATTATTCTCAAACGAATGATGGTATCCGTCATAGCCTTGCTGTTCAAAATACACCAAAGGTCTAAACTTCCAAAGCAATTGCACGCAGCCTGTAGGCGAGGTGACGCTGTTCTCATGATCGCCTCTGTCTAGTACCAAAGAATAAAGGAGCTGCGCATAATTTTCTACAGAATCACAAAGGAGCTAATTCTCAGAGGATTCGCACGTTGGACTAACTTCCTTGACATCTTTGAATGGCAGACTTTACGTTGGAGAATTTTACAAAAAAATCATTTCTTTAAGAGAGTCCTTGTCTTCCAATTGAAAATCCAAATATTAGTGTATCAACGGTAGTTTGGGTAGAAATCTCACATAGAATTAACGTCATCAATGATTTTCAATAATTGGCTTTACGATACCGCGAAACATCGAAGAAAGAGGGTGTATATTGGCATATTTCGTTTCAAGATAGCTTTTTATAAGTACATAAAATTCAGTATACTTGCTATATATAAAGGAGAATATGTGGTTTCTACTCTACTGTTGATTCAGTATTCGATTAATGTCGTTACGGAAGCGAGGTAAAAAGGGGATCGTGTTAAGCGAGGCGGAGCTCATGTTATATACCACCTTGAAAGAAGGGGAGTGTTCGAAACTTAGATAGGCATTTAACAACTATTTCGTTTCCCATCTCGTCTTCGTACCTGGTAAGTAGGAAAGATAATTACCTTCTGTTATAATCGGCTAGTAATACAGGTGTCTGAAATCATCCTCGCTTAGGCTATAATAGCCCCTTTTTGTCAATGCAGATTGCTTCATCAAAGTTATGTTCATCCACTTTCTCACCACAGCGAGAAAAAAGTCTACCTCCAATCCTTCAACACAGTCTCCCCCTCCTTCAAACCCACAATCTCCAAACTCCCCCTCCACAACAACTTTTGCTTCTCCCCATCCCGACTCTCCAAACTTGTCTCCCCCTTCCTCCCCCCATCCCAATAAACCGCCGCAACACCCCCCTTATACGCGCCCTCCCTCTCCAACCCCGTCTTCAACAAGTCACTCCCAGATTTATACGGCGTACGGAATGTCCCATTAGGACTCACAGCCGTAAACACCGGTCCCAACACCCTCCCCAGAATCCCAATCGCCACGCGCATAACTGGCGGACTATTCCGCATCAACGCCGTGTTAGCCATAGCGCCGGGATCGAGACAGCATATTTCGACGCCCGAAAGCTTGGGGTCGCTTAGGAGACGGCTTTGGAGTTCGTACCTTGCACAAATCAGCATGAAAGTTGGGATAAGAAGAGAGAAAACACACATGAACATCACCCCCCCCAACTTACTAGCCCCATACCGTCGCATCCCCGCTTTATACGCATCATCCTCATAACTCACGCCCCTCCGCCACGCCTCCACACTCTCAAACATAACCGTGTAATCCCTCCCGCTTTTCTTCGTGAGATCGTAGATGCCCATCTGTTGTGGTCGCGGATCGAGCGCGTTGTGCATGTAGGAGGAGACGAGGACGATGCGCCCGGTTGGATGCATGGATCCCAGGAGGAGCAGGACGAGGAGGAAGGGGGACAGGTAATTTATTTGGAAGGCGGCTTCGTGGGTGTCGGGGGTGAAGATTTGCGGGGTGAGGGTGCTGGAGTTGGCGTCTTGCATTGCGGCGTTGAGGAGGAGGCCGGTTATGGGGGCGAGAGTATGAGATTTGATTCGCGCGTTGAGGGAGGAGGCCTGGATGTGTTAGTGTATTATATTCTTTGGAATATATGATATTTTCGCGTGCATGTGTGTAAAAGTGTTCAAGTAACCACTCAACCCCATCCTCAACTCCTCACCACCATCCACAAAAGAAATGTCAAACTCACCACCTCCCTAACCTCCTTCAAATCCCCCAAATCCAGCGCTAAAACCTCATACGAATGTCCTTTTTGCGCTTTCGCATCAAGCAAACTCCTCAACGTCCCCGCCGAATCGAGACTCCGAACCGTGTATATCGCATGATGAGTTTCCGCGTATTTCGAAGCGAGGATATTCTGTACGCAACCGATACCTAACCCGCCGTTTGCGCCTGTGAGGAGGATTGTTGGTTTCGTTGAAGACATGATTCTATCTTAATAGAGCAGATACGGGAAGAAAGGAAATGGGGAGCGTGAGGTTTGTTGCATCTATATATACCCCCTCCACCCCCTTCATTCCTCATCCTCAACCCACTCCTCAAACTCCAAACGACCTACCCAATCACATCCCTCACGAGCAAATATCTTCCCATCCCGAAATCCAAAATGCATCCATCCATCACCTCCGGACGAACCCCAAGAACCGCGTACATCAACTGCATAGCCGACCGCTTAGCGATTGGCTGCAGCGCACAATCGGGATGATCATTGGCCCGTTCGTACGTGCGCGCACCCCAACTAAACAATAGGAGTGATGAATAAGCGCATTATTCGAGGAACGGGAGGATGCAGAAAGGTAAATTGGACGTCTTCTTGTTTGTCATATAGGGATAAGTCGAGGATAATAAATTAACCTACCCTAGATAATCTGCCTATCTTCCCCTAATAACTCAATAACTTAATTCCGACTTTCTATTTCAGAAGATATAAACCTTAAACCCTTCCTAAACGTTTAGCTCTTCTATAGTAAGTACTACAGCCCTCCTACCGATATATAATCGGTATATAGTTAAGTCGTAACTATAATTCCCGCTACGTCTTAAGGGCCCCCGGGGTGGTGACCTACGAGACTGTGCAAATAAGTATAAAATCTCCACTATTATCTATATAATTCTGTAGATTCCACCAATAGAAAGGCCAGATCTAGAGACAAATTATAACCAAAAAGGAAGCACTCTTGTGGCCGAAGTGTCCAGGGACCCCGGGGGGCCTTAAGACGCAGCGGGAGATAATAAATCAACCTACACTAAACAACCTACCTCTCCATCCCCAAATCACTTAATATCTCAACTCCCATTCACTATTCTAAAAAACATAAACCAAAAAACTCCCCGGACGATGTTCAAGCACTTACTCAAAGCGTAAAATTATGTTGGGACACGGGTCCAACCATGTGAGAAGCTTATTGAACTCGACAAAGAAAAACATCATTAGGATAATTAACTACGGCTCAAAACTCGCTACAAACACACCTCCAGTTTTCCTCCCACCAAAACCTCTCCCTCAACCCATCCACCCCACCTACCTCTCCACCAACCCCCCCTTCCCACCTCCTCACACAAACTTCCTCACCACATCCACCTTCTGACACGTCGGATTCTGCGGACTGTGGTTCCCCAACGTCCACGCAAGCGTCTGATACGGATACCCATAATACGTCTTGCAGACCTGCCACCTGAACAGCGGATCATTCGTATAATTCGGCAGCGGCTTCGAGTCATCCTGATAGCTTGGAACCGTCAGTCGATCGTTCACCCACGAGACCTGCGTGACCTCCGAGTTGCCCGGGAAGAACAGCGGGAGCGCGACGTTCGAGGCGGGGTTGTAGGAGAAGCGCATGGCGGACGAGACGGTGAGGCCGTCGTTGTAGGGGAGGGACCAGGCGAGGAGACCCGAGGTGGGCGTGGTTTCTTGGGTCGAGGTGTTGTAGGTGAAGGTTACGTAGTTTTCTGTTGATGGAGCTGTAACGCAGAGGCCTTCGATGGCGGCTCCTTCGTGACAGGCGCCTAGGTATTGGCCGTTTAGGGTGGCGTTTTTGGAGTGGATGACGAGGTAGAAGGGGGCGGATTGGTTTGACCAGTATGTATCTTGGGCGAGAGTGAGGGTAGTGAAGGCTGCGAGGCCTGTGAGGATTGATGTTCGCATGATAGTGCTATTTAGTGGAGTTGGTGGTGACAGGTGATTATTGATACTCAGAGAGTATATGTAATAGCTTTGTCGGTGGATGAGAGATGAAAGACTCGGATAGGGTTGAGAATGAAGTTGAAATGAAAAGTAATAGGAATTACCTGCCTTACATAGCTCCCAACTAAAAAGCTTAAATGGAAAGCACGATGATGATCTTCTGCAGAAGCCCGTGATGCCGTAGCACCTGACGTGAAATAGAACTTCACCCCTCACGATCGTAACTAATTATTGAAGCGAAAGTAACCTCGTATCGGACGATCTTAAGCAATACGAGGGAACTACATCATCTCACTCATCCAGCCACTGGTATTGATTTGGCCGTTAGATGCCGCCTTCGTATAGCAACATACAAAAAATGAGATGGCGGGAAAGTTGGGCAGAGTAATCCGGAATGGGATTATAAACCAAATAGATTAAAGAAACGAGAATCAAACCACGAGGAACTATCGAAACTCGTATTCTTATCAGAATAGATGTGCTGATGCTGGAGAGTCCGACGGTGAGGGGTCTTGGCTGTTATGTACCCCGCATAGGCCATCCGCCGACATTTTCTAATCTTTTCCAACATAAGCATTGCTGCGTCAAGGCTTGCGACGGCAGATGGCATGTCGAAAAATCACGCATATACGAGATGGCTGACGTTGGTGATGCTGATGTTGTTCCAACCGTACCTACCGTATCTCGACATTAGAGCTTGCTCGATCCTCGGACGGTGGTGCTGTATACCTCGACATGTCGGGTTTCCTTGCAATTCATCCACAGCACTGAACACCCGACGCCGAATTGAACCTGGCTGTGTTGCTTGATATGTCGCGTTCCCGTTCCCAAAATTTCAGATCCCTCGGGTCCATTAGGTATAATGTGAGGTAATGTTGCGGGTCAACACCGTGTACTCTCGTGCGCTCCAACCCACCAGCTCTGTACAACATACAGTTCTTCATCTGCCACCGGAGTCGAAATGATAGAAGTACTTCGGAAATGCGGCTGACTGTATACTTTCTCCCAATTTAGAACGTGGTAGTTTCGAGTCCAGTAACGGTTTCTCCAGCATTGTATGATCTAAACCACCACACACTTGTCGCATGAGCATGGCTGTGCACTTGGGTATGTGCCATCGATCGCATGAGCATACTTGTGTCCTCCAATCTCGACCGCCATGTCCCAAGTTGCGCTCTCCTCTCCAACGTGTAACAACAACCTCAGGTCGTGCCAAAATCGATGGAATCCGATATCCAACAACTCGCGCGTCGATTACACAAATCAAATGTCCTTGACTCGTCCTACCGTCCAGCCGAACTGACAACTCAAATGCCACAGTCTCGTCACCTTGGCGCAACTGCTACGCGCAGCATTTCTGTATTCGAGGATTCGAGTTCGAGATGATCATTATCCAGGCCATCGAGTGCGACGCAAGAGCGGGCCCAGAATTCCCTTCCATAACGCTTCGAAGTCCAGACATTCTCACTATACCAAGCGCAGAGCTCGATCAGTCGCGACTGTGTAATCGAGTGTATCCGCGGAATTGAGCGACGTGAAGGAACAGTGATCGATTTCGTGCTGGGAAAGAACGCGTCGCGGAGAAATATTCTTCCTTCCGCGTCAAATTTGGGACCGAGGTCTTTCTCCCCCTTCAAAAGGTGTCAGGCTTCGAGAGAGTCGATATGACCTCGGGAGTGTACAAGTGTAGAATAACGTCAAAATTTACAATCCCAATACAGACCACTACATCCGCTCACGAAAGGGATTTCTTCTACGCAAACGCGATCCCGGATCGTGAGACGCCAGACCAGAGCCCCCTCGAATCATCACAGCACGCAGCTGCTCTTATTGCGCGCTTGCTGGGAAACATGCTCGCTCAGCACAGTCTGACGATAGGCCGTCCCGAAATTAAGGGAGGTGGTTAAACACTCTACTACTACCTGCGCTAGATCAGCTCCCCGGTCTAAGAAGGACAAGTCTCTCCTCATTATAGCTCCTCTATCGCTAAAGGGAATTTGACTTTAGTCGGGGTTTCTAGATCTTAGGAACTACGCTGAATACATATCTACATAGTTATTATAATGCTTACTATAGGCCTTGTATAACCTTCACCCGACTTCTATTATACTACGCTTACTGGGAGTTCTACTACAACCCTCTCCCTCCGTACTACGCTCTCCCTACACAAGATATAGAGCTCTATTGCCAAATAATCGATATTTGCCATCTCTGTCAGAAAACTAATGACTGGTTAATTGGTATTGAACGAAGGATCGTCGCCGTAATTCGTTCGTAGAAGCGGTTTCGAAGAAGTTTATCAGCTATTGTGTTGTAGAACTACGCGACACTTCGCTATCTAAATCCCGAGTAGTGAAAGAAAAAAGAAGGAATGAAAGAGGGTATTTTGAAAAGTTCCTCCTCTCCTTATTGTTACTTTGTCATTCATATTACCGCTCTGGTCTTCCTATTTTAATCTCATTGCTATCTACATTATCTACTCCCAAACCTCCAACATCCCTCACTAACACAACTTCAGTTCGGAGTAAGCTTCAAAAGCCTACCATTTGCACCATCCTCAATCACCCAAATGGCACCGTCCTTAGCCTCTCGAATCCCACGCATACGCTTACCCATCGAGATACGCTGCGCTTCCTTCGCCGTATCCCCAGTAATAGCCACACGCACAAGACCCTGCGAGCTCAGCCCGGTAATAATAGCATTCCCCTTCCAGCTCGGAAAAAGATCGCCCTTATAGATGATCAAGCCCGCCGGGGAGATGACCGGCACCCAGAACGCTTTTGGAGCCGCGAAATCCGGGCGCTTACTATGCGCGGGAATCGCAGTACCGTTATAATGTTTCCCCTCCGACACAAGCGGCCATCCATAATTGGCACCGGACTGAATCAAATTAAGCTCATCCCCACCCATGGGTCCCATCTCGACCTCCCACAGCCGTCCTTGCGCATCTAAATCAATACCCAGCGGATTGCGATGGCCCAGCGACCATACCTGCGCCTGAACCGCGCCCTGGCTGGCAAACGGGTTCCCGGCAAACGCAGTCCCGTTATCGTATAACCTCACCATCTTCCCCAGATTCCCACCCATCGCCTGCGCAGGGAACATCTGGTTGATTTCGCCCGACGCAATCCACAGCGCGCCGTCCGCCCCGAACAGCAGTCGACATGCGAATTGCAGCCCCCCTGTCGCCCGCTGCGAGTGCCGCCAGATGACCTCGAGCCCAGACAGCGCGCCGCCGCCGTTGGCATCGAGCGTGAGTTTGGCCCGCGCGACGGCGCCGCCTGCACCGCCGCTGCCGCTCTCGGCGTAGCTGATGTAGATGAGGCTGTTCGAGGCGTATTGCGGGTGTAAGGCGACGTCGTGGAGACCGCCCTGGCCGGCGTAGGCGACGGCGGGGACGCCGGTGATGGTGCCGGTGGATTTCTTGGTCGGGTCGACGAGACGTAGGTTACCGCGGCGCTCGGTGACGAGAATGCGGTTGTCGGGGAGGAAGGCGATGGCCCATGGCTCGGCGTGGGTGGTTATGGGTGTGGATTTGAAGGGCTGCTGGCGGGTGTGTAGTTGTTGGGATGGGATGGCGAAAGTACCGGGTACTAATGCTAGAGCGTAGATGAGAGACAGTGTGAGATGTAGCATTTTTAGGGCGCGTTTGCTGTTTCAATGTATTATATTTCTTGACGATTGAGGGTTAAGTGTTTGTATTATATGGATATTCCACGCTGTCTGTTCCTCTAGGGTAGGTAGGTATTTAGGAACTCGAGTAACCTCTTATCCAATTTCAGCCTACGTTAATGACGTAGTATATATACTGTTCATTTGGTTAAATTCCTATACTCTCATGTTTAAATGCGTCTCCTGTTGACGGTAATGAGATAGCATTCCTGACAGCCGTTACGCGCTTCGACGATCGATAGTGCCAAGTAACTGCCAATTCTACCCCTCTCACACAAGCCCGCAATTGACACAACCTAAGCAACAGAAATCGGCAGATAAAATCCCCTCCAAAAGAACCTCTTCTACAATACATAAAAAACCAACGACTAAACATCTCCCCTACAGAAATAAAATTAGCAAGAACTTAAAAACGAAGCTCCCACATACCCAAAAGGAAAGCCTCATCTCATAAACCCTTTCGTTCTAAATAGCAATCGTCAAGTTCCAGTCGTCCTTCCACCTTCATGGTCTCGTGTACCCTCAGGTTGCTTGGCCGCCTTCGGCACTTGAGTTTTGGTAGGATGGCAGTTCTTGGCGACCGGTAGGAACTTGAAACAGAAAATACTGTTATGACTGCGATTAGATTAGGCGTATTATAGTTAAGATGGGTAAAACTGCGGGATGGGATTTAAGCGATAGAGGAATACTTCGGGCAGATATAACTACAGGGAGGGCTGTGAGCTGTGAGCAAATGCTGTTTGTGAGTGTTGAGAGGACATAGCGCGAGGATAAGAATGTGTATGATATATATGAATGGGGGCTAGAACATTGCAAGATGTATTGGCGGTTTGGAAGGAAATGGGAGTGGGAAATTTGGAGAGGATGAATTAAAAGATGATTCGTAACGAAGAAGAGAGGTTGGGGAGATAATAATCTAAGAGAAATACTTCCGATGACAGGAACACGAAGCTTTGCTTATTATGGTTCCTCTATTCATACACCGCTGAAAATCGGAAACCCATAACCCATTAAAATCATCTAATTCATACCTCATAACCACAACTAACAAACCTACTCACCCCTCCTCCTCTTCCCCTCCTCCCACAACTCATCATACTTATCCCCTCCCCTCCCCCTCCGACTCCTCTCCCTCTCCCTCCTCGATTCCCCACCACCCTCCCCCCTCCTCCTCCGTCCCTCCTCCCAAATATCATCATACTTATCCCTCTTCCCGCCACCCCTCTCACTCCTACTCCTCCCCTTACCCTTCCCATCCTCCCTCTTCTTCCCCGCATGTCTCCCCAGCCCACCCCCCAACAACGCACCCCCCACCGTGCCTAACCCCGGCACAATCAAATCACCCAACGCCGCACCCCCTGCCGCGCCCCAGAATGTGCCATTCCGCGCTTTCGACCCTGTTTTCTTCTGATGCTGCCCGCGTGCTTTTTCGGCGTAGTATCCGCGTTCGCGGGAGCGGGAGCGCGAGGATGATGTTGAGGGGGAGCGGGAGTGTCGGTGGTGATGGTGGTGGTGGTCGTCGGGGGGAGGTTCGGAGTAGGAGCGGCTGGGGCGGAGGATGGATTGGGGTTGTTGGGGTTGAGGTTGGTGGACGAGTTGGGTTGTTTGGGGGTTTTGTTGGTTGTAGAGGTATTGAGGAGCTGGGTGTTGAGGTTGCTGGTATGGTGGTTGTTGCTGTGCTTGTGGATATGGGGGTTGGGGCGGGTATTGATGTTGATACTGCGACTGTGGAGGTTGTGCGTGGGGTTGAGGATGGTGATATCCTTGCAGATGCTGATTATTATCGTATGACTGACCGTATGGGTTGGCAGATTGCTGTTTATTATCATCCCTCCATCCATACTCCATCTCCGGTGCAGGAGACGGTGTGAAATGCACCCTGTGATGCTCAACGTGCGAGTTCGGGTGATAGTATTCTTGAGCCGCCATATTGAGGATATACTTTTCAATGTAAAGATAATAGAACCGAATCACGATAACGCTCTAAGAAGTAGTCAAAGCCTTACCCGCATAGCCGTGTCATTCGTGAAACGCCAATGGTTGAACGTCATCCTGCATCGAATGTTCTTGGGGAGCTCGGCACTAGGAAGGTAATCGCCATTGAATACCCTGATGATCAGACGTGAAAAAGCTTATAATCCCACTTATATTGGAAGCCAAGCGCTGAGTGTGAAGATGTTCCTTGTTGGGAGAAGCAGAAGGTCTTGTGGTGTGGTTGCATTTGGATTATGGATGACTTCACGAAGTCCCACAATTAAAGCAGACTAGTCCCGTTTAGAAATGCACTACATACTTCGAAGTGAGTAGAATCCTCGAATATACGACATCGTTAATAGAAGTTATCTTCTTAAGGTCAATGCCTGTGTGCCGAGAGACGTACGAAGACAAAAACTGAGATGTTACGACAATCTACTAACAGATTAACTTTTTGGTTTATTTTTATTGCAATTAAATTATCTACCTCCTTTGAATGCTTCTAACCTATCAATTTGCCAATTGTCACCGCGTCGCCGCCGCCTCCTTAAGTTTATAAAGTGTAGTAAAACGAGTTCCTAGGCACTATAGTAGAGGTACATGATAGGACGTATTCGGCGACTTATTAGTTACTGTAAGGTGTAGACTACACCTTATAGCCTATTTCGATGTAAGAATATGACATGCGCCGTGACATGAAAAGCCTCCTTTTACACTATATTATAATATATTAACTTACTACATCACCAGTAAGCCTTTTCACTCTCCAAGCTTTTAGAACGATTGAATGTGGATATCCAGGTTTTTATTATAAACAGCTTTTATTCGATTTGTAGCAGCCAGGGCGCGGCATATTATACGACGTCGCTTAGAGATTCAATTGTATCTTATAAAAATAAAACTATTGCTATGCGTAGCGGATCTCGCCAGAAATCCCTAATTCCCTACATAATCCATCCTCCAAACTCCAAAATAAAATCCTGACGAACGTGCGTGCTATATGCTGACAACACCTATGTAAGGCAGGTTCTTATTCGCTTCAATCCCAAACTCTGCTAGTTGAAATCCCCTACAGAGAAAGGAAAGTGCCCAATCTCCGACGCTCCTCATCACTCAACGAATTGAAAACACATCTTCAACTGACGAAAATGCACCGAAAGCTCTCCCATACATGTATCCATCAACGTAGGCATCTCCTACAAAACTCCAATCCTCCGCTGCACCTTTCCTCAGCACAACGGGCACATTGCATCCGTGAAGCACAACAATTCTATCCCCTGGTAAGGCATTGCAAGGAACCAGTCCCTCTATTCGCGTTTCATACTGCCACGATTGCCTCATTGTAGCGAGTTTCCGATTTAAACACATCATATTCATGTGCGTTCGAAACTTCATGACGTCTTTCTTCGAGCTCTTCTTCGCCTGCTTCGGTGTCTGGGCAAATAGATCAACTGGGTACGCAGTCTCCGAGCCTAGCACGTGTTGAGAGTAGATCTGGCGGAAACAATCGAACGAGAAAGGTTGTGAGTCGCTGTGCCATTCCGCAATCAAAGTGTCCCAGTTGCGAACACGTTTGAGCCATTCGATCAAAGTGGGCTCCGATGCGTCATATGTAGTGCTCACGCTCTCGATAGTGGCCAGGTATGTTCCTCCTGCTTTCAGCCTAGAAAGATCTTTGGAGAATTTCACATCGGGAGTTGATGTGTTTAAAGCGTTGTGTGGTGCTCTAGCTAAGCAGAAGTATATCCATGGGGAACTCCAGTCTGGCGCCCAGGATGGCAAGCCACTCCGCGAGGTTGCAGATGGTTGGCTGGCACAGATGATAGCAAGATTTTTGCGTTTTACTACTATCTCTCTTGTAAGTCTCTTGTAAACCTCGCTAATCGACTTCGAGTAGTCGGGCAAGAACTTGCTTTTTGACATGTCTGACGCAAGACCGAGTAAGGCGTATACGTTGTCCCTGGGATCTGATGCTTTAAGACCACGATGTTGAAGTAACAGATCGCTCATTTTCTGCGAGGAACTGCGAGCAAATTGCTGCCGAGAGAAACTCCTTTGAAGTGATTGTTGATATCCAGTACTTTCATCTGGTGATACCTGTAAGATGGGCTTGCTGCGTTGGATTCCTTCCACAAAGGCCATAAAGGTATTCCATGGAACTTCGGAATAACCGCACATGATTGTGACGTCGGGGTTAAGGACCACTTCTTGAAGCGTCCAGACCCGCGACCACCATGTTCGACTGAGAAGATCATTAAAGCCTTTAAGTAGTTGGACTCGACGACTTTGGGCTATGTCTTCTCTGCTGTTCATTCCATCACTATCAAAGTCGACTAAAGGCTCTGGACAACCGTCCATGATAGTTCTGGCAGTCTTCACTAGGTGTTTCCTGTCCTTCTCACCACCTTCCTGGTGGCTAGAAACCCAGGAAATAGTATGGCAAGCCTCAGTACAATCCTCTCCAAGCCAAACCACCACCCTTACGGCAGTTTGGTATATATTCCGCATAATAGAGACTTGCTGTGTCTTTTCAAGCGGGGATGATTGATTTATACATATTGCATCAATCCACAAGATTCTTTCCACGTCCGCCCGACGAAGATGTCGTAGAGCAAGGTATAGATTTGGCGTAATAAGAAACAAATCACCATTAAGAGTGATATGGTGCGAAGCAATCGAATTGCCCCATGTATATGATAGGGCTTCGTAGGAGAAGGTGTTACCCCCGCGGGAGTCTTCGACTAAGGTACAGTCGAGCGGTGCGTCCCCGGTTCCTGGGCTAAGGAGGAGAAGTCGGAAGGAATTACTGTCTTCGAGCGGCTCGTATTCGAACATTCCCAAATCAACTTCGCCCTTCTTGTTCATTTTCACAAAGTTTTCGAAGAATAGAAGAGAAAGCACGGCCTACGTGCCAGTAGCGAGAGAGGATAAGTTGATCAACTCGTAAAGTAGCCGAGCCTTAACGAATGGAGCTGAAATAGGTAGACATCAGATCAGCAGCGATAACATAGCCTTAGGCACCAACATCAGACCGAATCGGAATCCTACCTTACGCCACACACATGATTAGACCAAAAGAATAGTGGCTGAGTAAAATATAGCGAGAACGGATTTGTACCAAGTACAAAATATGGACTTACATAAACTAATGAAGTGTTTACTCCGCTCTAGCTCTACTCTAAGCGGCCAAAACTATAATATAGATTGAGGCTTTTGTACAGTGAGAATAGTGCAGATCTAGTGGAATCAGAACATAACTAGCAAGAGTTAAACAACTATTATTTTGGGCAATGGAACCAATCAAGTACGATTTAAAGCTAGTGAGCAGTCAATCCCAGAAAAACAATAATCTAGATAAACAAGCTCCTAAAACCAAACATCCAGGCCCAAATCACAACACGCAGAATGATATTCCGTAAAAACAAATGACGTTGTCCAATTGGCATAAGAAAAACGCTCTTCCCAACAGGCAATAGCCCAAAATTACGACAAAAGCAAGAAAAGTACGTCCATTCAATCGATTTCAGACACGCAATTGAGATTGATGATAAAGAGTACACGTAACGCGGAGCAACCTCAGACGAAATAGCAAAAAGAGACACTATATGACGTTTCAATCAATGTCAAACACGCAGTTTAAGATGACACGACCGGTAATACTTCCTCGATTGGCGAAGAAGTGTTGGAAGCAGAAGCCGGGGTGCTTGATCCGATGGATGTTGTCGACACCTTTACGTCGCTTCCTTTGAACGTCACGGTCTGGGCCAGAATGGTTTCGTGGCTGGAAATAGCCTGGAGGTCTGGAAATAGCCTGGAGGTCCTGTGGCTCCGTTGCCGGATTTACAGTTGAGGTGACTGCTCCCTTGTTTGAGGTGTCAATTAATGTTGGTGTGTTGAGCTGGAGAGTTGGATGTTAGTATTGATAAGAAATCTTATGTTGGAGGAAAACGAGTAATCAGGGAGCATTTTCTTACCACGACCTCTTCAACCGCTTCAGCAACAACAATCGAACCAGCTCTCACCAACCCATCCCCTTGCTCCCCCTCCACCTCCCCGCCAACCCCAAGCCTCGCAACATCAACCAACTTACTCTTCCCTAAAATCCTCTCCCCAAGCGCCCTCACACTACTCGAAGTCAACAACTCCAGCACCTGCAAACTCGCCTCCAGCTCCCTCGTAATCCAATTGCGAATCTCAATCGCAACAAGCGAATCAATTCCGTACACCACGATCGGCTTGGATGGATCCATCTCCTCTCTTGGAACCATTAGCACGGCTGAAACTTTCGTGAGGAGTGCTTCGACGACGGTTTCTAGGGCTTGGTCGTGGGATTGAGCGGATTTTAAGGAGGAGGAGAGAGAGATGGTTTTGGGTGAGGAGGAGGATTGTTGGGCTTGTGCTAGGAGGGCTGAGGTTTTGAGGTGGGTGAATTTGGCGTCGTCGACCCAGAAGAGATCGTCTATTTGGGAACCGATTTTTAGTCCGGTGATGCAGTGGTTGTTGCAGTTAGCTTCCATGCGTCCTGTGATAGCAGCTGCGATTAGAGCGAGAACTTCACTCTCCGCGATAGTCTCACTGCCGAGGTTCTCAGCGACTTGTGCTTGCTTCGCGGCATTCTCAGCGAGATAGCCAATATCGCTTACGGCGGTGAGATCGATGCTAGAAGCTGGAAGACCTAGGTTATTCCGATATTGGACGAATGAGTTGAGGAACGTATTTGCAGCCGCGTAAGCAGCTTGGCCACGATTGCCGACTGCACCAGCGGCAGACGAAAGGGCGATAAAGAAGTCGAGAGGGATCTCGAGTAGAGCATTGTGGAAGTTCCAAGCTCCTGTGACTTTAGGTTTAACTACCTCGTCCCATTGCGAGAAGGTCATCTTTTCGAACAGAACATCGTCGAGAACCATCGCTCCATGGATGACGCCGCGAATGGGTGGATGTGAAGAGAGATCCTCTGATACAAGCTTGTCGACTTGTGCTTTATCGCTGACGTCGCAAGGGAAAACGGTGATCGTCGCACCGAGAGTGGTAGCTTCATCCACCAGTTCTGCGACCTTACCTGTACCTTTACCACTGCGTGACAAAAGGACGATATTTCGAGCTCCTTTCCGCATCGCCCATCTGCTCATGCTGCGACCGAGGCCACCAGTACCACCAATTATAACGTACGTTGCGTCCGCTTTAAGTAAGTCATTGGGTATTTTTGAAGGAGTTGCCTATCCGTGTTAGACTCGACTATTATCCTGATTTGGAAAACACTTACCGGAACTTGATCATCCTTCCCAGGAACGACAACAATCTTACCCATAGTCTTACCTCCTTGCAACGTCCGGAAAGCCGACTCAACTTCAGAAATAGGGAAAACAGTAATTGGCGAGATCGGTTTCACATGTCCCTTCTCCATCAAATCAAAGACATCCGAAAGAAGCCTCTTCATGATTTTCGGCCGTTCCGCCGCAGCAACTGTCAAGTCTACACTCGCAAACATGGCATTATGTTCAAATCTCGCCATCTCGAGACGAGAATTACCAACAATATCGCGCTTTCCGATCTCGATGAAACGTCCGAAATGTGCCAAACTGTCCCAGGTTTCGCGTAGTGCATCACCTGCGAGAGAGTTGAGAACGAGGTCAACGCCTTGCCCTTTTGTTGCACATTTAATGCATTTAGCGAAAGACGTGTCTCGGCTGTAGAAGATGTGATCTTCTGGAATACCGTATTGGGTCATCAAGAACTTTTTCTTACCAACGCTACCGACTGTGGCAAAGATCTCAGCGCCCGCCATTTTGCAGAACATGATAGCGGCTTGACCAACTCCTCCTGCTGCTGCATGAATGAGGACGGTCTCATCTTTGACAAGACGACCGAGGTCAAAAAGAGAATAGTATGCCGTGCAAAAGATAACTGGAATCGTTGATGCATCCTCGAAAGTCATGGTATCAGCAATCTTGTGTACACTCGTACCGAGACACCTGGTATATGTAGAATATGCACCCTCACTCATAGCGCAAACTCGATCTCCAACGACAAGATTCATGACTTCACTGCCAACAGCACTGATTATGCCAGAACATTCCACGCCGATATACTTGCTCGATAGCTGCCCCATAGATATCATAATGTCCTTAAAGTTCATACTCGTAGCTTTGACTTCAATCTCCACTTCGTAATCTGGAAGTGGTGAGCCAACTGCGAGATCATCGACGAAATACAGTGTATCTAGAGCACCAGGCGTTTCGATAGCAATTTTTAGTGCCCTTCCCGGTTGAGTAAATGATTGCATGTCTGGAGCAGATGATGTGTGGGTTTCTTGATGAACAAATTTGTTCATATCTGCATCGTCGACGATGCGAGGGACGAAAAGCTCGCCATCTCGTTCCTGGTATTCCATATCGAGTCCAATTAGCGAAGCACCGGAGGAAAATGTTTTCTCAAACACCTCGACTATCTTCTCAGCAACCAGAGTGCTTGAAGGCTGTAACGAAGTCCCAAAATCCAGGGTTACAAATTTGAGAAGTGTCTCCGATCGGATGCTGCGAGCCATGCCAACCACCATCTCGGCATTTGGATTTTGAGATGCAGTGTATGCGCCCTTGACGGCCCAAATTATACCAGCGGCAGAAGCTATCATTTTCTGCACGCGTCCAAAGTTCTCCGAATTCATGTTAGACAAGATAGGCTTTTCGAGCTCTGATAGCACGATGCATATCTTGCCTTCTGTTGCCACTGTAGAAAGTGATCCAATTGTTGGAGTCTTACCCGTGAGCTGGAAGAGTGGCTCTCGAACACTGAATAACAGATCTTGTTGAGTTTCCTCGTCGCAAATGATCGCAACTTCAGGATAAACTGTAGACATTTCTGAGCTCGCATGCTCTGTTTTGCCATTTTCAAGTGCCCTCTCCACCACAGGAGATTGAACAGGCTCCCATTCTAACTTGTAGCAGAGTTCGCGATTCACAATCGCCCCAGCATCATTCGAACCGTCAAACACAGGAGTCATCACCAAACCTTCCATGGTGATCAGTGCCTCTTCGCCACCCATTGATGTTGCGAAAAGATCAAGCTTCGTAGGAGCAGGGTGCTCAGGTGTAGGTTTCCCAGTCCCATACACTCTCATACGATCCCCAGCTTCTGTAGCAAATCCTCGAGATATCTTGATATTTTGTACAAACGAAGGCATGTAAAGAACACCGAGACCGCCACGTCCTGCGCCAAATATTGGCCAGACGATCTGAATGAACTGGTCTAGGAATGCGGGATGGATTATGATCTCGGATTCGAATCCATGTGGCAGCGCAGCCGCGGTATTTGGTACGATGAGATCGGCAACTGCGTGATTGTCGCTGGCTCGGCAGTTTTCAAGGCCTTGGAAAGTTTCTCCGTATCCAGCACCAGCAGCTGTCAGTGTTTCGTACATATCTGAAGGTTTTACATCTGTAGTCGAAGCTATCGAGATACATGACATGCGCTTCAAAATCTCAGATTTGGTTTGCGCAAGCTGCTGGGCGCCGTTCACCGGATTGCTTTCAGTAGCTCTTTTCGCGGAAACAAGTCCACGACAATGTTCTGTCCAACTCCGATCTTGCGCCCACGAGAAAATGCGAAATTCATCCCATGTGTCTGACGATGAGCGAGTCCCCTCCGCATGAGCCCGTAGGGTGATGTTGACCTCCACATCAGCGCCTTCATGAATGACTAATGGACGGCTGACGGTAAATTCTCGTATTTCATAGTTTTCGAAAGCGAAGTTCCGCATTGTTGCCCGTTGGCTTGCTGCTTCGATTGCCATTGCAATATAACCAGCCATTGGATACACAGTCATGGACTGCATCTTATGATGTCTAACCCACGGCTGATCGTCTGCTCTGATTATATTCCGCCATGTAGGTTCCAGCGCGTTTGAATAGCTTGCAAGGGTCCCCACGATATCGTTCCTGGGAAATGGCCGGTCAACATGGCTCTGAGCGATCCTGGACTCATGCCAGTATTTCTTCGAATGGTTCCAAGAATATTTGGGCAGATTAGTTAGCAGTACTGGAGCCTTGACACCCGGAAATGGGAAGTTAACAGCGCCGAGATCGACCGGTGCGCCATGCGTGAAGAGTGTTGCCACGGCCTCCAGTGTTGTATCTACCGCATTTTTGTTTCTTTGCAGAACAGCGCCATAGGGAAGCTTTGTTGCATTTCCTCCGATGGATTTAAGTATTTGTTTCACTGGTCCTTCCAAGGCAGCATGTGGACCGATCTCTAGGATGAAATCAACACCGAGAGTAGAGTTTTCATCAGCCCGGCACATGCTTTGTACTGATTCGGCAAATCTGACGGTGGAGGTAAGATTCTTAACCCAGTATTCAGGTCCCAATTCAGAGGTGTTGACTTCGCGACCAAGTAGTGACGAATGAAATGTCGCTTCTGTCCCACCTGTAGGGTCGACTTCTTTAATGGTATTGTAATATTGCTCTGCCACCAATTGCATATGATGGGAGTGATATGCGGTGTCAACCCGCAGTTTTCGATTGAACATTTGCTTCTTCTCGGCCATTTCCTGTAATTCGGTAATCGCTTCTTCGTCACCAGATGCTGTAATACTAGAGGGACTGTTAATACATGCCACTGCGACTCGGCCAGTTTTCAGCATCTTGAGCATAGGTCGTATTTCTTCTGCGGAAGCTCCAATCGCCACCATGGCACCTTTCAGAGCAGGAAACTGCTTTTTGAGATCCACAATCGATTGTCCTCTGAAGTAAGCAATCTCAATGCAAGCTTCAAGTGAAAGTGATCCGGCTGCATAAGCTGCACCGGTCTCGCCGCTCTGTCGCAGTCGTCAGTAGAAAAGCAATATTTCTGAAGGTTTTATCTTACCGAATGCCCGGCAACAGCTGCAGGTCTAATGCCCCATGATTCGAGCAAGTCTGTCAAAGCTAGCTGCACAGCCGTACAAGCTGGCTGACTAATTTCAGCATCGGATACTCTTGAGGACTGAGCATCTTTCGACAGTTCATCTGGTCACATGTCAGTAAGAGCTTGCCAGTAAAAATGCACTCTTAGAGCAAGTGTACCAAGAAGGGAGAATCTAGCGCCCAAGTTGGACAGATGATGGTCAATTCGTTCCATCGTAGTCGCAAAGACCGGATAAGCATCAAGCAGTTCATGACCCATAGCATGCCACTGTGCTCCTTGGCCTGTAAAAACATATCCTATCCTTGGCTCGGCCAGCGAACGGAACTGAGTCGCACTACCTCTAGATAACACAGGGATCAATTCTGCAGATGATCTAGCAGGGACGGCAATTTTGTATGCAAGCACAGAGCGTCGCTGTCCAAGGGTATACGCCAAATTTGGTAACAATGAATTCTGAAAGACCTCCGGACGTTGCTCTAAATAAACCGTAAGCGCATTCATCTGCTTCGCTAGGGCCGCTCTATCGTTCGCTGACAGTACAAAAATACGTTTCGCGGGTGCTTTTGTGCCCGTAGCCAGAGAAGTATTAACTCCTGCGATATTTGGCTTCGGCAAGGCAGGTGGACGACCTAGGATCGCGTGTGCGTTGCCACCACCAAATCCGAAGTTATTGATACTTGATGTTCGTCAGTTAATTCCTTGGACGTTTTGGTTATCTTTACCTTGCATATTTCTTTCCTCGCGGCCAAGGACGTTGAGAAGTAGGTACTTTCATTCCCCACTCATCAAGTGGAATTTTCGCATTAGGTTTCTCGAATCCACAATTTGGTAGGATAAACCCCTTTTCCAGCAGGAGAGCTGTCTTGATGACTGAAACGATACCGGAAGCCCCTTCAAGGTGCCCGATATTTGATTTCACCGAGCCTACGAAAAGTGGCTGCTTCTTCGAACGTCCCTCTCCAAAAACCTCGTGTATTGCTGTAGCTTCGATCGGGTCGCCGATTTTGGTCCCAGTTCCGTGTGCTTCGACTGTTTAAAGGTTAATATTGAATTATTCAATACATGAAAACAGCTTACTCACCATAACCAACCTCAGTTGGGTCCAGCCCGGCTTTTCGGTAGGTAGCTTTCATGAGTGCGACCTGTGCCTCTCCACTTGGCATCGTAATTCCCTTCGTTCTACCATCTTGATTGATCCCGGTTCCATGGATTAATGCTCGGATTGAGTCTCCTGCCTTGATCGCTTCGTCCAAAGGTTTCAAGATAACGCAGCCAGCTCCTTCACCTCTACCGAAACCACTTCCGCGGTGATCAAAGGCGTACGATTTACCTTCGTCTGAGAATAGGCTACAGAAGTTAGCAAAGAATCGTGAGCTTCGAGGCATATATCATTACCCTTGCATGGACATGATGATGAAATAGTCAGGTAGTAGATTTAGGTGGCAACTTGCAACTATTGCCTGGCTAGACTCGCCGCTCTGGAGACTTTGGAAAGCCAAGTGCAATGCTGTCAAACTAGATGAGCATGCTGTGTCGCATGTGAAAGATGGTCCCGTCAACCCAAAATAATACGAGAGTCGATTAGCAAGTAGTGACTGGGCACATCCCGTCGCTTGATACATGGGCGCAGTATCTGTATCTCTACAATTGCGCAGTTCGTAATCGGCAAAGGACCCGCCCACATATACGCCAACATTTTTTCCATCAATGCTCTTCTTTTGTATCCCACTGTTTTCTAGAGCTTCATATGTACATTCAAGTAGCAGACGTTGTTGCGGGTCCAAAGAGATGGCCTCTTTCTCTGTGAGATTGAAGAAAGGTGCATCGAACAGACCAACATCTTCAGTCAAGAAGTGTGCTCCTTTTGGATTATAACAACCCGGCTTATCTGGATTTGGGTGGTGAAAAGCTTCGTGGTTAAATCTCTCCTTCGGAATTGGAGACCAGCCACTCCTCGCTCGGGAGCACAGTTCCCAGAATTCATCAGGACTTTTCACATCCCCAGGTAAACGACAGCCCATTCCAATGATAGCGATTGGTACGGGCACATCTTTGCCGTTTGTGTTGAGAGAAGTTGAAGGGCAACCATTAGCTAAGGGGTTTTGAAGACGGGTGTTGGCTGTAATTCCACAACCATTTCCATTCGTGTTGGCATCATTTCCAGATGCCACTCCTTTTCCATGCCCATTCAATAGAGCGGGAGGCATGGTCTGCCCACCTGCATGACCATTCTCAGCAGGGCCAACCGAGACGGCGGAAGGAGCCATGCTTAATCTTTGAATTGTAATTCCTCTGATTGATACCTGTTGGGTTCTCTTAACGCACACCTGTCCAGCATTTAGCAGAAGAAAATTATGAAAATGCTGGAATATTCATACCTCTCGACAGGAGTGCGGAGGATGTCGTCTGATTTATTGCTGATAATTGGGATACCACATCCTGGAGAGTTGGTGCACTTAAACAAGGAAGAATCGATGGCGTTGAACGGCGCCCGTCACTGGATATGGCAGCCGTCTAGACTAGTTTGCAGGGTCCTTCTGTAACAGTGACCAGCTTCCAGATAAGACGGATCCTGCAATAATGAGAGACACCAGATTCCGAGTGAGATTTTGGTCGTCAGAGCGCCAAGGTGACGATAACACGCCGAGAAATCTCTAGTGGAAGACTGCATCAGCGACTTCAGCTTATCTGCTGTTTGCAACAGCAGGGGAGGCATTGCACTTCTTTGGAAAGCAGCAAAACCGTGCCAGGATTTTGATACTATGTTATTGTAGGGGTCCACGCAATCGGAGGGTCCCACGATCAGCCTCCTAGGGCAGTTTCCTAGTCTCTAACAGAATAGCTCTATCGCGAGGGGAAGGTCCCGCACCCGAAGAGGAAGATCTAGCGTCGGTTATTAAACGCACGTAGAACCTTGCTAATCTTGGATCCAGTCGTGAGGATCAGCCCACATATTGATTGCTTAAGCAATGCTTAGCGCAGGAGTATTGCGCTTCTCGAGACGCTATACTACCTCTTTTCCGCTATAGACTTCCTCATGGTTTACCCCCATGCATAGTCTCCTGGTCCACTCACCAGTATCAATTTGAGATCATAATGCAAGCAATTTGGTTTGGTTGTGAAGAGCTGCTTCGCAGTCTGACTGGGTACGGTGGTTCAAAATGGACATCAAGATCTTGGTCTCGAGGTGGCAAGGTTCGTAAAGCTGGCGCGAGGTCTGGATTTTGCAAGGAATGACTGCAAGGGATCGGATAGGATAATAAGCATTGGCTGATGCGCTCAAATGACAGTTTGCGTTGAAACGATCACAGAATCTAATAATTCCAGGTTGACGCGAGAAGCGAGTTGGAGTACCCAAAGCAGAAGCCAACTGGATCCACATATGTTCTGCCTTAGGCTGCAACATCGCTTTTGCCTCGACAATCTTCTCAGGAATTTGTTGATCTCGCTTCCCCTTTTCAACTGTTAAAAAGCCATGGGCTTTTCCATTCCGTCAATCCTTGCTGATGTTCGTTGCCATTCTCCCCAGACCGATTTACATACTTCAGATTGCATTGAGGAGAAAACCTCCGCGGATCTTCAGATCTACAGCGCTATTCTCGTGCTGTGCTTCCGACAGACGGTTCACGTCGAGCTATTGATGATAGGTACAAAGCCAATCCAGCCTTGTACTACCCGTTGGGCAATGGTATTCTCTAGTGTTCTTTACGAGTCAAATATTCGAATGGCTGCGAGATGAGCACAAGATGTCAGTTAGCCTCTTGTGTAGCACACATGCAGCTTCGGTGTCACCCTCGCGACCAGTATCCATTTATATCGGATGCGAAATCTGCTTCAGAGGCACAATGCAACACAAACAGGTTGTCTATTGCGCCATGTAACCTCCTCGGATCGCAGGAATAGATTTCTTGTCATCCCCGTGTCAAACCGGTATTGTTCCTTGCGACTTATTTGCAAAATATTCCACGTTGCACATTTGATTTGCTCAGCGCCAGGCCAAGTGTCGATCCGACCCCTGACCACAACATATGCCGGCGCCATTAACTTCGGTAATCATCATCCTTGGTCAAACTAGGGAAGCTTATCGACGTCGGAATCTTATCAGTTTTATCCTTGTTGTAAGTCGCTGCATACAGTGGGGTGCAAAGAGTTTGCACCCATGTCAGGTATTGCCAAGCTGTTTAACCTAATTAGGACTTGTTATCGCTGCCGCTTTTCTAAAGTAATTCTTCTCTCTTACATACTTTTCTTAGCTTTACAATGGCTCGAAAAGAGTTAACTCCTGGCCAGCGTGACCGTATCTGCGAGCTTTTAGCCCTTCGATATACCCCTACTCGAATACACAAGATACACCCCGAGTGGCCAATTAGTACAATTAAATCTACTATTCGTCGTGAAGCCTCACGAGTCAATAACTACTCGAAACCACGATGCGGCGGACCTCGAGCTTTAACAGAAGAGCAAAGAGATTATGTCTACGATGTTACAAATCATATCAACCCCCATATTAAGATGCGAGACCTTCTTCACGAAGTCGACGACGCCTGTAAAAAGAGGTCACTCCAATACCTTTGCCGAGAGATGAATAAGAGGAAATAGAGGCAACGAAACCGTCCCAAAATCACACAAGCTCACGCTGATGCTCGACTAGCCTGGGCTATTGAGCACTAAACCTATACCCTTATAGATTGGCATAAGGTCTCGTGGTCAGACGAGTGTACGATTGAAAGGGGTAAAGGGGTTAAACCGGTGTGGACATTTACTCGGCCTTGCGACCAGATCTTAATTAAGGATGTACAGCCTATTCGTGCCTCTGGAAAGGGGGTAAGGAAGATGCTTTGGGCAGCCTTTGGCTCAAATCGTCGTACAGGATTAGTACCTTTAGATGGAGACCTAGAGGCTCCTCGAGGGGGGGTAACCTCGTAGGTTATAAGAGAGGTATATCGAGCGTTTTTGCCAGATATACTAGTTAAAGGAGGAGAGTTTATACACGATGGGGCAGGTCCTTACCGTGGCCATATTGTTATAGACCTTCTAAGGCAAATGGATATTAAAGTAATAAAATGGCCTCCTTACTCCCTAGACCTTAATCTAATTGAGAACCTTTGGGCATTAGTTAAGGCAGAGATATATAGACTCTATCCTGAGCTTGAAACAGCCCCTGATACCGAGGCTACTCTTAATCTACTTGTAGAGGCAGCACAGGAGGCCTGGCACGCTATTGATATAGGTATTCTATATAGGCTGGCAATGACAATGGAGAACCGGGTAAAGGCTGTAATTGATAATGATGGTTGGTATACAAAATACTAGGAATAGCTTCAAAATAATCTATTGTTTATATATAAAAGCGGCAGTAACAACAAGCCCTAATTAGGTTAAGACAGCTTGGCAATACCTGACATGGGTGCAAACTCTTTGCACCCCACTGTACATATCTCTGGAAGTGGGAAGAGGTATTCTGCAAGCGAAGCGCCGTTCTTGCACGTGCGACGATTCTTACCATTTAGGAGTTAGGAACCAAGAAGTGTGTGACTACCACCAATGGCACAAATCACTAACTCAAAACTAATTCGTTCGCACTGCTGTGAACGGCAGGCAAGGTCAGTATTTCTAGGGTCATTTTCAATCACCTTTGGAGGTTGAATGATCGCTTATCATCGAACGTTGTAGCCGACACATACCGAGTCCGGTCAATCAATGGGAACATGTCTGCCAGATTGGTCAACGCAGAGCATGGATGAGGGGCTAACAAATATTTGTGGTACCGAGACATATGAGCTGAGTTTTGTTGTTTCTCTGTTTAACCGCAAAGTGACACGGCTCAACCATCCGTAACTCGATACTGCTCCGTGGAGGAATCAAGCTTCAAGAACAACATTCTTGGCATATTCCTGGGGATTGGTGAAATATTAGGAAACTCGAATGGCATTTGTGAGTCCTTGAGATATCATATCCAATCATACTACCGAGTTCTCAACTTCGGCAGTAGATTTAGATAAGGGTTGTGCGGAATACCACCTCAATCAACGACAGATAGATCCCAGAACTTCAAGAAGCGTCTGCAAGGTAAGACATATTCCAGGTGTTTCGAACTTGCGAGGGAAGGCCAAAACTCCACCTCATTTTGGAAAATGAGGTTCCTGTGTCTTCCCGGAGCATATGGCAGTGCAAAGGTATGTCTGTCAACTATGAATCTCACAGTCAATAATCATTAATTAGTGTCACAGAATTTCAGAGTCCAACTTGGTACGAAGAAAAAGACACAAATTAATCAAACAAGCTAAATCGTAACCTAGCTCCCATATGCAGCGAACTCGAATCAGACAACACCACAAGATTCTTCTTCACCGAAGGCCAAATCAAAACCACGGCACCCGCCGGATTCGAAGACTACTTCGGCGGCGGCCCCTTCTTCAAATTCTTCGAATACGACGGGATACAGCAAAATGACGTTCTTGAACGCGTGCGCGATTTTCCGGAAGGCGAAAATGCGGAGGACGTTCTACGAGAGCTGATGCCCACTGGAGACAGCAGCATCCGAAAGAATATCACAAATTGCCTGGACGCACTGTATCGCACGATCGACAAACACGGGCCTTTTGACGGTATTTGCGCGTATAGCGAGGGGACTGTCGCTGCGGGAATTCTGATCATGGATGAGGCGCGTAGGTTTGCAAGTGAGGGACGACCGAGACAGATCAAACGGGCGGTGTTCTTTGCGGGGTGGCCGCCGATTGACGCGGAGAAGAACGATTTGATACTGATGGATACGAGTGAGGAGTGTATTGATATTCCCACGCTTCATTGTGTGGGGTCCGATGATCCGTATCTGGCGGGTGCGATGGCGCTGTTTAATGTTTGTGATCAGGATATCGCGGTGTTGTTTGATCATGGGAAGGGGCATACGATTCCGAGGGATAAGAATACATTGAGGGAGCTTGCTGATGCTATTAGGTTGTTGGAACATGAGGGGGAGTAGTGTGCTGGGATACATTTTGAAGTTCGGTCAAGTGATGAGTTGTTTTCTAGATTAGAAGTGTACGCGCAATCTACAAAATATACCACGCTACGCATATTCTTGGAGGATAGTATTTCAGCGTTTGAAAAAAGAGATATCAAACACTGGTTACTGTTCAGAGAATATTTCTGCTAAGGCTCAGGAACATTCGAGACTTAGGTAAATTGTCGAATATGTTAGTTTGCCATAACCAACCCTCTTACTATTCTCTCATGTGAAGTAGGAAAGATGTGAAGTCCGCCATCTAATCTGATCATCTAGATCTTTCTGTTATTCCGCGCCCTCCACCCGGTTCTTATTCGCAACATTGGGAAACCGGATAGGTTGAACTTGGTCATGACCAGCGTACCGTCTTATCTGGGTGGCCAAAGTCTATTTCAGTCTTGATCTCCACTGGCTCATGACTTCTATATCTATCAATCTTGAGAACTTCAATTGATGTAGTATCAACGGGAATGTAGCTATGTGTGTTGACTCTATTCTCATCAAACAATCATTCACATAACCCGACTCGTAGGTCACTATCCGTTCTTGGCCAGTTGTTATTCTATGCACCGCCATTTGCTCCAACTCTGACATCTATGTCTGGCATGAGTATCTGGGTTGCGGTATGAGATATTGTTGTGGACTCTCTAAAATCATTCTTTGGTTAGCGTGAGAAATTGAGCGACAGATTTTGAATCACGTCTGACAGTTAAAGACTTACTGTAGTTCACTAGTATGACAAGGTTTTCATGATGTTTCGCCTGCCAGGTCTTTCACAGACAATCAACCATTATAACTCAGGATGGCATTTGAAGGTATCAAACAGACTTGAGAAGCAATGTTTGAGTCATAATATCCAGACTTGTAATATATCGACATCATCACCTCGGGTATCAGCTCACCACTTTTGGATGCCAAGATAAAGCTCTTGTGTGTTTCAAATTGAGATTCTTTGAAAAGATGTAGGTCAGGAAAGGCTAGTCCATTGCTGAAAAGAACAATAATAAATCTTCTTGTCGAGACACTGGAGCGGAATTCTATGTGCAGTTTCCTTTACTCATTCAAAGAGCGATACTTTCGGCTTTCGGTGTGATTATAGCGTGTTGAAAACATAATTGAAGGAAATAAAATTTCATAGTTACGTTAGTTTTATCTGCTTTTATATCACGCTGGTCCTTACCTAGATTTAATCCAAAGCATATATTAATACTTGAAATTCGGTACCACTTTGCGAAAGCATCATTCTTCAGCAGGAATTAGAGCAACATACGAGATCTCTGCAAATATCTAATATTGAGTTGATCAAATATTCGTTTGGTCCTCCATTTGTTTTGGCTGAATGAAAAATAAATCCACAGTTCCTGGCTACCGTCTTGAATGCCAAGAGTAAATGTCTTCCAACACCCTCCCAAGAAGCCATCTAAACCTTCTGAAAAACATCATCCAAATAATCAAAAGCCCCCAGCGGCACCCCCAAATGTCTCAAAATACAATAAGCAGTCGTGAAATGAAAATGAAAATTCGGAATCGCAAATTCAGTCAGATAAGTCTGTCCGTTCTCGAATCTGAAATTGCCCGCTTTTGTTTTCATGATGATCTCGTTTTTCAAGACCTTTTCGGCGTCGAATGCTGTTTGGTCGACGCTTTCGAGGAGCTTGATGGTTTTGGTGATGCGTTCTTGGAGTTCCGGGATGGTGGTCTCGTTGTCTTCGTAGTGGGTTTCTGGGTGGCCGAGGACGCGGGAGGCGAAGGCTTTTGCGGTGTCGGACATGGATTGGATTTGATATGGGAGACTGATGATCGTTAGTTTTTATAAATGTTGATTTGATTGGGGTAGTATCATGTGCTTACGGTCTCATGTCATCTCTCAGCCGGAAGGTCAAAATCTCGTCGAGATTCTTGTCGTTGTCTTTGGCGAATGTTACGGTCTTGTCGAGGATTTTCGATGCATTGTTCAGATATTTAATCATCATTGGAACCGACTGATCGTACAGTGAAGTCATCTTGGTATGTTGGAATCGACTCGAGTTTGAGAGGGACGGATGGTAAATTGACGATGAGCTGAACACAATACTTGAGCTGAAAGAGATCTGGATGTGAAGGTTCTTGTTGGATGTCAATCTTTTCAATTGAGGACGGAACAGTTATTTAATAAACAAGTGGAAAATCAAGCTCTTTATATGAATACTTGACATAAAGCCACAAGGTTTATTTATCAGTCTGACCGATACCTTGCGCTGTTCACATGAAAATTTGAAATATGCCTATATGGCCTCCAAACATTCATTTGCGAATGTGTTGGTTGTTGGAACTGGTTACACGAACAGTTGCTGACAGTCAACCGTAATCATTTCCGCCCGTACGTCCGCCCCCTGGCGATACAAGTGGACCGCCTAGCGAAGGGGGTCAGTCATGTGATACTGGGTCCACTCAGTCCGGGATGGAGTTTATTCCGTCCGTGATCTGGAATCACCACCAGATCTCTTCGAGACATCCATCCTTCTTCACATCATCGAATACATTTTTTCATATTGTCTCCCGAGTTTCCCAAACGAAATTACTCCACACAGACAATTGCCTATCTCCACGTCTTGACTACATGCTATCTTGAATCAATGATTTCTCTTCTCTTCCAGAGCGAGTGGGCAACTGCAATGGCTAGAAACCGTACAGCTAGCGAAAGAATTGCAGCATCATTTTCGTATCCGAATACCCCGAAATTCAAGTTGGAAATTTCGATCTCATTCTTCAAACACGTTAGCTGAAAGCAGCTCGCGAAGAAATATCTGGCCCTTGGTCATCTTGCTTCTGCAAGGCTGATTCGCGGGCAATGCGCAGCGTCAACCGCCCCGACGTGCATGGCAGCCTTCAGCCTCACGACAACATCAAAACGTACCAGCTCGACCTGTTAACTGGTCTTTGGAACTTGATTACGTCGAAGATTTGCTATGACGCATATTACATTACCACCTGTACTTGAATATGGATTCGGAATCAACACCACCTGAGAACGATCCATGGACTTTAGCCAAGAACCGATTTCTTGCTGAGCTCGACCCCGAAGAAGTTGTCATCTTCAACAATGCAACTCTCGAGAACCTATACTATGGCGCTAGTAACTACGAGCGTGAGGACTCCCGAAATAGCAAGGCACGCGCGGTACTTAACAAGCTTGCTCCTTTGATCTCCGCGATCGAAAGTTATGGTAAGGCGATTGATACCATGGTCAACGTCGCACCACTATATCTCGCACCGATATGGGGATGCCTTAGAGTCACACTTGTTATGGCAAAAGCGCATGCAAAGTTTTACGATAGAATGGTCGAAACCTTTCGTAGAATTGGCAGCCTTCTTCCTCGGTTTCGTATGTGACCTTCTATATTCAGTAACTTTTTCTGTCGCCCCAACTGAAATATCTAGGTGACTATGAGAGAATATTCGACGGAACGCGGCATAAGCGCTTGAGCGAAACTCTAGCAGCTGCTTACCTTGAAATCATCATACTATGTACACAATTTCGCAAATCCCTTCGTGCCCAGAAAACATCAACTGTCCGAAGAATCTTCAAACCAATGTCCCTCGACAGCGAGTTTGACGATGCCATTGAGAGATTCTGCCGTCATAAAGAAAGTGTTGAAGCCGAAGCAAGAGTTTGCGACATGATCGAAGCATCTGAACAACGGAAAGCACAACTTATATTGCTATCTGCAGAGAGAAGGAGGAAAATTCTCGACAAACTTTCCAGCCCAAACCATAACCAGCGACATAAAAAGCTACTCAAGGCCAGACATCCTGAGACAGGCCAATGGATTACCACCTGCGATGAGTATCAGTTTTGGCTTGCATCTAATGGATGCTCAGTGGTCTGTTGCTTTGGAATTCGTAAGCAAACCACGTGTAAATTGTACGATTAAATTTCCTTGCTGACACTGTCAAGCGGGCTGTGGGAAGTCTGTTCTCACATCTGGCGTGATCCAAAAGCTCACCGAACAGGAAATCGTGCTCTTTCATTATTGCGACTACGCAGATAAACGCACTTTAGACCCCAGCAATCTTTTTGGTAGTTTGACCCGTCAAGCCCTAGAGAAATTAGATGTCATCCCAGAGGAGCTAGCCACCGCGATCGAACGCGAGCACCACAACGGGGAACAGTTCGCGGACCCTTCGAAAACTTTTGAATTCTTTGAAACTGCGATAAAGCATCTCCCTAGAGTGACGCATGTGGTACTTGATGGGTTAGATGAGGCCACCGAAGAGTCGCAGAAGACCATTTGTTCTCAGATCGGGCACTCGCTAGAGTCCAGCCATCTGAAGCTGTTCATCACTGCGCGAGACGACATTACAGCAATGCTGCATCTCTCGGCGTCGGTACCACAGCTCAGGACCGCGATGCAATCGACATCAAATTCTACCGACATTGAGCGTTACATAAGAGGAGCAATAGAGCGGCTCATACTGGACGGATCTTTAGCAGTGAAAAACAAGTTCATGGAGGAGACCATTATCACAGAATTGATCAAGGGTGCTAAAGGCATGTAAGTACACTATTCTTCGTTCGTTGAAGGGTAATTGGTTTACATTGACCTTACTAATATCTCGATACCAAATTACAACCCATGGGTTGAATGTCACCTACTAATTAGCCGATAGGTTTTTGTGGGTTGAGTTCCAACTATACGATCTTTGTGAGGCAGAGTCCCATCACGGAATAAAGCTAGTTCTCAATAACCTACCGCAAAGCTTAAGCGACACTTACGATCGGCTGCTAAGCAAGATCGAGGGCGCCGAAAGACAAGACATAATTGAAAGGATGTTTAAGTGGGTTCTCTGCACAATTGAACCTCTTACGGTCGATCAGATGAAAGAAGCTATTGCATTCACCATCGATGACACTGATTTCGATTCTGAAAAGATCGTAACAAATTTCAATCGACTCGTTCGAGCGTGCAGCAACTTGATAGTTGTCGATCATGAAGATACCGGTGGGATTGTTCGACTAGCTCACCACACTGTACACCAGTACTTACTCCAGCCAACATATGAACATACCAGATTTCATTTCAGTATGGATGATGCTCATAAAATGGCAGGAGAAATTTGCCTTGCTTATTTGAACTTTGCTTGCTTTGACGGCCAAGTTTCTGTTTATAGGACGCATGAAAACCCAGAACTGGTTGTTTTGGAGAAAGCTGCTAGAACAGGCGTTTTGATGTCTCCTGAAAATCCAGGATCAAGAGCTTATAAGGCGTTCAACGCATTTCGACGTCAAAAAGCCCTAATGCCTATTGATATCTCCCGTCATCTTCCGCGAATTCCCCCGAAAGAACCCGGCTTTGAGAGCTTTGCTTTCCTAAGCTACGTATCAAGATATTGGTTGTGGCACACCACTCACCTTTCTACCAATCTTCATCAGACTGATGCGCGTCTCACCAAAATTGAGCAGCGTTTCCAGAGTTTGGCTCATCGAGACAGAATGCTGTTTAACATCAGACCTTGGAGCTCAGGTAACTTGAGGACACTATTTTATATAAAGCTAAATTGCATCGGTATACTTAGCTGGGCTTTTATGACAAACCACCCCTTATTGATGAAAATTGGGGAGAGGTTGGACCATGATTTTGCACCCCACGGAGGACCATACGCATCTTTAACACTTGTGCGGGAGGCTTGGGCCGCGTTTTTGAAAACCCGCAAGGCTTCCACACAATTTTCGACCGATATCGAATCAATTCTCTCGTCCTTTGAAACGACCTCGACACCCGCCCCAAGAAATATATGCACATATCCCTGTGAGATGAAATGGCTATTCTTTCGTCTCATCTACGCTTGCCGACAAGGTCATGTTGCGGTCATACAGTTATTGTTTTCCAGTCCACGAGTGTTAGCAGCACCGTCGGATAGAGACATCATCGACTACCTTGTAGTCGAAGCGGCCTGTCACGGCAGATTTGGGACTGTGAAGTTTTTCCTTGAGATTCTAGGCTATCGGAAGTTCAATCCCCTTATTAGGGTCCGTATTGACTCTCGGAATGACCTTCTGGGTGCCCCTTTTTACACTCAAGCGCTCAATGCCCTTGAATATGCCATTTTTGGCGGTCATATTAACATCGTTGAAATCCTTCTTTACACACATCGGGGTGCGCCTCTCGAGACAATGCCAACGTCTTCGGAGATGATACTAGACCCTCGACCGGTACTGGCCGACTCTCTGGTGGAACATATAATCCCGAATGTATGGGAATATTGCCGTTGGCTCAACTTAGCAAGTGACGAAGGGGATATTAGCTTTATGGAATGTCTGGTGTATCTGGAACGTTATCAGCTGAACTTCTTTACCGATGCAGGAGCGAGAGAGAAGATTGATGCTGCTTGGGCACAAATATTAGAAACGGGACCCCCAGAGATTTTCACCTTTTTATTTACGCTAGATCATTCACCTCGTAGTAGCCAGAATCTGTACAAGAAGTTGACGGAGAAGACGAGAGAGAGATTCGATGCGGAATCAGGGATAAGGTAGTGACAATTTTCACGTGTAGGGTGGACTGATTCATAAGTCTAATGTGTGATTAGGAGGGATAGGAGCAATTCATGCAAGTCATGGCCTTGATTTTGATAGACATCATCTTGTTGAAACAGGCCATGTTCTGACCACGGAGGTAGGAATTAGCTTAATGTCAACATGTCTTCCTTGATCGAGGTATTGACTATTGCTACCCTTATGCCTGGAATGTGGAGCGGATAGTGCATATCCCGGACGAGCGACTCCTTTGGTATGTCACTCACAAAAGGACCATATTGTATATGATATTTTTACTTGTTTCTCCAGATGACAGCATCAAAGCTCTAATGTACAACATCATCATATGCATCTCTCTATGTCGCGATCTAAAGATCAAGCAGACTCCCCCAATGATTTATGTATGCAGGTGCACCACCATCGACCTAGCCGCCATGCCAAACGCCATCCATCCTCACCATCATCGACGACAGACCGACGACCATCTACTTCTTCACCTGCGGAAACCGCTCAAACATCTTCTTCATATTCCGATCCACCATACTATTCAACATTAGCCACGTCCCCTCCTCACCTCATCACATCATCATAAGAACTTACAGCGCAGCCTTCTTCAACGGCGGTTCCACCTTTGCCACTCCTTTCTCCAATCTCGGCTCCACCTTGGTGCTGTAATGATGTTCAAGTCTCGCACGCTTCGCGAACCCTCTGTTCCAGCGCGGTCCCCATTTCGCGGCTTGTGCTGCCAAACGCTCTTCGAAGCCGGGGATGAAGAAGAGGAGAGGGGCTGCTGAGGCGACGCCGGCTCCACTGACGAGGAGACCGGTGCTGCGGCTGAATGTGCGGGGGGCGGGAACCATTCTTGTGGTGTTGTGTGGAATGTGTAGAATGTGTTGAAGTGTTGAAGTGTTTGCAGATGAATTTGTGGGATGAAATGTGTGTGTGTGTGTAGAATGACAGGATCGAGAGAGGAGAAAGGGAGGGTGAAGGGGGAGTACAAATAGGTACCAGCACCTCCTCATCTGCTAGGCGTATCAACATGTCCTGTTATTCACGCTGCTACATCTGACACGAGTGATCATGCGAGTTAGCGATGCGCTGATTAGTCGGCCGCGAGGCGAAGCGATTGCGGGGACGACCCACCTGCGAATCAAAAGCTGGGGAAGTGGGCTGCGTGCGGGGTTTGCGGATCCACTTGGCGGGGGACGCTGCTTTTGTGTGGGTGGCGTGGTGTGTCGTGTGCGAGGATGGAGGGGAGGGTCATGTGATGTTGTGGAAGCCCTGCTTGTGGTGGACTGATAAGAGGATTCTTTCATGTTTTGTATGTCTTTGTGATGATTTGTTTTGATGGCTTTAATTGTATTATTGATTTTGGCGGACAACTCCCAGTGGAGTTTTCTCTGTACGGAGCGTGATATCCACAGTGCGGAGACACACGTGGGTCAGGCTAAAAAAGCGGATGGAGTAAAAGTGGAACATGGGGAAGATTGTCCCCGCTGCGAGACGACGATAACAGTGTATGGAAAGGGGAGAGAGTATGAATATCTAGATGGAAAAAAATGAGGAGTTTGTGAGGTCTCGGATGGTGAAATGCCAGGCTTTTGAAGAGATGCTGTGGTGATGGGATAAGGTGAGGTGAGGTATTTTTGAATAGCTGTGTAGGAGGTGTTTACATAAACTTAGAAACAAGCGCCAACCTACACCTACCCACACACCCTTCGCGAGTCAAGAATTGAGATGAACGTAGGCGAAGGAGAAACTGTGTCCCTTCGAATGGCTGCTTAAAGTGAATAGTGTAGTGTCTTATACTCTTCACTCGAGACGCAAAGTAGCTGGATTCGCCAACTTGTGGTTATTGAAACGGTGCGATGATAACAACAACGACACAAACAACCTTTATATTAATTACTTTTAACACTGGAGTATCGTCTAATTATTCTCATTTAAGTTTTCAAATTTTTTAAGAAATAATTATTGGACTATTATTTACGAATTCAAGAAATCTAGACTTTTCTGTCTACTACGTGAGAAGTCAGGCATGTGTAAGCTGAAAAGTTGGTAATCCTTAACTAGAGATCAAGCTGTCACTATCACAAGTAGCTCGTTGCCTAGATCTAAGCCTTATTTTCACAGCTTTCTGTAAGCTCAAAAGCTTTGGATTCCCACTTCGGTGCGACTAACAAATATTGGCAAACTTTAGTCGGCTACCTTGAAGCAACGTCCAAAAACTACAAAACTTCTCCTACCAATGATTCTATTATATATAATCTGTCTAATATCTAAGGCAGTACTCCGTATCATTTTGTGTCTTTGCATGTGATTATATTGGTGTGGCGAGCTGAAAGATCCTTGGCAGCAGCTGAGACGACATCCTCTTGATCTGTTCCTCAACGAATTAAGATGTCACCGATGCTAAGCTTATAAACTCTCTTTCAGTCCACACAGCTACTTGAATAATGTTCGGTGTTATAGTGGAAGACAGGACACAGTGAGGCTAGGTGATCAAAGAGACGTCCTATCATGTCCGAAATGTCGTCCCGTGGACCTGAGATGTGCTATGTTTGCGAGGAAATGCTCACTACTGTTGGCGGACTGACCAAACTCGTTTAGATGAAGGGTTCTCGCTTTCCAATTACGCTAAATTTCGCGATAGAAGTTGCAGCTTTTGTGTTGGAAGTAAGCGACTCGGTAAATTTGGTCCAGCTTCTGGAAGCTTCGTGGCCGAATATGCTGAGTCGCAGAAAGATCAACTGAATGGGAGACCTTTAGAGGGCAAAGTACTGAAATCAATTTGTATAAAGAGCTCCGAAGGAGATGTGGTTCATGTTAGAACGTCTATTTACCCTACCATCGGTACGAATAATTGCTGTGTTTTTTGTTGAGATGTAGACTAAAGATGATTACCAGACAATCCTCGTAGAGATTTGTTTTTCCACAAGTCTAAGCTAGCAGGTCTGTTTTACGGAATTAAAAAGGTAAAACAGCAGTGCCTAGAGAAGCACCATGACTGCAAGGAGGAAGCTAGACCGCTTCCCCGCCGGCTGCTGGATGTTCGAACTAACAATACTTCGACGGTGAGGCTTATTAAGACACTTGCTGCATAAAAAGGTTTCTATGCTGCTTTGAGCTACTGCTGGAGTGGTGAGCAACGAATCACGACTACTACTTCCACCTTGCCAGTTCACAAGAATGGCATTTTAATTTCTGATTTGCCGCAAACTATATAAGATGCAATTATTTCTACTCAGCAACTTGAAATTGAATTCCTCTGGCTTGATGCGTTGTGCATTCTACAAGACGATACTCAAGATAAAGCGGAAGAGATTTCTAAGATGGGGGACGTATATGAAAACGCTGCTATCACATTCGTAGCAGCGCATGGTAGTGGTGTGGAAGCAGGCTTTCTTACGCCACAAGGAAGAGTTCGAACCAGCGCATGCCGAGCTCCTTCTTCCGGGTGGAGTAATGGGGTCATTCAACTTCGGCATCAAGAACTATTCCTGGTGGCTACAAAGAAACCAAGACCTAGGCGCAATCGATACTCGAGCGTGGACATTCCAAGAGCTGCTAGCGCGAAACCTGATATATTTTGGGGATGATGACATCACATACATGTGTCGCAATACATCTAAAGGACTAATTATCGATTACGACGGAGTGTTTACGAAGCGTGTCGAAAGAAACGATCCCGAACTCGACTGCTTCGCGACTGTAACAAGCCACCACCTCGAGCGATCGGACTTTGATTCCCCAGCGACTTTCACCCCACAAAACTGGGCAAGTCTTGTCGAAAAATACAGCGCCCGGAACCTGAGCAACCGCGAAGACCGCTTGCCTGCTCTCGCTGGTATAGCAGCGAAATTCGCGGCCGCCTGGCCCGGCGATTACAAAGCAGGTCTTTGGCAGCGTCATCTGGTCAGACACCTTGGCTAGAAAATCGGATACCACGAGACGTCCAAGTCACGCCGAACTTGTGAGCAGTGTCGCGATGGAGGTTCTATTGGAATACCCACATCTCGCTCGCCAACATGGTCTTGGGCATCGTATGACCACTTTATCACTCTGCAAGACACAGTCACCCACGAAGATGCGGAGCTGCTAAGCTGTTCTACTAACTTAGTTCACGAGGCTACTCAACTAGGGGCTGTCACTTATGGCGAGCTAAAACTCAGGGCGACCACTGTTGCTGTATATAAGGTTCCACACGAAATCAACAAGAAACTCAAGTTTTCCATGGATTATCTCCGGAATCTAAAGGCAGCCCGACTTTGGGAGGACGAAACGTTTCTTCTTTTGCTTGGGACGATGAGGAACAAGCTTACCGTTGGGCTGGTGTCGAAACCTGGTGAGGAGGGAAGGTGGGAGAGAATTGGGTAGGTCGTTGTACCGAAGAAGCAGTCTGGATTGTGGTCGATAGCGGAGGCTCGGAGGGTAGAAGTACTTATTGTGTAGATAGCGCACGTGGAGACGATCACAGAAACTACTTGCTTTTCTAGGAGATTCTTGAAAACATACAGTTGTCACTCTTATCGAGAGCCTATTGTGGTAAGCTGTGGCCTGCCGACGAGAGAAAACCGGGTAAGCAAAGAATCAGGTCTTAGTTATTTCAGTGTTATAACGTTAGATTTCTATTAATTAATACATAATTACATTTCTTTCATGTATACAAGCTCCTGCAGCGTTCATACTTTGTGTTCTGTTTAACGCCATCGGCGAGTAAAACATCCGTACTCTGAGGGATGCCAATGTTTATTAATCCTATTCTCAAGTATACACGTCCTACTTTGGAAGAGGATGGTCGCAGGAGTTTAAGAAGAATTATAGGTCGATGTGTACTATTACTAAAGAGTAGGTTACTATAGAATAAGATGTTTGGAAAGATGATTCTTAAGATCAAAAGCCTAATCCTTAAAACAACTATGCCGGGGGCGTCGAATTAAGGCTGACTAAGAAGCAGCTATGTAAGTATACATTCTGCCCCGTTCGTCTACAGCTCTGTTTGTAACTAGTGTTACCTTATTCGTTAACAAACCCCCTTAATCACCCTATTTATAAACAGAACCCCTAAGTAGCCTAAATAACTAGATAGTCTAGTTACGTAAAAGAAAGTACTTATAAAGAGTATTACTAAGTAGTATTACTTACTAATTAATTATCGAATTATTTTTACTTACTTAAAGCTAAAATCGCGATTATTTACCTCTACTATTACCTTAGACATTTACTTATAATACTTAAGATATCGAGGTAGCCCAGAAATGAGAATTCTGTTTACGAACGGGGTGATTAAGTGGCTTTATTGACGAATAGCGACCCCATTTATTGACGAAGGGAGTAGAGTATACACTATCAAAAATTCAGATTGAGTATTTATTTAGACACGAATGTCGTAGTTAAATCCACACATTCAATTGTGTTCAAACCTAAGATCCGCCGTGTGATTGCGAAAACGACCAAAATCATTTGCTCTTACCCCGTAAGCAATCTTGTGCTTTTTGTAGCGGGTCTCATACCTGAAAATGCGAAGTAGCCGCTCCAACGAGAAATGAAATACAAGCGCCACGCGGCGACTGCGACCGTAACAAGCACAACGCGCATGAAGTGGCTTGAAGAAATATTAATGTGGCGCTGAGTTGTAGCATGTGAATCGCGTGGGAAATCTGTTTCACGGGTCGTTTTGGGACTCGGGATAGGCTCCCCAACACCCTGATCCCTCCCCTCTACCCCGACTCGCTAATCGAGGGATCGTGACGTCCAGTAGTAACAGGCGGGGAATTGTGGAGGAACACTGCGCAATGCTCTTATATTCAAATGCATGTTTGGACAAATAGACGCATTCAATCACCCCTCTTCAAACTGCCCCTTCTATAGAAAATGGAGAAGTCACAGAGTGTTTTATGATAATATCTCTCCTTACTCACATTGTGCAGAATTCTGTTGGCTCCGCTTTCTCACTGTACTTCTCAAGGTTGTTTGATATTTAATCAGGGGTATTTGGCCAATAGAGCTATAACAAGTGCCAAGAGTAGTAGAAGCTCTTCTCGAAGAGTGGCGCTCTATAAGATTGATAACATGGATGCGCAATTAAGGCACCTTCGTTAGTTGATAACGACCCCGAGCCTTAAACGAAGATGCATCCTATGACAGCTGAACAAACTTTGGCAGTAAAGAGGCGAAAAGAATTCTAAACAATCTGAGTTCGATAAGGGTTGCGTCACCTCGTAGCATAGCGCTCGCAACAGCTTTCGGGGAGGTGTATACATACATATCCGAGCCGCAACTATCTCTTTCGGGTGCCCAAAGAAAAGGAGTTCTTGAGACGGTGCAGGGTCCGAGAGGGGCAGAGGAAAATATCCAATCCCGGATCCTCATCCGCAAGACACAATGATGATCAGCGGCTGGGGTACGGAGGAGGTCCCTGCATTTGCTGCCCATATTCATTTGTCGCGACGCCTCCGACTTGACATCCCTTTTTTATTTCGAAGAGATAATGCACGCCATAGCGACATCAGCTCGCAGAAGAAGCACCACATCTATAGATCATGATGTCTGACATTCCATGACAACTAGTTTGTACCCCACTGCGCGCTGAAACAAAGTTTCGACAACGACACGGGTGGGATTTCCCGCATTCCGCTGCACGGTATCTGAAGAATACGCCACTATCCGCTTCCATATACGGTCACAGGTGTATACTATCAACCTCAATAGGGGTTTTCCCGTTGACGAACAGAAGAACACAGACCGATCCCCATGGCGCCTTCGTAGCCAACCCACCGGCCTGGATATTACCCAAGACCGTGCGTACTCTGTCGAAATAGAACAATGGGTTCGTATTCTTAAACATGGTTGTTCAGCTTGATGAAGCACAGAGCATTTGTTACAAGCCTGGAGACTACTTGACTAAGTGGATCCCCAAGTTAGAACTGACCTGCCCAGTCTTCTTTACAGTCCTTATCTTTTTGACACTGTCCAGACCGTTACGCTTTTTACACTTGGACCAGACCAAGTCTGAGCCCGTTCACGCGCTAGAATCTTGCTTTCATCAACGAAATCCACAATGCTGTCCACCACCACGGCACCTGTGGGACCGGACGTCAATTTATCATATCAATACCTCATCCCTTGTGGAATTCTAGCGGTTATCTCTTTCGGCCTTTGCGCGGCTCGAATCTTCACACGATGTCGACCCGTTTTTGACTTGAGACTTAGCGACTATTTAATTATTGGAGCTGAGGTAAGAAACAGACACTTGGTCTTGCTACTGCAAAATGCTAACACCCTTCCAGATTTGTTCATTTTTCGGTTATGTCACCATCGTCGTCGCTACGGCGTATGGATGGGGTCGCCAGAGTTATTATGTCCCCGTCGAGAGTGTGGAAAAATCGCTTCAAGCCGGATTCGCAGTGCAGATTCTTTGGACGCATGGAATCACACTAGTTCGCTTCTCGATCGCCTTTTCGCTACTTCCTCTTAGTCAAAATAGATTCTGGAAAGCCATTCTATATATTTTGATCGGCCTCCAGGTGGTGTTGTATGTTGGGTGGATGAACATTATGATATTTAAATGTCTACCGGTTAGAGGGAATTGGCAACGGACGATACATATGAAGTGCTGGCCGAGGAAATACACAACCAACGCTGCTTGGTGTTCTGCGCGTACGTTGAATTCTTAACCATCTCTTGGACTTGCTAACTCTTTTCCAATAGCGATCTTTATCATTATGGATCTTACAATGGCTCTTATGCCCATTCGCCTCATCCGAAGTCTCAACAGACCGCGTTCTGAAAAGATTCTCGTTGGCGCTCTCATGGCTCTGGGTATCCTGACAACTGCAACTGTTGGAGCAAAGATGAGTGCCTTTCCGAGTGTTTACAAAGGAGATCCACTCCAAGGAACAGTAATATCATCGCTACTAGCCAAGCTCGAAGAGCAGGTGGGGATTATATGTGCTTGTCTACCAACATTGAAGGGTCCCGCTGAGCGGCTCTTGATTCGCATTGGGGTTTCCTTTGGTGGCTTTCAACACACCATGACTCGACCTAGCTTTGTGTTGTCAACCCGAAATCAGAATGTTCCCGCTGTTCACAAAAATAACCAAGGCGACGTCGGTTTGGTGAGTGCCACGGATACTGAATTCGTACTAGACGAATCCCACTCCGCCACGACAGATGACCTATCAAAATTTCCCAGTACATGTGCCAGTGATAGTGAGAGAACAGTCACCGGAAAAGATTCGAAGAGAACGCTTTATTCCGTGGAAGAAGTTTAGGCTCAGTAGTTCTCAATTGGATTACGGTGCGGCAGATGGGGAGGCTAAGCAGTGCTTCTAATATCCATTTGCTTTGAGAGTTCTGGAATAGAAAGTCACAGTAGGGAACAGACGGGAGTGTATGGGCCCCCTAGCTTCAAAGTTCTAAACTTTGTAAGACGGTACTCAAGATAGAGCGGAGGAAATTTCCAAGATAGTGGATATGTATGGAAATGCTACTGTCACTTTCGCAGCAGCACACGGTAGTAGTGTGGAAGCAGGCTGCGTACCACACGAGGAAGAGGAAGAGCTCGACTTTGCTCAAGCCGAGCCCCACCTTGCTGCTGGAACAATGGGATTATCAACTTCGGCATCAAGGGTCATTGGTGATGACTAGATATAAACATGGCTTGTGTTGCAATTGATACTAGGTCAGGCCATCCAAGAACTTTTCCAAGCGCGAAATCTGATATGTTTGGGAGTGACTATAACACATACACATGCCGCAATACCTCAAAAGATCAAACTTTGCTTACAATGTTGAGAACTTCAAAGCTGGCTCGCCATTATGGTAATAGACATCGTAGGACCGCTGAGAGATCGACTGATGTAAAAGAAACCTAGTGATGACGGAATGTAGGAGAGAGTTGGGCAGCTCATCGTGGCGAAAAAAATAGTGTGGTTTGTGGTCGATAGCTAAAGCACAGAGGATGGAGGTGTTTATTGTCCAGGAAATATAAGAAAAGATGATCACCGCATTCTCTGTATTTTCTGCGATAAGTGAGAACATACTTGTGAATTTCAGCCTCGGCCTGCTGCGGTCCGCTGTAGTTCTCTGACGAGAAAAATCGAAGTAATCAAAAAGAAAAGCAAAATCTTCAATTGTGCCGGTTTCTGAAAGTAGAACCTGTAGCGAAATATGTAACGACTACTTGGAAGATTTTAGGTTTCATAAGTACAAGTTGCAATAGATTTGGTGCCTCTTCTTTGCCAATCGCTGTCGGCGAGGGAGAGGTACCGCACTAAGGAAAATAACAATTTTCTGAAACTCTATCCTGCTTTCATGTTTCTGACCCCGTAAAGCTATTTTAACTAGAACAAGTAAACAATCCTGAGCCAATAGTACATAAGAAGTTCAGAGTAATTACATAGAAAGTGAACGTTGTGTAACCGTCTAATTCCCTAGATAACGTGTCTTCGGTATCACTTCTAGACCTTGTGATTCTCAATTAGAATTTGTATGACGAATTCGTTTCTTTTCTGTCAAGAAAGTATCGCTAGGAGCAAACATATATAGGATAAAGCACTCTATCGCTCATACGAGCTTTGTGAGGGTATACTTATGGGGGGCCGCTTAGCTAAGCGACCCCCTTTAGTCACGTCAAAGGCAGGTGTTTCTTGACACTTTCATTTTCAGGATTTCGACTTTTGATATATATTATTAGCAAAGTAGAGGCGTAATTCATTCAAGATTTTGAGTGGTTCATAGTCAGTCTAAAGAGGTGTCCAGGTTGCAGGTCATCGTGGCTGAGAATTGAACCAATCGGTTACTGCATTGCTATCGCTTCCACTCTCAGATACCACTGCTTTCATTGCGACCATGATTGGAAGTAACGACATGGTGCGCCTCCCACTGAGCCTTCCAGCCTTGCAGCTCGTGTAACATCATCTGGTGCGCCTCTCGCTCAGGGACAGCTCAAGAAATATATATATCTCCAAAATCCTACCTGGCATCGAAACAAACCAGGATTTTCGTCAGAATTGAGAAATACGGTCAATATATTCTCAAAAAAGGATTTCAGAACCTTTCTCGTCCACCCGCGAGCGACACCCAAGGTGTACGTGAGCGGGAAAGCGTTTTGAAATTCAGAGCCTCTCAACTCTCAACCACCAAAGCGTTTTCTTCGTTGCGCGAAGGCTTGAAGTCTTCGCGCATTCCAAATCGACAACAATTCTTCGAGCCATAGTCAATACTATGCCAACGATCATCACCGATTTCAGTCGCATGTCTCCTTGTGGGATATTGAGATATTGAAGTCGGGACTGAACCCAATCGCCACTATTTTAGATATTGATATTTATACGACAGATACTGCTGCTTCTTTCCCGCCCAACTCACCTCATCATTCTAATCATTTACCGGAAGATTCAGAGATTGGCTCCAAAGCCTCCTCGAGTCAGTCCTCAACAAGCCCGTTTACTGTGTTCGAATCTCAGACTTCCCAGTCAGAAATTGAAGGTTCAGCCTCAATTCAACCGGAGGCTCCAGAATTCATTCCGTCCGATTCAGTACTGCAAGATAACTCGCCAAAACGCTGCACGGACCAGAGCCAGAGAACTCGGCTCGTTCTATTTACTTGTCCGGATTGTGACGAGACTTTTGAAAAACAATTCATGCGCAAGTAAGTACCTTTATCAAACTTGGGACCTACATAATCTAACATGTTCAGCAAACACCGTCGAACACAACACCTTCGACCTTACAAGTGTCCGGAGGTTGACTGCAAATACCACACCGTTGGATTCGGAAAGAGAAACGATCTTCGACGACACGTGTCAAGTCTTCATCGGTCTTCCGAGCGAATTATCTACACTTGTCCGCATCGATTTTGTCCGTTGTATCGCACCGGATTCCCCAGGAAGGATAATTGCAAGCGCCATATCGAGCGACAGCACTCCGATTTGCCCTATCAGCAACCTCAAATCTTAGAGTCGCCGGAAGGCAATCAGCAGTAACACAATCACGTAGAAATATCAATCTCAGCCGGCAATCGCAAGAGAGAGATGCGCTGAGCCTCCGTTGAACCCCTAAGAAGCTGACCCTTGACGAAACATCACCATGGAGAATCCCTGGCGTATGGATCTCACCGAGATCCATAAGCTGTTCCGTCTACTCTCACGCGTATTTCTGAAGCAACGAAATCCATACGGCGCTATCACCAATACTGAGCATGTTTCTAACGAGCTAAATGCGGTAGATGTGACTACCGGCGATGGGCAAACAGCTATTCAACGACGAAATGAAAAGGTGAAGAGATTCTGCCTTCTCATCACGATTTCGGACTCTCCTGCACAGTGGTTCAGTAAAAATGATCCTTTGGTACAGAACACAATGGTTCAGAGAATTGAATATGGAGTCTGGCCGGATCTCAAATCCTCAGTGATCACACTGCGGCAATTGCCGTCACGCTTTTTGGATGTATTGTTCTTCGCTGAGAAGGGCCGTCGAGATCGTTTGCTGTCGCTATCTGGTTCTGCGAACGATAATAATCTCTTCGAGTTTACGGAAGCCGACGTGTATGGGATGATAGCGGGCGCAAACAGTCGAGAACGTATTTTGTCAATACTTGGTCTCGACAAAAATTACCATCATCTCAACTTTATGGAGCCCGAAAGCCATGGGATCATCGCAGATATGTGCCGTCCACGTTTGAACGCCAGACTTCCATCATGGCTGTTTGGCCAGCCTACTTGGACAAGAATCAAAACTCATGATCCAGGATAACGTCATGGGGCCACCGAACATCCATATATTTCGACTAAGATCCAATTTTGAGATAGTCGGTGAGCCCCAAAATAGAGCTGGCTGTGTTTCTTCTTGTCAAGAGTTTTCATTTGTTGGTGTTATCTCGTCAATATGTCTTCCCTTGTTTTCGCCCATAACCCTTTTTGGTCTCGGTGTCACGGAGTTCGCGTTCATCAGTTCACCATCTCATACGGATCTGGCCATGAAGGGATTTTTCTCGCTTTCAGACTCCGAAACAGTCAAGCATTTGGCTTCCAAACTATCAAGTTCTTCATTGTCGAAAGGGGGTTTTTGCCTAAGATGGCTTTTGTAGTACTAATCTTAGAGAATATAAGGAGATTATACTATGAATTATTACTCTTGTTGAAAAACAGCCTATTACCTGATTGAAGAGGTGTCGCTCAGGTATCTAAATGGCCTCTCTGTAGATAAACCCTCGGGGACCTCTATAGAGACGTAGAGCTTTTCATCCTTATCGAGACCAGTAGGGAAGGAGCTTCTCCTTTTGACAAGTTTGACCTACTACTAAGCCTACTGATATCTTTCTTGCAAAACGCCAAATCTTGCAGCACCCAATCATTAATTTCTAGGGACTGGCTCCCGTAATGAAGATTGAATTCCTGGTCATAAGGACGAAAGGGATTGAGGAATTGGGCGTCACAGCAGTGACAACTTTATGCAAGTCTAGGAATTGAATAGTTCTTAGGGGTCTCACGTATGATGCTAACAATAATGAGTCGTAACAAGATTTCGGTCATCATGCAAATGTCAACTCCATCTCGTCGAGAAGTTTCATGAAACAAGTCAAGAGGCAAATATCACCGGAAGGCCATTCCGAATCGAAAACGGTGTTTGTTACCTCAATCGAAAATTTTAATCTCCAGTGAGCGAGTTGCAAAATTGTCCTCGGCACATTGTCTCAATGTGTACGTACTTTTATTGTTGTGCGCCGTAGTGAACGAATCGTGATCGCAGCGCCAACTTTTTCCTCTTTCCATATGTCGGCATTGGTCTAGTATCTAGAGTATGGGAAGTATTATTTAGAATCTCCTCCATATTGAGTATGAAGTCGCAAATCATTTACAGAAACCTATAATTCCGCGAAAATGTTGACTTGGTTGATATCATTCATCATCTTGATATCTACTTGGTCATTGTTCAATGAAGGAAGCTCATGAATCCATTTGCTTTATCGGTAAGAAATATTCTAATGATTAAGACGCTCATGGACAGTTACAATAATATTTTGTGGGGTGGCAGGTTAAAATGTTATGCCAACTGTTCTTAGAGATATTCGAGTTGTTGTTATTTGTTGCAACAGAAAGCCAGCACATATAGACAATAGCTGTGAGGTCATTGAAACCAACCATCATTGCAACACCAACATTAAATCTGTAGTTAATTGAATACATTTGCTTTTTACTTTTGTAGTAGAACCTAGCACCCAAACAAAAACGAAAATACACTCAAAACACCCGTACCATTTGAACAACCCAAACATCAATGTTCCAAAAAGATTCAAAATAATCAAAGCCGGTTGTCCTGCATACCGATCAAGCCAACGCATCAACCCACCCCCCCGCTTCCACCTCCAACTTCCCTCCCTCACCCTCCTCCTCCCACCCCAACCACCCCCGTCCCTTCTCCCCCACCAATCCCCAAACACTAACCTCATCCTTCATCTTCCTCTCCAAAAACACAACCACAACAGCCGTAACCCACGTCCCCAAGTCCCCTCCTACAGGACTCCCACCTACTTCCTTACCCAGAATCTCGCTTATCTCACCCACCTTCTCCGCAGACCAGGAGCCGTCGAAATTCTGGAGTGCGAGGAGGGCGTGGACTTTTTCTGTGGGCGAGGCGAGAGTCCAGTTTACAGGGGCTGAGGAAGAAGCCGGTTGTTGGTCGTTGGAAGCGTAGGAGGCAGAGACATTAGTAGAGAACATTTTCTCTGCGCGTTTTGCTTTTTTGGCGGCGGGTAGACTGGACGGTGAGCCATGAGATTGAAGGGCTCCGGATCTATTGTTAGTGGTTCTGTTCCAGAAGCTCTGGACTGGTGGGCCAGTAGGAACAGCTGAGGGTGCTCCTCCAGCCGGTATTCCGCCCCATGCCATTTGTGGCAGAGAGCTTTGTTGTTGATGTTGCTGTTGTTGTTGTTGTTGTTGCAGAGCCATAGGTTGAGGAACTTGCGGTGCCATTGCCATCTGCGGTAGTGCACCCTGCTGTGACTCTCCACTATATTTTCGTCCTGCATTCATAGACTGCGTTGCCATTCCGAAACCACCACCTCGTCCTCCTCGCATACCGGCGACTCCTCCTCTGGCCCCCTGTTGACCCAGTTGACCCATGACTCTACCCTGTGCAGTTGTTCGGTGCATTTGTAATCTATTTTTATTCTGCTGTTCGAGTAACATATGCTGCATCTGGTAATCTTGCAGAGCATGGTTGGTGTTTTGACTCCCAATACTTTGGGTTGGAGGTGGCGGAGGAATTGCGTTACTGAACATGTGATCTACAAGAACTGCTTGATCGTCCTCATGAAGGAAGGAATCAAAATCAAAATCCTGGAGCGCATCTACACCGGATGGACTGTACGCTGGACTGATGGGGGAGGTTCCAGGTGCAGGAGCCGCGTATGACATTCTGGCTGGTAAACCAGGATGAGTAGAAGCTTTGGCAGCTTCCTGGGCAGCTTTTGCAACAGGAATTTGCTTATCATTCGCGGCCACTGCAACGAAAGAACACCATTTATTGACGACCTGAAATTGCTCCCCTAAGCGAACCGCCTCTCGCTTCACAATGTCCTCGAAAGAACTTGGATATCTTTCACTGATGAACTTTCCGTTCTGATCTTTGGCATCGAAGATCCTTCCACGACCCTCCTCAAGGTCTTGTGTCGCTTTTCGTGCAGCAAGCTGGTGTATGGTTTGTCCTTTCTCGGGGAGCACTTCGATTGGAATTTCAAGTTCGAGTGGACCGTGGGCGGATGTCGCTTTAAAGATGACGGATGTTGGGTTTCGAGAGAAGGTTTCTGGTGATAGAATGATATATGCTGACGTTCTAGAGAATGGAAATAGCGAAGGGATTTTGTGGGGTGCTTGGAGAAGCTTGGGGATTGGAATGTCTGGCAAGTCCAATTCGCCAGCAGTAACTTCTCCTTTCTCTGGCTCAGCAGAGGAGTCGAACAGGGAGATCTTTGATTTTTCCGCTGGCGTTGGATCGTTGAGAAGAACTCTCATACCCTCAGTCACAGTATCTATGACTTCAAAATCGTCATCCGTTGTCTCATACTTGACTTCAAGACTATAATCCGTAATATGAGGTGAGAGCGCACCACGTAGCATACGAACCACCGCCCCGTCAAGCGGCTCACCATTCTGCACAGCTTGTGCAAATCCATTGCCAGCTCTCGCCACACCCTCAATAAGAGCATGAGACACACCGTTTCCGATACCAAGCGGAAACACGCGAATTTGACCCTTGGACTTCTCCACTTCGCCATTGAGATAACTAAACATCTGCTCTTGCGCCCAAATATCTCCATCAGTGAGTAGCATAATTTCCAAGGGAATATCGCCCCAGCGTCTCTCCATAGTCGCTCTCACAGCACTGAAAGTTTCAGTACCTCCCATATCTGCTGAAAAAGTTGTGATGTGGGCGGATGCCTCGGCAAGCGAATCAGCATCGTAACTCTTGCTTTTCTGCCACAAAAACGAGTGATGGCTGCCGAACGAGCAGATGTTGAACTTTACACCTGCAGGCATGGATTTGAGAAAGACGTTCATCGCAGAAATCAACATTCGGATATTGCCCCCCATACTTCCACTTCTGTCAGCGACAAAAACTATTTCTGGACGAGAAGGCGGAAGACTGAATTTGGGGACTAGCGTGGCCATGATAGCACGTTGATGAGGAATGTATGGATGGGTTTCGAGAAGTGCCTTTGGAAGTCCGGCCTCTTTAGTTTGAACAATGAGGATGAAGTCTTTGTCGAGTTCTGCGCTTCCAAGAGCAAGCGTTGCAGAGGCTTTGCTCATGACTGGGTCTGCTAATTGAGCGGTTGACAGCGTGCCCATTGAAACGGCGATTGGATGAGAGGGTGATTGCACTCCTTTGATGAATGATCCATCAGGAATATTGATGTCAACCACAATTTTAATGCCACCAGCATCTTGTGTTGAAGTTAAGGAATAGTTGCTATGAGATGGGCCTTGGCCATAGCGAGGTGCAATCCTCGTAGGTATCGTGAATCTTGTTCCATCGTTCTTCCCAGCTTTCAACTCTCCAATATAGGTTGTTTCTACAAGCACACTCTCACCAGCTGGAACGTTACCCAACTTCGTACTGAAAACATCTGAGGCTTCCGGTGCCTGTTCGAGCAAGCCAGCCGTCTCTCCTTTCGCGACAGCCTCATCGAACAATTTCTTCGCTTGAAACTTTTCCTTCACAATACCGCGAAGAATGGTATTGCCGACTTTGGCAGTGAACTTCACGACACTGACGCCATCGTAGAGAGGAAAGTTGTAGATACACTCCTTGATGTTGTCGGTTGATGAATTGGTAAACTTTTGCGTCAGGACTGTTCGAGAGGTATTGCTCAAGATTGTGCTGTGAAAAGAAGATGAGAGAAGAGGGAGATATCTTCTTTCTGTCGTATTACCCCATGGTTGGATAATGGGAATGAGGTAGTAGCAACCGCATGGGTGGAATGAAACCATGTTGTCAAAGTGGGGAAGTGAGGATTCGGTGTTTTGTCAGAAGCAACAATCGGCTTCGTATTGTCATGTGATATTACAACTCTAAGTATCCAAGTATTTGATATGATTCAAAATGAAAGTTGTCATCAAAAAGAGGAGTCGTGAAGTTCTTATAAGCTCAAGCGAAGTGGGATCTAGGCGGATCCAATTGTTGCCTACAGGATCGATTCGTCACACCCATTGGCTCATTGTACAACCACGGCTGAGTTTTATATCTCTGATTGGCTGATTACCACATCCACCTCGTATTATGACTCCAAAATACAAATGGGCCGACTTTTGATTTGCCTCACTCGAATAAAGAGCTGAAGATGAATAAAATGCCGATATTTTGTACGACTTCAAGGCCTTTTGTGTTCACCGAGGAATTGCCTCGCGTCGTGGCCGTCAATGATTGAATCTTGAGATCAGGCAACTTCTTTGTCATGTACAAAGCTTAATTTTGGACGATGAAACTCTAAAGTTGGAAAAAGCAATTATTAATTACGTGTAAGCTTCTTTTCGTCTGTTGCAATGAGTTTTGCGATCAATGTTGAACAGTTATAACATAAAAACGACACGAATCCTGAAGGATTTGCGAACTGCGCTGTTGTGTAACCGTGGCTATGAGAATAACGAATATCCACCCTAGAGCTACGGGGGCTTTAGCAAGAGGGACAGAAATTTTTATCAAACATCAGCAAATTATCTGAAATCGTCCAGTTGTTTATTAGATTCGTCATCGCAACTTTTTTGACGTCTCAATGAAACGTAAGTTCACAGGTTTTAGCTAGTTCTGAACCGCAACATTATGTGACTCGGTTCAAAACCAATTTTTCTGATGGTTGAAGGTTTAGCAAGCGGGACAAGAGTTTGGGAACTTCTGAGATTAAGGTAGTAGAGCTGTGTAAAACTTCAAACTTTGTAATGATTAGTTAATATCTAGCACCAACCTACCTAAAAATATGTCGAATAATCAGTCTCTTATTTGAGCTGCAGCCCACAAGTTTTGCAGAACGTGTTCTTGTGTAGATCTGGGGAACCATTACATTGTAGTTCATAACGTTCAGAAAGCTATACAGAAGTTGGGCTTGAACTAATCATAGTAAATTGGTCGCATCAACGAACGATCGCTTTAATTTCGATAGTCAAGCCTGGAAAGCCATTCTAGAAATGATTCTCTTACGTGTGGAATAATTCTAGATTTGTTTCAAACTCTATTGCTGTGCAAGTCCTATTGAAGTTGCAAGACCGGACCCAAGCACCTTCAACCTAATTGGATACTTCAAGCAGAATAATTCACAAAAGGCTGATCATTTGATCTGGATTTGGTTTGGGAGGATGAATGAATCAATCACAAACTGAATCTCGAAGACTTTGCGAACCATAGTTTTGGTGTAACTGTGGCCTAAGTTAATCCACCTTGGAATGGAAGTTCAACAACCGAGATAGAATGTCTTAACCACGACAGTGGGTTGAAGCATGAGTAGCTTGATCAAATCAGCTGGGCCAATGTGAGAGTATGGGGTCTTGTGCGTGGTTTCAACCTCTAGTTGCTTTAAATGCTCTCACTGGAAATTAAAAGTAGACAACGGCCAAAATTTCTCACGAGAAGCCACAGAAATCCAACAATCATCCTGTGACAGCTGGTTCAATCTCTATATACAGCTACTCGCCGCCCTCCTCTCCATCTTCAATATATCTCAACCCACATACTCCGGCAACCCTCCCGCCTCCTCATACCCCGGCGGCGCGTCTCCGTCTCCATCTCCCTCCTCCACTCCCCTCTTCCCCACAACCCTCTCAAAAGCCTCCCCCCTAACCCTCTGCAACTCCCTCTTCCTCCCCTCATACCTCCCAAGCGCCTCATTACACTTAAACTCCAACGCCGTAACCCTCCTCTCCTCCGCCCCTACCTCCCCCTCAAGATTCCCCCTCGCCTCCCCACAAACCCTCAAACACTCCCCAATCCTCGCCCTGGGCACCGAATTCGAACTAAACTCCTCAAACACGATCCGATTCACGAATTGCATCTCTTGCACACCAATTTTGCCGATACTCTTGATAGCGGGCTGAATAGCCCTCGCCTGATTCATCAGGAACTCCACGTGCGAGATATGCGTTTGCGCGCGGTTGAGCAGGTTGTATTTCTGCATGGCTGCGAATTCGCCCGCGAGGGCCCAGGCGTCGGCGGTAGTGGCTTTCATGGCGTTGTCGAGTTCTTTGATTGCGAGGGCGAGGGATTTGTCGGCGTCTTGGAGGGTTGAGCGGGCTTGTTGTTCTGTATTCAGACGAAGTTGGGCGTCGTGGAATGCCTTTTCCGCGTCTTTGGTTTGTTCTTCTAACTCGTCTTCTCCTGGGACTTCGGGGGTTGGCCCGTCGAATAGGGAGTTGTATAACTCATCTAGTTCTTTCTGTGCTGCGTGGTGGACTTCGGCGATGCTAGATAATTGTGAATTTAAAGCTTTCGCTTCCGAGAGTTTGGGTTCTAATTGCTCGATGGTGGTTTTGTGTTTTAACTCCACACTCACAGCTTCGAGCCACTCTTTTTCTTCTTTACTAGCTTCTTCCTCGAATTTGTCTTTCTTTCCACCTAATTTGTATCGCAATTTTTTCATATGAGAGTCTCGATATTTAACGTGGTCTGCATACTCCCAAGCGACGTCTTTGGTGGCCTGTTTCAATTTGACTTGTTCTACAGCCAACTCATTGCTTAGCTGTTTTACATATGCAGTATTCTGTTCCAGCGCTGATATTGCATATTCGGTCTCTTCTAGTGACTTTAGTAGTTGAGCGTTCTGTGACGCTGCGGCAACAAGCTTTTCCTGAAACGATGGCATCGTGGAAGTTTAGTTGAAATTTTTGCGGTATGATGGAAATGAAATATCCATTCCTTCCAAAGCTCAACGTTGAAGCTTTAATATTGTCTGATCTGACGACGGCACAGCATGCTTGGCGGGCAAAGCTGGGGCTTAGCAGTCGTCGATAAATGGAAAGTGGGCAATGCATGCGCCACATTATTATGAAACTTTATAGTCTGACAAGGTTTACCATGAGAGACCAGTGATATTGAGAAATTTACGAAGAGAAATGTAAACTCGACGTCATAGTCTCCAGGCAACGCAAGTATAGCCACAGAATTACGTGAAAAACAACGGTCACGTGACATACTTCGAATTTGAATATTTTTGAATAGAGAAGAGATGATGGCTGAGAAGAAACAAAAGAAGCAGACTACCTAAGGAGTTGTATGACAGGAGACATATGTGAAAGGGAAGACTGCCTTACCTTTGATGTCTTTTAAGCTATTGATTATTCCAAGACCCCACTGTGATCGTGCTCCTCCAGCAATACCCCATCGCTGAAAAAGAAATGCTTCATTCTAGACTTAAAGACCTGAGAACCCGTCTTGTGTTGGTTGTATTAGAGTAGAATCTGGGGTGGTTGTACAAGTTTGGTGTTTTTGCAGCACGTCTGACGGGGACAACTCTGATCGCCCAACAACACAAAGTTACCGTGAACAAAGAGTCTATTATCGTGAATCAGCCAAGCTATTACATCGGTTTGCTTTTCCCCGCTGTCCAATTTCTATAAATACCGTTCTCCATGATACCGTACACGAAGGATACGCACGTGCCGCAAAGCATTCTCCTCCAAGCTCGAAATGCAGATGGTGTGAGGCTCGAAAAGAGGGTGTGAAGCTCCATATATAAATGTCCAAGAGTCTATGATCTAACAAGTCTCTCATTTCTGACTGCCGGACTAGGATATGTAACATGGCAGCTGTATTCAATAAGCTGATGTTTGACAGACGAATGATATGGTCGGCTGGCAACCCCTGACAGCGGTCACATGCATCATACACCACATTGGAAGAAGGAAGGTTACCTCTGCCAATAGCCAAACATTGGATACATTTGAATATCTTGGTATTTTCACTGTCACATAGTTTTGGAAATGGAGATCATTTCCCTTCCGCTTTTCAACATCACGAGGTATTCATTCCAACAAGCCCAGCGACAGGGGCAATTAGCCAGCGTGTGCCCCTTTTTTCGAGCCCCAAGCGCCGGCTCTCACTCGTCCGCCAAACCATTTCCCCAGACACAATGATTCGGCTACAACCTCCCGCATCAACAACGGTTTGCTCGAGATTCACTCCAACACTACTGTGCTCTGTACCTAGGTAGTCTGTACATGCACCCGGCCACACTCAACCTGGCAATCCCCCGAGACCCGAGAGGCCATCTGGACACAATATGGCGACGAACTGCCAAATTGGGCTTCACGGTGTTTGCGGTGACAAGAGGTTCACGCCGTCATTAGGTCACAAGGAGTTATATGAAGGTCTGGGAAGCCACGACCGGAAGGATGATTCTCTCAACTCATTTCGAAAGCCTCGAGGCTGGCGAGAAACGGCAATCATGTTCTTCAAAGGATGTCTTTTGGTGCAGGCACTGATTATTGTATTCTACAAGATTAATCCTATCATCGCGGCACCACCTCATTCACGACAAAATGACTTATCCAATTTACCTCCCGATAGCTGGCAGAAATATGTTCGAGCTCCGCCCAGCAATATCATAAAACCATATCGGATTGTCTCGGTTTATCCTAATGCGGGTGTCAAAAATCCATCTGGTCTTATTGATGGAACTGGAACCACTTTGACCAGACAGCCAGCTTCTGGTAACGCGCCGACCGCAGCGGGGAAACCGATTGTGGATATTCAACCAGAGGTGGTGGTTGATTGGGGTCAAAACTATGCTGGTGTTGTATCGATCAATTTTGGGGGTGCTTCAAATTCGACTCCTGGATTACCTGGTATCAGATTGGCGTTTTCAGAGTCGCTGCAGTACCTGACCAACCTCAGCGATTTTTCTCGGTCAAACAATGTGAGTGCGGTTTTGCCATCTGAATATCAATGCTAACACAGTTTTAGGGAGACACAATTACTCCAGGTTCAGATCAAGTGAGTGACACATCCACTTTCATTTGCACCCTGCTCACGTGATACAGATTGCGGTGAAGTCAAAACCATATACATGGACAGATGACCATGGCTGCGAGTTCGGTGATCAGGTTTGCGCTGATGGTCTACATGGCTTCAGGTATATGAAAATATACATGGATGCGCTGGAATCGGATTCGCCATACACGACACCTTACGGATCAGTCACCATCAACTCGATGAGCTTGAATTATTCCGGACTTCTAGGCACACCAGACAAGTTCTCCGGCTGGATTCAGACCTCAGATGAGGATCTAAATCAATGGTGGTATGATGCTGTCTACACCAACGATTTATGTACAGATGTCTTTCGTCTGAATGATACCGAGCCAAGAGGTGCTGCGAGTCCGACTTTGATTGGAAAATTGGTCCTTACCGATGGTGCGAAACGTGATCGGGATCCATATGTTGGAGATATTGCAGTTTCTGGAAAGACATTATTCCTTACTCGAAATGTCCCGGAAGCAGTTAGAAATGTGTTGGCTGATCTAGCTGATCACCAACGTGAAGATGGATGGATTCCACCTGCTAGCATGTAAGTCGAATTTTCAATCATTTATATCAGTATTAACTTTCCCCAGAAACAACTACACTCTTGCTCTCCTAGATTACCCTCTCTGGTGGGTCGTCTGCAGCTACGACCTCTTCATGTACACCAACGACGTGGCATACATAACCAAGTACTACGCAAACATCCTCAACGTCCTCGACAAATTCTACCCCTCCATAACCAACCCCAACACAAACCTCCTCTCCAAAGGCCTCGGCGTCTCAGGCGGCTACGGAGACTACGCCTTCCTCCCCCGCGACGGCCCCGTAACCTACTACAACGTCCTCTACGTCCTCGCCCTCAAAAACGCCGCCACAATCGCCCTCGCCCTCAACAACCCCACCGACGCAAAACGCTGGCTCGACCGCGCAGACCTCGTCTCAGCCGCCGTCAACGACCGCCGCTTCGACACCACCGTCGGCGCCTTCTTCGACGGCAACTGCGGCTTCACGCCCTGTCCCACGCACGCCCAGGACGGAAACAGCATCGCCATCATCAGCGGCGCCGCAAACTCCACGCACGCACAATCCGCACTCGATTACCTCGCCAAAGCCCACGCTCGCCCGTACGGAAACTCGTTCTACGACAACGATGTCATATCAGACGGATTCTCACAGCGCGTATATGCGTTTATATCATACTTCGAGATCGAAGCGCGGTTCATGCTCGGCTCACCCGCCACGGCGCTCGAGGAGATCAGGCGGCTGTACGGCTGGATGGCAAACCACGATCCGAAAGTCACGACCTGGGAGGGTATTGGCGCGGAGGGCTCGATATATGCGGGGAAATATAGCAGTCAAGCGCATGGCTGGTCGACGGGGATCGTGCCGCTGATGACGAATAACATCCTCGGCGTCACGCCTACGGGACCGGGATTCAGTACGTGGAGCGTTAGACCTGTGCCGGGTGATTTGAAGTGGGCGAAGGGTGTGGTTCCTACTCCGAAGGGGGAGATTAAGGTTCAGTGGAATAGGGAGGGTGGGAATTTTTGGTTGAGTGTGGCGACGCCGATGGGGACGAAGGGGGTTATTGCTGTGCCGGTGCTGAAGGGGGGTGGAGAGGTGTATTTGAATAAGGTGCTTGTGGCGGGGAGTGAGGCGAAGGCGGAAAGGGATGGGTATTTCGTGGTGGAGGTTGATGGGGGTGAGCATGTGGTTACTGTTGGGTATAATTCGTAGTTTAGGCATAGATACAGCATGTTTCTATGATAAGCATCAATCTAAACATTTCCAGATCTTTGGTTTCTCCTAAACCATGTAAATCATGTCGACAAAAGCCTGATCAAGAACAGGAATGCAGTTCTTTGCCTCCCGTGCGTAAACTTACAATAGTGTTTCTCGCCGGTCAGCTCACAACTCTCCACCACCAAAACATCCTCAAAAAACAACTATGTGTCTCTTCAATATAAGAACACATCAATCAGTGTGGCAACAATAGTACACTCGTGACTCGTGGTAGGCAAGACAATTCCTAGCACATCTTCTACCAAGACATAGCAAAATGACTCTTTAGCATTCAAACTCGACAGATCTCAAAATAATTATTGATTATGCTTCAACTAAACAAAGCGTGTATAGCGCAACTCCCGAACATCGTGAACAACATCGCATCCATCCAAGCTAGTCATCCAACAGCGTTAGGTTTTATATTCCGCTGTCAGCATCCAGGAAGTTTACAAGGCTATTACCCAGGATCCTTGAGTGGAAATTTTGGTCACTGTATCCCTTACTTTCCTCCTCATTCAGTTAAAAACTCGAGACCCGCTTTAACAATAACAACACACGTCCATCCCAACCCGGAACTCACCAGCCAATACTTTCCCCCTTTACAACCTGCACTATCCCCGAAAGATCAAACCAATCGCCCTTTGGTGTCAGCGAGACACGCTGCTTCCTTCCTAAATTTCTTACATGTTAAAATGGCAGAACGCTTGCCTCCCGGGGTGACGTACTGCGTGATAGACCAAAATAGCGATTCTGTCATTGATTTCTGATGAAGCTTCCGACGCTGGGGCGTCAAGGAGACGGGAATCCGGTAGAGTTGTTGCTTAAAGGAATGTTTTACAGAGTTAGGCTGGGGAACTGAGTCTAGGAGTGTGGAGCAAGATGCTTAGGAATATTGAACGGTGTTGAAGAATTTCCTTATTAGGATCGTGCAAAGTCGATTTCAATTCTGTGGCGTAGGCGTGGTAGAGTATTGCTGGAATTAGAAGTTAAGATCGAGGGATTCGCCTTCGTCAGAATTGATCGGTAAGCACGCTAATGTGACATTTTGGACCACAACCACGATTACGACCAGGACTCGTACTTTGAAAACTACGGCACCGGCGAGTGTGAAGCCTGGAATTGTGAGTATAAGCTTTGTTCATGGATTCAAAAGGTAACCAAAAGAGAATGAAATGAGATTTATCAGCACAACACAGAGAGCATTGTCCGAAAGAGGAAATAAAATCTTGGGAGGCTCTCGGAGGCAGCATACCTGTGCAGATGGAGCAGCATACCTGTGCAGATGGAGAAAGAAGTGATGAGTTGAGGTATCAGGAAATATGAGGGTTGGGGAGGTATAAAGAGATGAGTTGTGTCCAGCAGAAAGCATTCAAATAACATTATCGCAAATCACACCTTCAAACCACCCAGCACTCAAATAAACGCTTCAAAACTTTTAAAAATGTCCGCACTCGTCCTCATAACCGGCGGCACCGGTCTCATCGGCATCAAAACCATCCTCCTCGCCCTCCAAGCAGGCTACACAGTTCGAGCCGCGGTACGAACCCAAGAGAAGGCTGATGCAGTGCTAGCCACGCCCTCCATCAAAACCCTCAACCCACGCTCTCATCTGACATTCATAATCATCCCCGACATCCTCGCAGACAACGCCTACGACGAAGCCGTCAAAGGCGTGAAATTCATCATCCACCTCGCCTCCCCCGTCGTAAAAGGCGACGGCTTCACAGCAGATCAATACGAGAGCGAACTCATCCAACCCGCTATCAAAGGCACGATGTCCATCTTGACGGCCGCGCAGAAAACGCCGGGTATCCAACGCGTGGTGATTACATCCTCGGAAGTCGCTATCGTGCCGTGGGAGGAGTTTATTTCGAAGGAGGTGGACACGGTGTTTGATGATACCTACGAGATTCCCTTTCCGGCTGGGCCGTACGGGAATGTGTTTGAAGCGTATAGCGCTAGTAAAGTGCGCGCGTTGGTTGCTACGAAGCAGTTTGTGAGGGAGAATAAGTTGGAGTGGGATGTGATTAATATCATGCCATCGTTCGTTATCGGGGATAATGAGATGAACTTCAAGGCGGAGGATGTTTGTGATGGGACTGTTGCGGCGGCATTCTCGCAGGTTCTGGGGAGGGATAGCGGATGGGGTCCTACGCCTAGCACGAGTGTGCATGTGAGGGATGTGGCGTGGTTACACGTTCATTCTCTGGATCCGAAGATTGAGGGCAATCAGAATTTCCTGGCTGTGTCTGAGGGGGAGAGGGGGACGGTTTGGGAGGAGGCGATTGAGATTGTGAAGAGGAATTTTCCTAAGGCGGTGGAGAAGGGGATCTTGCCGAATAATAAGCCGGCGCAGACGAAGAGGACAAAAGTTGATGCTAGTAGGACGGAGAAGGTGTTTGGATTTAAGTTTTTGAGCTATGAGGAGCAGGTTAAGAGTGTGGTGGAGCAGTATTTGACTCTTCTTGGGGAGGAGGTTGCTTAGATGGATCCCTACTTCTTGGGTTGATAGATAGTGTTTGAGCTGTAATTGAATAATGAGTTGACGGAAAGTGAGAAGTTTGCTTGATTGTGGTTTGTCCTGATGTATTGTACTTCTTGAACAGTCAATGTGCATTGCTTTCTGTACCCCTTGCTCTGAAAAGTGGAGCAGAAGAGTAAAGCAGACTAGGAAGAAACGAGATGATAACTTTTGATTGTACAGTACCTTTTTTCTCTGATTTCAACCCCATTTATAGGGGCTTATGGAAGTTGGAGACTTTTGTTGTGTCCCTTCTACTGGAGGCACGGTCAACACAACTGGCAAACCTTCTAAATATTCTGTTAATTTGAATTGTATAACAGTGGAAAAGGTATTTTGACACTCTGTATCTAAATATATTACGAGAACGTCTGATTTTCTGAAATTGTGAACACAATATACGATATTTTGTCAACTTGTTCAAATGAGTATTGTGCATTGCGTGTCAATGTTTCGGTGTAGCACGAGCGTGCTATCATATTGAGAAGTCTTGTAGTTACGAAAGTGAATTGAGGCGAAGATTATATAATATATATAAATATTGACATACAACATGTAGCCTGACAATTGTGTTGCATCGCGATCGAACGTCGAAGTGTTGAAATGTAAATGTGATGGCTGAAGTGGAATCTTTGTGATCGTGAGCGATCCGTGGCCCGAGCTCAACTACCCCTGCACTCGCATCAAGCTTCAATGTTCCAGCTCGAACAATTTATGTCGCAATTCAACGTCTCAATTCAACAGGTCATATCAATACACAACATTCAAAATGGGTTGGTTATGGGGAAGCTCAGATCATAGCAACGCATCAAAATCCAAAGATCCCGTCCGCGACCTTGACCCCGATCTGCGCGACTTTCTAAAGAAAGAAGCCCCTCAAAAATACGAAGCCAAAACCACTCCCCCTCCGCCGCCAGAACGTACCATCCCAAAGCCTGCGATCGCAGAAGATCAATTCGAAGATGATTCAAAGCCAAAAGTACCTCCTCAGTCGCTTTACCAGGATGGACGATATGCGCATATATGGAAGAACTACAAGAGTCTGTCAGAGGTGGAAGCCGAGGGCAAATCGGATCAGGAGCGAATGATGGATGTAATGGAGAGTCACCGGACGCGACAGGCAGAACTTGGTAGGGCAGCGCTGGAGAGTTGTGCTGTTGAGCAGATGGAAGTTAGTGATTGCTTTCGCGCGGGAGGGTGGTCAGCCAAAACGACCATGTGTCGGGCGGAGAATAGAAAGTTTGATAGATGTTATACCATGCAGGCGGTAAGCTACACGCCATGGATTGCGGATGCAGCTAATAGATGTAGAAATTCCTCAAAGCATTGGGATACCTAGCAGCGTACGATCGTCCGGACGTTGAGGAGCAAATTCAAATGCAGGCGGATACGTTATACCACCAGATGTTAGACCAAGAGAAAGCGATTGAAACCGCAAAGGCCGAAGGAAAACCCATACCGGCATTCCCAGCATTACTTAAAGCGCAAATGGCAAAGGCAAATGTAGCTCAGGATCTGGAAAAGCCGGAATTCGATATATCATCTCTTGCGCCTAGATCACAAAATCCATTGAAGAAGAGGTTGGAGAAGTTTGAGGGTGTGGAACGAGAGATTGAGGAGTTGGCGATTAAAGCGGAGGTTGCTGCTGCTGCGGAGATGTCGGGGAAGATTGATCATGTGGGACGACAGCAGTTGGAAGAGAGAGAGTTACGGAAAGCGCAGGGGAGAGAGACGATTGCGGATAAGGTGTATTATGCGTTTAGGGCGAAGTGAGGTTGTTCCTCGATTTCGGATTGAGGTGCCCATTGAGAGCAGACGACTTCATGTGCAGTCGGCAGTAGACTCGATTCATGAGCGCTCGCTATGGGGAATCATCGTAATGTCTACATCTCCGACAACTGCAACGAAGATCAACTCCACACCCAAGGACTTTATGATCAATCTTCCAGACTTCTAGAGCCAAACAAAACTGGAGCGGTATTTTACCAAGTTGGAATTTTATAATGCTCTGTTCGACTCCATTTTTGGGAGGTGATATGTGGCGTGGAGTAAAATGAGGAGGAAATCGCTCGAGGAGTCACAATGTACGAAACATATATGTATTTTATCACGAATATCCATTACCATTATCTATTCAATCCGATCGGACATCTGCCAAGTCTCTTGATCTCTTATTCTATCCATGCTACCATTCTTACTTGATCTCTAGCTCGATATAAAATCCGATCTCGCAGTCACGTGCGTATCGCCCACTTCTATGACTGACTTCTAATCCAAGATATATGAACGACTTCCTCTCTTAATTGGAAACAACAATTTTCATATCTCAAACACTGTTTAAAAATGGACGTCCCCATAGCAGCAAACGTCCTAGGCACAATAGGCGCAGTCTGCTGGTCAATCCAAGTCTCTCCTCCCTTCCCTTCTCCCCTTCCCCCCTCAAAATTTCCCCCATATCCCATCCCCTTTTCCTCTCCTCATCTCAGACTAACACCCCCCAGCTAATCCCTCAAATCATAATCAACCACCGCCGCCACAACACCACCGGTCTCCAACCCTCCATGATGCTCCTCTGGGCCATCGCTGGTGTACCCCTCGGCGCGTACAATATCGCGGGGAATTTCAACGTCGCGCTCCTGATCCAGCCGCAGATACTGACGGTGTTGAGTTTGGTTACGTGGGGACAGTGTGGGTTTTATGATGATGTGAGTAAATATCAACGGAGGAAGGGGAGGGAGGGGAAGGGATGTTGATGTGTGTAGAACTGGACGACATTAAGATGTTGTGCCGTGGTAAGTGTGATTGGAATAGTCTTCGGTGGGATTGAAGCTGGCTTGGTTTTTGCGTTGAAGGTAAACTCCCTCCACTATCCCGAGGACTCCAAACTAACTTACATATTCAGGCTGGCATAGACCGAGATATCCACTGGCCGGTCATACTGATGGGTGTGGTATCTGCTATTCTTCTCAGTGCGGGAGTGTTGCGCCATTACTGGGACATCTACACGCACCGCACCGTCCGCGGAATTTCATTCATCTTCGTCGCTATAGACGCGGCGGGAGATGTATTTTCTCTCGTCTCAATCTGTACGTCCTCCTCCCTTTTGCCCCCATCTATTATACCCTGACACGGATGTATGAAGTCTTCCAACCCAAGCTAGATATCCTAGGCATGGTCATCTACGCCAGCGAATTCGTGCTTTGGTGCGGCGTTTTTGCTTGTGGTGGGTATTTTAATTTGAGGCCGTGGGTTCAACAGAAGATTAGTGAGAGGGCGCTGAGGAGGGTTGGGATGGGGAGGCAGGATGGGGAGGGTGATGGGGAGGTGGATGTGGATGTGGATGTGGAGCTTGAGAGGATGGGGAGTTCGACGTCGGTTTTTAGGACGTCGGGGAGTGTTGTTAGTGAGAGGCGTGGGGGGAGGGCGGAGGGTTAGACGTTTGTGTGTTGGTGTTGTAAGAGGAACTATCTTTGACATTTCACAGCTGTCTGGTTGAGTCGTCTCAGCTCACTCAATTGCAGACCTAAATTTCTACCATGGAGTCGCCATCAGACTCACTGGCTGCTCCAGATCCTTATTTTGGACTCAAAAGTCTATTCCCAGTCTAGATCAACCTACAAGATTGCAACTCAGACAATTCGACTTCTATTTAATAAAGGACGTTCTCCTAATGCCTTGTATCTGTCAGATTCAATGATAACACGTCATACAACGCAAGTTGATCACTCATTTCGTGCAATTGCTCTTATACTTACTAGCTTAACTAGATCTAAATTCTAGATTCTAAAGTGTATCCTAAGCAATTAGCTATAAGATAAAATACTAGGAACTTGAGCTTCCAATCTATCAAAGAACGTGCTATTAAAAGACGTTCTATATATTCTATCGAATTATCTCCCCTTACTCAACTCTAGGTCTAGTGTGTTATAAGTCTAACGGGATACCACCTTACGGTAGAATAAGCACTCTCCGCTCAAGATGCTATAATTACTTGAACTTCTTACAAGTAAATATACAAGGCCGTTGTTATGAGATAAACCAAGTACCACTAATAGGGAGCTGGTCGATTTCTACTAATCTTGTTCTCGGGGGTGGACTATTGGTAACACACTAGTGAGTTAACAGGCTATCTAACACAATCGCCTGTAAAATTTATACTAATTAGCACCTCTAGATCCCTTCTAGACTTAAACCTCTATTACGAGGTTAGTTCTACGTCAGGCTACGAAGACATCTTAGCTGATTTTCGATAAAGGACATCCATCTTAAACGAATTCAATCAGGCCAACCCCCAAACTCACACACGCAACACCTGACACTGTATAGAACAATCTACTTACTTATCTACTACTCTATACTCGTGTTTGCGATTTCAAGCGCTATCACAGTGTCACGCGGCGAATCGCTAAGCTCAAAATTCTATTCCAGGTGTGTAAAGGGACGATCTCTCAGACGCCTTGTATTCTACTCTATCACGTTATCCTCATGTTCTCATGTCCCCAAAAATACGCCACACCGTCTATCCTCCTTCCCTTCTCTCAAACACTGAGCAGCACTTGACTTCCATCACCCCTCCTCCTCAAGTCAAAACCCCAAACCTCACACCTCTCCTTTCCCACCTCCCTCCCCCCCTACGCTTCCAACCCCTCACCACCCTCACACTCTCCACCCCTCCCCTAAGCACCCAGCCCACTCCCCCCATAAAACGGCAAACTCGCAATCCAAGTATGTCTCAACAATTTCCCCTCGACAATCTCCTCCTTATGCGCCTCCATAACCTCCAAATCCCAATTCACGCTCACCATCAGCCCCTTCAGATAATCCGCGCGCGGCTGGGCGAGATACAACGCCTGCAGGCCGGTGAGATCAGCGTGGTCTTTCGCGTACGTCTTCCAGTAGTCGTTTGTCATGTCCGAGAGCACGACGCCGGGCATGGTTGTGAAGGTGCGGAGGGTGGGGTACTCTAGGAATCTTATTAAAATTTGGGGAGTCGGGGAGGAGAGGGAAGGGGACGTACCAGCTTGCACATGCTCAACCAGAACCTGCGTCGCCATTTTACTCACATTATACCCCGAGCCCGTCGGCATCGTGAACCCTACTCGCGCAGAGAGAACACAGATCACAGTGCCCACGGGATTCTTCGGATCAGGCTGGCTGTTGATATAATAATGGATCATCAACGCCGTGCCTTTGGTGTTGATATCCTACACATCATCAGTTACCCATTCCTTTTCCAAAACACCCCGTGATAGAATGGGATGGGATGGGATTCTCACAATAGTACTCCACCACTCCCCCAAACTCCCCTCTCCGAATTTCTTCCCATCGTTAAGCACGCTCGCGTTATTCAACAGCACATCTGCGCCGCGGCCGAAGGTATCTTGGATTTTCGCGAAGAGGGATTTCACGTCTTCTTCGATCGATATATCAGCGCTTACAACTAGAACTTTTGTTTCTTTATTCAAGCCTGCAATCTCATCTCTGACTTTTTCGAGCTCTGGAAGGCGACGACCGATTATTACGATGCCTGTTGCGTTTGCACGAGCCCAGACTTTTGCTGCGGCCTATGAGGTGTTAGTCGTGAGTTTGGTAATCGAATCATGACAAAAGAAGATCAACCCATGACCACATAAGGGAAATAAATCGAGATAAGTGGAAACAACAATTTCCTCGTCTCATCTCCCTTCCCCTCCCTCATTTCAACCCATCTCAGCCCATCTCCTCACCCCCCTTCACCCTCTCCCCTCCAAAACTCCAAACTCCCACCACCAAAAATTCAATAAGGAAAATCAAAAACTCACAGCACCAATCCCGCTCCCCGCCCCCGTAACAACGATGATCTTCCCCCCCGCCGAATTTCCCGGTTTCTCAGCGGCGACAAACGGATACGGATCCCTCCTCAGCGTCTTCGTAAAGGAGAAGGGGTAGGTGTAGAAATCGGGGTGGGATTCTTGCATTTTATTAGAGATGTGAGGGGATGGGATGGTGGTGTTTGGGGGTGGTGAGGTGAAAAGTAATTGAGGGATGAGGGAGCTATGAAATACAGTTTACCTATGCGATATATGTATATATACTCACACCTCCCACGCCGCATTTGACATACAAACCCAAACCCACAACCCTCACAAATCTAATCAAATCACCATCGCATCCGCGTAATCCCACCCCGCCTTTTCAAATCAAGACTGACGACGGCCACTCTCGCCGCTCCCATTGATCATCAATAAACCTTGCTACCGTTCTCCCAGTCCAAGCGACCGCTCCTAGATTTTCCTACGTACATATGTGCGCATAGTGGTACTCCGTACATAGTTGAGTGCTGATTTTCCCAAACCGGAAACAAACGCACGGATTTGTAAGATCTTGACATGAATAGTGGATACAGCCAGCCCTGCAGCACTTACATGCCAAGGAGTATAGACGAATGCGATGAATTCGGCGATAATCGTATAATGTGAGGAGTCAAGCATATTTCCAAGGTTATATTTCCCTACCCCCGTATTTAGTAAAGATAGGGAATCGAGATAATATTTTTCGTATAATCCTAAAACTATCTATCTCTTCTTCTAGGAAAACTTTCTAAACACTTTTTCTTTCTACAAGAATTCCTCTAGAATAAGGATATATACTAAGGTATATAATTTATATCCTCTTACTTATTTTAATAAGAAAAGAGTATCTTACCTAATTACATCCTCACCGACTAGAAGGACAAAGAAATTTCTCGAGTAAACGGATTATTATTGTTTATACTAAAAAACATCTATAACTAAGTAATGAAATGCTTATACATTCAGGCATTCTTGTTTCTAATTCCCTTATATGTGGATTCTACTGTATTTGCTTGTTGTAGTATAAGGGTTTGGGATACGTGGGTTTGAATTTCTTTACTACGTTATAATAACGAGGCTACAAGTTCTTATTGCTCCTGCAATGCTGAAGGAATTCAATATGATCAACTCACGTCACATATCTCACATAGAAACCGAGCCTCGTCATTCTAAATGATATCAATTCCTATCTATTATTTTAAATATCTATCCATCATCCCCCACCCACCTTCCCATTTCAAACCACCCAATGCCCTCGCTCTATCCAAAATGCAGAAAATCCGTGAAATATCCCGGGGTATCGTTTATTGCCCAAAAAGGGTACAAGTACATTTTTATCGAAGCGTTTCTTCTGATGCGAACACTTTTGATGTTCAGCGTCTGCAGTAGTTTGCGTGGCTGCTGATTGCGAAGTGCTTTCAGCGTCATTCGAAATGTCGATCGGAAATCCATCATTTTAGCAATGCCAGCGACGTAGCTTCAGACGTTGGATCTGTTGATCTGAGAGATCTAGCAGCTGATTGAAGGTACCGCCTATTTCTTCCTCGATTTCTGTCATGAATCGCCGCACCATAGCGGTAACCATCTTCGTCTCATTTTATGCCGCTCGTTGCTGCACTCGAACTCTTCTCCCCTCAACTCGTCTTCAAAATCCACCGATCATTGACCGACCGTTCATATTTCGCCTTACTCGTAACCAGTACTTTATAATAAGCATCATTCGCCTTGCCATTACTCCTCACACCCTCAAGCTGATCCGCGATCGGTCTCAGCAACAACCCCATTTCCAGATGCGTATCCGGACCAATCTTCGCTTTATTCGCAAGAATCGCAACGACCACCACAAATAAAAGATGACAGCCACAGATTAATCCCAGAATCATCAAAAAAGAGATCCGATGTCCAATCTGTAATGACGTTCCTTGTTGAGGAGCCGACCCGGGATATGTCGTAACGGGATTAAAAATCGTTGCACTTGCCAAAGAGCCAAGCGCATAAATAGAAACTAATTCTCCAATGTTGTCCGAATTTCCCTCTTGTGGACTACCCCATATACTGCCCTGAGGATATATCTGAGCTTCTTGACCATCATCCGTGTATCCTACTTGAGCAATAGAACTTCCGGCAATACTAGCCATATTATCCGAGATCCAAGAAATGTTCAGTCGATCATGTTCCGTTTTTGCAACCGTAATGTTGCAGGTGTAGTACCAAGCTTTTTCTGGCGACGCTTCGAATGCTTGAACCACGGAGCAACGAAGAGTGTCGTCGCAAACATTGCGTACCGATCCATCTTTCTCGGTGAAAAATGTCGTCGAATTTGGCGCCTTGTGCGAGACGAAAATTTCTCCCAGGCCTTCAACAGTGATATTATTTGCCGTTCCATTACCACCTGCTGTAACAACATGTGAGCTACACGAGTACGTTGCCGATATTTCTCTCTCGGTGATGATGGAGTATTCGGAATATGCGGTGGAGACACCAGGAGGAGAGTCAATAAAGGGCAAGGTGGATTTCTTTTCCTTTGGAGACCGATATACCATACCGCCGCTCATTTGTATCATAGTTCCTGGCTTTGGCCTTTCCTCGGATTTATTGGTGCCGTAATTACCTATCAAACCCCCGTACCTAAAACAATTAGCAGGCAAATGAAAGTGGATAAGAGATACTAACAAATGAGCAGTGTATGCCTCATCCTGGTTCATGATGGTATTCGCTTCGGCCGCAGTTTTTCCTTGTGGGTAGTAATGATCCATTAGAGGAATGGTGACATCTCCCGAATTCATGAGCACGCCTTCTTTCGCAACTTCCCAGCCGTAGGTCAAACTTATCATAGCTATACCAGCTTGTGCAAGCTATATTGGGTTAGTGAAATCCCCACATTCGAAGAGGGGTAATACAATATTGATGAAAAGCCAAGCTGATCCAGCGAGGATAACCCATGGCTTTCCAGATATGAAGACTAGTTTCGCGACTCTGAGCATACTGTCAATCGAAAGAATCAGATCGACCTGGAATTATTAGCCCTAAACCTTTCTAGGATGTCTAATTACCTACCTCTCTCAGCGATCTCTTCTTCTGCGCAAGAATCACCCATCGCATATTCAAAGCTATATCCTTGAACGCACTCGCAATATTTAGACCCAAGCAGATACTGATTCCCGTGGTGACAGCATTAAATAGCTTCTTTTGACTTTCCGACTGAGCTCCCTTCTTTTTCCATTGTATTGTCGAAACGACGAAGGCAGCGCATAGACCGGCAGTCACAAACCATCTCGTAGACATGCCCAATAATATCATTCTGAATTGTCTCGCGTGAGGATCTTTGTACGGCACATCTTTCGCGTTGAAGCTGGTATCCATTCGGTGCATGGGATCGGAGAGGAAGGATTGAGTTTCGATTGCTGGAAGTGTTAGCATGATGTCAAGGACTCGAGGTATGCTTCTTACTGCCAGGACTCGGCTTGGAAGGAAATATGGTCGAAGAGGTTGAATATTCAGAATTCATCGACTGCTGGCTCCGCTGCTTGCTCTGTACCCCCGGACGTGGTGGTTGGTGCATCTCGTACTCTGGAGAACCTAGATCTCCATGATACGGTTGGAACGGTTGCGAATACACCTCTGGACTTTGAAAATAACCTCCTTGTTGTGGTACCCCGCCATTATATGGTGCTGTTGGTTGTGGTCTCCCATTCCCCGGATTCTCCAGCGGCGAGAACGGGTTGACGCGATTGTAACCAACCATGTTGAAAGTGGCAGATGGCGAGCTCAAGAATGGTGAAGATGCATAGAGCACCGTTTGCAATGGAGAAGTCAATCTCGAAGGGTTGTCGGTCTTGAGGAAGCAACGAGGACGTCAGACGAAGAAAAGCATGGTGAGGTCGTTTTGAAGGTGTCTGAGAGGCGCAAGGGTTGTTGTTTGTGTTGGTGGCTCCTTGTGCTCCTCAAATCTTCAGGATCTTGGGGGCCGATGGCGATAGGTAAGCTCCTGGGTGAGCATCATAACGAGGTAAGGTTAAGGAGGCTACGCCGCGGTACGACATCCTCGCATTTCCCTCCATTCGGAGGGCCTGGCCGACTTAAGCTTTTCCTATTCTTCTCATCCTCCTGGTCCAGATCGCGTGCGATTGGCGTGCGGCTGAAGGATTCCAGAATGATAGCGGGCAGCGCCGCAAAGAAATGCAGGGGAGGTGCAGATGTTGTGATCCGTTCCGGAGAGGAGAATGAGCAATGTATATTTTCAGGAGCGGAAAACGAGACATAGTAATATAATCCGTGGTTATTCGGGAAGAGTATATCGTACAATGAACAGTTGCGGAGGAGTGGTTCGAAGATCGCGTTGTGGTCGAGTTTAAGTTCTGAAGTAAATTGAAGTGGATGTCAGTCCCTACACAAAAGTGACCCGAGCCTTTTAGGGCTGACATATCCGCCAAGCGTGTAACTCTAACGCTATATTTAGGGTGTAAGGTGCTCGGCCCCATCCGGTTAAATCATCTTGGTAACATGATCTGTACTTGGGAACTCAAATATGGAATCATTCTGCATCGAATGCGCAGTGCATGTGTCGAAGAGAGAATAGAAATGAGTTATTTCAAAGCCACACACATATCAAGATCGCTGGGATACCCGTGGACGATATGATAGAAGATTGGAGGAACTGGAAATGAAAAGCAGACTCATGATGAACTCAACACAGGGTCATCATTCTGCATCGCAATGCGCAGTGCATATGTAGAAGAAGAAGAGACACAAGCCTTCTTCAACATCACACACACCACGATGATGGAAACAGCGTCAATAGCAGAAAAGACGAATCCAGAGAAGTGCAAAAGAAGAATAGACATGTAATAAATCCTAGCTGGAAGCTCTGCATCGCAACGTGCAATGCATATGTGGAAGAATAATGGAAACGAGCCATTCCAAGAAGACGACATAATCCAAGTAGTCGATATAACCTAAAACGACTAGAAGATGGCGAGAACATGAGCTCGAGAACGGAATCAAGGGAATTGGAAAAGAACAACAGGCTAGCGTATTGACGATAGCAGACCTAGGCCTGATGAGATATGCTTTTCAGTTCAAACAACGTCCCTCATCTGAAAATATTGATAATTGCAAATCTTGACGATTAAACATTGCCTTTGGTCTGAGCTGGCCAACTATGCTCTCTGTTCCTGTTCTTTCCAATCTTTCCAAATCGGTCGCTATTCCTGCTCTCGTATTCATCCTGCATCAGAAACCTCCCATGCATTCAACTCCACGGTCACATTTCAACAACATTGGCTTAAATTTTGGTTTAAACACCAATAATCTGTCCACCCTCCCAAGTCTCGCCAGCTTCCAACTTTTGCCAACCCTTGACCGCACCAGACTCCACGCAGATCATTTGCTTGTACCCATCAGCTGGAGCAAAGTCACCTATACTCTTCGCGTCGACCCATGGATTCCAAACAACGACTTCATTCAAGTTGTCTCTGACGATGCTAAACTTCTTCTTGCCACCTTCGGATATCGCGACTGGTGCGCTTGGTCCGCCAGCAGGAGTGTAAACTCTATCCGTCTTGCCGGTGATCTTGACTGGACCATCTGGGGATGTGGTGGTGCTGATTGGGGAAGCGACTTTGTCAACGTAGGAGGATGACTCGAGGCCAGTAACGGAAACAGCAGAGATGTCCTGTGTAGTTTGTCAGCACAAATCACAGCACGGAAACGATCCAAACACTCACCGATATCCTCAAATAACTATGCATCAACAACTGAAAGTCCCAAGAAGTCTCGCCCTCGTTTCTGACTAGCATAGTGGTAGTCAAGCCGTCCTTGCTCAAAGTAACGCTATATATCAATCCAAACGAGTATGGCCAAGCCTTCTTGCTCTCCTCGCTCAATTCGGCATCACTAAGGCCAAAATCTAACTTCACGCTGCTATCGCCTCCATCCTTCGTCTCTGAAGACTCCGAGGTGGATTTCCCGAGAAATTCCCATGTTGATGTTCGCGCGAAACCATGTTGAGGTAGTTTGGAGGTGGCTTCATGATCGGGAGCAGTGCCAAAGACCTAGTGCGCAATATATCAGCATAGTTCAATCTCATCTTCTGCTAGGAACGTACTGGAAAGACTAGCGGTATGCCACCACGGACAGCCTTTGTTCCATCCGTCACAGCCTTTTCACTGAGCCATAGCTTCTCATCTCCAGCAGCATCTTTCCAGCTTGTGATGGTAGCTCCATATAGAAGAATCTCGACAGATTCACCGGTAGGGAGAACGGCAGATACGGTGGAGTTGGAATGGGTGATGTTGACTTGAGGTTGAGGTGCAAGACCGGGAGTGGCCGCAAGAGCTGACGGTTTCTTTGGGCGGTCGACCATGTTCGAATAGGAAGGACTGACAGGTGAGTTCGGCTGATGTTTATTACGAAGAGATTGGAACAGATCAAAGAGGAGAAGACGAATGAAGGTATTCAGATATAGGCGGTGTTTGGAGTGGAATGTTCAATCTCGAATGACAACAGAAAGCATGTAGCGGGGTCGGGGTCTCCACAACATGAAACGCGAGCGCTTTCAGGGGTCAAGCGATCACGTGTGAGGGGCAACCACTTCCTTCACGACCGGACAAAAAGCCTTGATTATCAAACCTCATTAGCTGGAAGCAGAGTCGAATTCGAGTCTTATGAAAATAGCATCCATTTTTACTAACGAACCCATCGAAGTGATAGAAGTAATCTGCCATCCGATTCATATAAAATATCAAAAAATCCAACACCTTCACCAATGATCAGCAAGCTTCTCAAGATCCCACTGCGTATGATCAAAAAACGCATAAAACGTCAAAGGCGTATAATCAAGATACGTAGACACCAGTCCAGTCTTTTGCCAAATCTCAGAAATAAGCCCACACCCAGCCCTCCACGTCTCATCCTGAAAATCCAACTTCCACGAGTCATTCTCGTTGTAATAGGTCATCCACATTGACATCTCATGAAGTGTATATAATTCTCGCGGATTACGTTCTTTGAGATACTGTGATGCTTCTGGTAGTAGACGTGGAGTATGAGCCATGATGCTGAGCCTCCAGACGTTGTAGAATGTCCGCTCGAAGCGTTGACGCTCGGAAGGTCTCATGTGTGGTTCGTCTCCTCTACGTGGGTAGAATTCTATCTTACATACGTTGATCCAGCTTTCACAAGCGGATAAAGCACAGCGAGCGTTGAATAAAAGCCGTTTGATGCGAGTGATTTTGCTGTTGTTTTGGTTCTTGTCAAACTGCTTTGACGACTCAATTTCTTCCTGTACTGTAGCTAATTGCTCTGCTTCAGCTAGGTTTGTAAAAGTGTGAAGCGTAACGGCATCAAAGATAGTAGTGATATGTTTGTGCCAGATATTGTTAAAGACATGTGCCGTCCGACTCAAGGCGTACACTGTGTCGAAATCATCTGCGCATTCGAAGACTCGACAAATGATCTCTGGTGGCGAGGTTAAAAAGGATGGCACGATCATTGTTGATACGTTATGTTGGGCTTAATCTGAACCCCCAGGAACGTCCGTTGAACCGCGCTGGTTGAAATGCTGGTGGCCGCGATCAAATTGCTCCTTCTGTCGATTAAATGGATCGTGACAGGCCAGAAGATGTGGTTGCTTTGGACTTGTGCGATTGCCCCAGCCGTCTCAACGAATCGCACTACCGTACTTAACTACTGTCTTTAGAAACGAAAAAGTCCTTTCTTTTCCTCTATTCAGCTGAAAGATTTGTTCTTTAACAGTCCATCTGACAATTTTCAAGTGAGCTGTATTATATAGCGGCAAGTGTAAATTCTGTTTATTTACTAGTAAATGTCACCGGGTGCCTAGATGCATTCGTTTGAGGGGCTGCTGGTTAAGCGAGATTCGCGATTTGTGTAAGCACACCCTACCAGATTGACGGTAGCTTAGATTCCTTTGTTAGTGGCAAGTTGCAAAGCCTCGCGCACAAACGCCATAGAATCCAGATTATTGATGGTTGCCTCCTATCCATCTTATTATTGTCGTACCCAAGACGGTACTTGAATGGGCTAAGTACTATTGCGGCTGATCCCTAACGGGTCGGAATGGATCAGGACTACATTATTCTTACCACTTCCAGAAAAAGTACATCCTAAACATGCAGATAGCAGTAGTGAGCCGCAGTACCATTCTATCTTGATCCGTCAATGGATTTGATATGGATTCTTGCCGTACATTCCAAATGTTTCACTCCAAAAGATGCCCTGCTCCTTAGCCAAACCTGCAACCATTGGAGATTCGTCAACGCGTTTGATATAGTCTCTTGATCACATTCCACTTGATGTCTCCCATAATAGCACTCCATTATACGTACAGTTTTAGAGCCCAGCTCCCGACCAAAGCCGTTTTGCCTTGATCCTCAGAGGTTACGATGAAATAAACAGAGAAGACAATGTGCAGGAGCGCACTTGCCTTCTTTAGTGTCTTCATAGCCATATTAAAATCAATATAATGAGCATTTTCTACGCAAATAGATTTACTCAGGAACACTATCGACAGCGGAGGGAGACTTTGTAGAGAATGCGTAATAAGAATATGATCATTTACGCTTCCTTCAAGTCATGTCATGTTTTCAATCATAACCTCGAAGTCAGATGTACCAATTAACTGATATAAGTACCCGCCATTTCTCCCCATTCTGTACAGATTCGTATACTATTAAGAAACATTTCTATAAAGCACCTTTAGTACAACTAAAATCTTATTTTGGTAAAAGCTGTTATAAACGGTTTTATCTATAAGCGTCGATTCTTCTTGCTACTTTCTTCTATTACTCATTCAAAATTCGCTATCCTAAATACGTTCATTTACGGTACTCTTTGGACGGTTCTGTGGTATGCCTGGGCGGATGCATCCCCCACTGATATCTACGGCGCTCTAGACTCGACTATCTTAGCACCCCGAGCCGCTGACTAGATTTTAATCGGTTATCGAGCAGTTAGCCCAGTATGTTGAATCTCCTCTTCTAGAGATGAAAAATCTTGTGCTGACTTATTCGTTCCTCAAGGACGAAGCTACTAGTATCAACTACAGGGGATTTCTTTATTGGGCCGAAAATAAGCCCCACACTACCTATGCAGGCCAGTATGGTGAAGGCAAGGCAATAGCCCACAAAGCTGGAGTGTGGCCACAACCTCTCGGCCGCACATGGTGTAAGTTCTAAATCTTAGTTACCTCAAGACCACTCTCTACTAACGATACATTGGACTGACGGGTTTAGGGTGCTACGTTCTGGCTGATACCGACATGTTCATGGCCGCTGAGAAGGTACACCTCTATGAGCGGACTGGGGACTCTACAACATATACAGAGCAACGTACTACCGATATCATTGGGTCGATTTCCGGAATTAGCTAATAGTGATGCAAGCCGAGTCCTACGGATGGGTATGTGCGGCCCAGTGAAGGAGCTTCTTATTCCCAAAGCTATGCTAGGAGGCCCGAAAAAAAGTGATGGCCGCGGCCCGCTACGTCTTGAATCGAAGTGCTACAACACGTTGAAAAAGATGAAAGCTGGTTTAGCAAGGAAAGGGTTCCCTGGGAGTCCAAAAGTGAGATATCCGGACTTTGAAGGGTATCAGGCACCGGAGCAAGAAGAAGATGATGATGCGGCGGAGCCGGAAGTTGAAGCTCGGGGCTTGCAATTAGAGACTCGTAGTGGTGATAGTAAAGCTGGCAAAAGCTGGAAGAGTACCAAAGTCGACAAAGTTGGCAAAACCAACAAAGGCGACAAAGTTGATAAGGTTGACAAAGGGAACAAAGGCGGCAAAGCTGGTAAAGCTACTAAAAATGGCAAGACTAGTAAGGCTTCTATTTGCGTTATGAATTGATTATAGCGTTAAAGGATTGTGTGGGCATTTTCCTGTTATGTCTCGGGCGTCTGGGTTTTGTTACTTGGCCTTGAATTTCGGGCTACTGAAGCATTTTGTATTTGATTTTTCGCGTTCGCATTTATATGGTTGGTTTTGGGGTTTGGTTCTAGCATTGTTTTAGTTCTTTGACTAATATACCAAGATTATAAAGAACTTATTAGGGTTTTCAATTGGATGTTCAGTGTTCGGCGTTGTGTGAGTCTGGGTTCATTTCACTTTTGAGAAATGTGGTAGTGAGTTACTAGATTCAGGAGACTTGGGTGGCGGAATTAGAGGTTTGGATTTCTAAAATATGTGCAAACCTAAACACGCGTTTTGTATAACACTTGGAGTTTTAGCTAGGCTGGTGCAGCAGAGCTCTTGGAAATAGATCAGAAGCATAGAATTTGATGACTGATGCATGGAAGAAGAAAGCCTTGTCGAATTTCTGTAGTTTCAAGATATGTTTTAGGAGAGACTTGTGTTGGCCTCATGCGAGCACAGTTGATAACACTGAAGCAAACGAAGCCGACACTCTTCCTGAAAATGTAAAGTTGTAGTGAATTCATGACTCAAAACTGTCGGTGAATCAACGTTATTGTGTAAAAACTCTTCACTCCTGCAATTACTAGCAGCGATCATCAAATAGAGCATAGCCCAACGCTAGTCAAGCGCACGGTTGCTTGTTGTCAGATAAATTCGAGAAGGCTCTTGAAATCTTTTGAAACGAGAACCACGAGTTGAGCATTCTTCAAATCCCTCTCGTCGCCGAGCCTCAACAACGTCAAGGCCAATCTCGACTTCGAATACCGTCATTGCAGTCATGGCACATCTCTTCGATCTACCCACGGAGCTAGTAGACGTAATCATAGAAAATACCCTCCCTGAAGGTTTTGAGAGTCTCGCATTGAGCTGCAAAGATCTTTGGGATCACTGCATACCTCACCTGCCGCGTCATAACTATTACCGTTCAAAGTACAGGAACTTTTCTTTCAAAGCACCATGGAAAGAGGACCCCGATAATGCCAACATGATTTGTCCTGTGGTTGAACTTCTGATGCGAATCTCGACCGAACCCATCATCGCTCGTTACATCGAACACGCCAACTTCTCGGAAAATGATGTGGATCTGTCTATGAGTCTTATGAGGGTTGTTCGCCTACCAGAAGTCACATCTGAAGATCCCTTTGTTGCACTCTTCGCCAAATCCCAATACTTACACGACGCTGATCTTGACTGGAGGCACTATTACACTGAAATGGACACGGAGTATACGCACGATACATCTGCTGGATTTGATGGATTTGGTGGGCTCAGCGTTATCCACGCAACTGATTTTCTCTTGACGCTCCTACCCAACGTCAAAATTCTTATACTGCCAAGACTATATACGTCAACACCCTTCACTAGAAAGATACTTGAGGCTATTGTTCGAAGGGCACGCCACTGGTGGAATCCTTGGCACCAACCTAGTCTTGCTCAACTCACTACTTTCCGGACGACCCTGGAAACCCACACAGATGACATGTAGAATTTACTGGACGTCGTTCTATTCCTCAAGTTGCCGGCAGTTAAATCGTGTTTCTTTGGCCCAGGCCCCGCTGGGTCGGGAGTCTTGCCATTTCAAAATGAGACTCTCTCATCTTGGAGGGACCTTGGCCCCGGATTTGGTAGAAATCTCGTGACGGTAGACTTGTCCGGCTATTTTCTTGAAGCCAAACCAATTTCCCAGTTTCTTCAACATACGCCACAGCTCAAAGTTTTAGATTATGGGCACTCTAGTCGATATGATCGTTATGGAAAAGAGTGGGATCTTTGCAATTTTGTGACGGCAATCGAGCGAGAGGTGGGCAACCATCTAGAAGTGCTCTCGATACGCGTTCTCAACCCTCGTGCTGAACTTTCTCCCGGCGTAATTTCTTTGTCTGGATTTCAGCAATTGCGAAAGTTACAGGTTCCATTGGAAGTAGTGTCGTGCTATACATATATGCTATCACTACATGAAGATGAAATCGAAACAGAAAATAACGAGCCAGTCCTCTCTGTGCTCGACTTTCTGCCTCCATCTATCACGCATTTGTCAATAATTAGTCATGATTTAAAGCCCGCAGAAGAACATCCTTCATATGTGGAGTATAGAACAGGACCCGGAGATGCGAGAAATTTGAGATGCTTGTTCGGTGGATTTGCTGCGAAAAAGCCGGTCAAATTACCTGTTCTTGAGGAAGTCAACGTTGTGTGCACGGCACTTGCCTGTGATTGGTATAAGCAAGAGTGTGAGAAGCTTGCCATGGAGTGTCAAAAGTCAGGAACGGTTTTGAAACAGCATGCTCGTCGGGAGTTAATGCATTGGAATAAGGAGTATTTGACCTAGTCTCTACGGCATTGTGGTTATTCTCGATCGATACTACTCGAACTTCAACACGGTGGGATGGAGAGGATTTCTTGTAGTGTCACCAACAGTATGGATATTTCGATCCGACCACAAAAGACAATCTCGATGGATTTCTTTCTAATTCCTCGCGGATTGTTCGAGTTTAGAAATCGAGCATAAATTCTAAAGAGCTAACAGATCATGTTCTATAGCTATTTAGATTACATCAGACCGTGGGAAAGTAGGCAAATGACAGTTCTTAGCAGATGCGCTTTACAAAGACTTGTATGGATAGAACGAAACCATAATACAACACCCCGTCATCCTGCGGTGTTACCAAACAATTCCGTTTTGTGAAAACATTGAAATAAATTAGGAGCGCATACTTTCTCTTCTGCATATTTGCTATACCGTGTTGCCGCACTTTGTATAAGAGAAGATGTTATGTATATTCGGGCAAGTTAGTCTCGTATTTCGCACTATTCTCTAGGAGTACTACAGCCTCAAGAAGCTTGATGTTGCCAACAGCGGTAGAAGGATTTTTAATGCTACACTATTGATCTATCTAAGAGGGTTAGGAAAGTTAGCGCCTCCCACAAAGGCAGTCTTAGAAGGCTAAAACTCCTATGTTAATGTAGAGAAGTGAAAAGTATAAGTGCGTCTACTTACAAGCAAGCAAGAAGCAGTGCAGTGTAGCAGCTGGGTAGGTTACTAAGGCGCTCACTACCGAGGAATTATTGAGTTCCAGTCTAGTACGATCTGTCGTGCTGAAATCAAGAGACTCGGAGAGTTGAGCCGCTGAAAACTTTACTTAAGCAGTATACCTCTTTAACAACTCTACTTAAATACAATAACACTTATATAATTAATAGTATAGAAAAGAATTACTCGACTTACTTAAACTATTTATAAGTTATTATAAGTTAAGTTAAGTTAAGTTAAGTAGTATAGTAGCTTAAGTTAAGTTAGGTAGTAAGTAGTACTACTTATAATTAGTTTAAGTAGTTTAAGTAGTATTAGTAAACTATCTAAAATACCTTTCTAAATAGATAGTTATTAGTCTAAAAGTATAGATTAGCTAATAATTAAGTAAACTTAGAAAATACTTATTAAATAAATTATTATAGATATTAATATTAAGTTTATAAAAGTCGATTTCTTTATCTATAGAGTATATAGTATATAACGTCTTATTTTCAGTAGAAGTAGCTCTAAGTTACTAGCTCTATAACTAGCTAAAGATTATATTTATAATACTACTTAATCTACTTAAACTATTTATAAGTTACTATAAGTTAAGTTAAGTCAAGTTTAAGTAGTAGATACTATATAAACTTAACTTAACTTATTTAATATACTAGTAATTAAGTATTTTCTATTATCTTCTAAACTTTACTATATTAAGTACTTTGTGTAAGGTAATAGTAAGATATATACCCTAGAACCTTTGAGATAATTATTCTACTTAGAGCTATTATTTGAAATTTGCAAAAAAGAATCATTTCTATATAGCATCTCAATCCCTCTATTAAGGAAATATAGATGAAAAGAATGGGCCTCGGCGGTGACTTAATGATTTCTTAGTATAACCTTTTAAATACCCAACATATACAGTCCTGGCCAAATGAATAAGCTGCAAAAGCACATTCTACACACGCCTAGGCATGGCAAAATCCCGTTTAAGCGGCAAGGCCTCTTTTTTTCTTCTCGATAAGATATCTCCAACAAAGTCTCCCGAAAAGTAACACATAGTACTACAGAGCTCATCGCACTCGCTACCATCTCAAATACACTGAAGCTGTGCGTGCAAGTCACCATGAGAGTAAAATCAAACAAACACGTCAAGCAAAGCCATCGAGTACACATTAAAGTTAGCGAATGGATTTGAGAAATTGAGTACCTATAGCAACCTTGTAAAGTAAACAGCGATGGATATAATCAATCAGTATACAAGGTAAGATCCGAATCGTCAGAAACCCATCTTGCCTAAATTAAACCCCTTCAACCCCTCAAGATAAGAGAGCAAGAGGCTGCCAGATGCGACTAGCCCGTTAATGAAGACTCGTAACTTTCGTCAAAATTCCGTCTTCTCGCACTAGACATTTCCATGATCGAAGCGTGCCGGAGATTGGACCCTCAATTGTGCTTCTACGCCACTTACAATAAGCAGGGGAATACTGGCGGGGAGAATCATAATCAACAAGAATCCACAAGAAACCACCGCGAGTAAATCAAACACAAAGCAAAAGATCACGAAACTGCCATGCCACACACAAAATGTACAATTATCATTGGTATCTCCCTACACTAACCCATAAACTCCGACTCATTCTCTAGCTACACACGAACAATAGCAACAAGACGCCCCTCGCAATGCAAATAATTTCATTCTGATCTTTCTGTACGTCCTCGCTTTCCAGCCCCATACAACAGGTGTTTCGCATCCATAAACATATCTTCAATGTCGCTGACTTGAGCGGTGGAGAAAGAGGCAAGTCCCAGTCCGCTGATCACACTCTGCATCCTGGCCTTGATTGACTGGAAAGCTGACATTGATTCTTCTGGGTTCGTCGCGATAGGAGGTTCGTTGTCGAGAGCTTGTTGACTTGTAGGCGCGCTGGAAGCCTCTGCTGCCTCATTGCTGGCTGTGCTCGGTACTTCGTTGACTGACATGATATTCTCTGAAGCCACCAATGCATTGTCTGCAATAATTGGTTCATTTATGGCATTATCCTCATTAACTGCCACATCCTCCATGGCCTGTGGTTCTGGAGACCGTGGCGCCATGGAGACGTCGGGTTGCATTCCAGGGCTCTCAGGTGCGGTGGATACTGTGGAATTGAGCACACTCGTTGTATCAGGTTGCTCATGCGTAACATCGATTTGACGGTTTTCATCCTTGACGTTGGTATGCTGGATCATGGGGGTATGCGGCGGCTCCGGACTAGCATCAATGGCAAAAGATGACACGATACTTTGGCTCCGTTCACCTTCGAAGTTGCTTTCGGGTTCCTGAGATGGTGCTTCTGCCGACCTCTTGGGCCGGCCTCTACGTTTCTTTGGCGATCTTTTCTTCAAAGTAGTACCTGAAACCGAGCCTCCATCTATTTCATCGTCTTCGCGTCTTCTCTTTTTGAATACGACAGGGCGATAAGCATATTCGAGGGATGATGTGTCGACAACGATTGTATCTCCAGCGTGAAGATCGTGACCGATGTCAAGTGGCTTTTCCGGACGACCAACAGGCTTTGGGACAGGTGTCTCTGGAACCTCGAAAGCGGTCGGTGACTGTGGTTCGTGAGGGGAGAGTGCTTCTGATTGGAGTTTCTCTGACGGTACGTCGGGCATCTTGGTTGCTGTTGCATTTTTCAAAGCTGCTTTGCGTATTGAACTACTGGGTTGTAAATTATTACCCTTAGCACGAGTGGCAGGTTTGGTGGAAGAGCTGCGTAACGAGCGGCGACGGGTTATGTTATCTTTAGCAGGTGTTTCGCTTGCAGGTAGCTCTGATGACTCGTCAAAATCTTCCATCATTCTTAATATGCTAGAATCGTTCATGCTCGCGCTATCGACATCGGACATCGTTGGAGATATGCGACTCGATTTTCGTTTGTTAACAATCAATCGCGGTGATGAAACTGCATCTTCGAATATGTCTTCATTTGCGGTATCATGATCCGATGAAGGCGGACTGGATCTTGCGTCAACGAAGAGCGGGGAGCTAGCAAGTTGTCGTACTATTTTAGAAGCCCGCGTTCTGGGTGGGGTCGATGGAGCAACTACCGATCTCTGCTTGCTAGGAGTTGGGGTGGCTTTAGGAACATCGCCGCCCGTACTTGAAGCGGGTAGTTGGTCAGTTGAAGGGAAAGCGCTTGGATCGAGGTCGGAGCGGACTTCTTCGCTTCCTTCTCGCATATGCGATGTCGTTTTAGGTGGGCTTTGAACACCTGAGATGGACGTGCCAAAAGTGGAAGTCGTAGTAGGATTCTGAAAGGCATGAGGGTCTACCTGAGCTGAAGGATAGTCCGCCGATTGCAAAACTTCCCCTCGCGGTGGTGATGAAGGCAAATCTTGTTCGTAGACAGTTTCGATCTCAATAGTTGGAAATGCGTTATTGGTGATAGGTGAGGTAGGAGAAACAGGAGGGGACGAAGGTAAGCCCAAAAGATCCACGGGCTGGGCGGATCTTTTGGGAGTTGGTGAAGACACGATGAAATTGTCATCCTCACTCGCGGGAAGCGGAACCGGTGTAAGCTGCCGCTGAGTCTCTCTTTCGACAGGGGTTTGAATTCGAGTCTTCGACAGTGAACGCCGAGATGGAAGTTCTGGTTCTGGGCTGGTTGTCGCTGTAACTGTCTTTTTACGAGGACTAGAACGCAAGTCGGGAAACATCGCAGCTTCAGCGACTTGCCGTTCTTTAACTTCAAGTTGTCTTTTGGTGAGAATCTGCGATACGCCTCCCTCGAGGACTGGGGAAGAATTATCAACAGCCTGGAACTGAACCTGAGAGTCGTCATGTCGCAACCTGGGGGTACTTTGCCTTTTTCTTGACTTCCTCCCCTTGCTACCCAAAGCGCTGTCGCGTGACCGTTTCCGGCTGGCTGAAGATTCGATCGAGATTACCACTTCAGGTGTTGTCTCGCGACATGCTCTTGTCCCGGGAGAGGAGTTGAGGGTGGGCGAGACGTGTTTCTGCGGCATACGATGCTCATTGAGTATCGAGAACATGCTGTTGGTAGGGAGAAAGCTGTCGTCCTGCGATTCGGTAAATTGTAATGGAAGTTGCCCTTCGTCGATAAGCTCTTCAGTGAGCACGCTCTCGGGGAGAAACGGGAGTTGAATGTCAGCAAGCGGGCGTAAACGAAGGAGAGCACTTTGGACCTGGCTAGGGTAATGGAAAACCTCTTCGGAAGTGCCAAAGGTGGTGTTCCACATCGTGATCGATCGGCTGGCAATTGATTTATGGGAGCTTTCAAGGCCCGCGCAGATGAGAAGCTCGAGATCGGAAAGAACCATGTTGCAACCATGGATTGCTTCAAGCGACACGAAAAAGCTACAAATGGTGTTCCAAAAGTTGGTAGTCTGAATGGAGTTAAGAGGAGATCTAGACGGGAGATGGCTGCTTACCTCTTTTCCTAAAGCATTGCTTCCTTTGACCTGACTGTCGGAATCTTGGATCCACGGTACAATTGCTGTCTGAATTTTGACTAGCATTCCCAGCAGTAACTCAGTCGGGCATGAGGAGACAAATTTGTTTAATAATTTAACCATCTCAGAGTATTCGCGGATGTAACGGGCACCGAAATCCTCAAAAGTGGCCCCCATCATCGTCTTGATATAATCATAAAAGTAGGTAAAAGGATCCCAGGATAGCCCCTTGGAGCCACTACCGGTGACGCCCCATAGTCGTCTTTTCCCTGCCTCTACGGCCTGTCGGTCCTTTGGATATTCTGCATGAGAAAGGAGTAAGCGACAATAGGACAGCCCGCTGAGAGGCGACGAGCGATGTGGTTGGGAATTTGGTAACATGAAACACCTTGCCACTGGCTCCAAGACCGCAATCGCTTTCCCAGCGACACCGGCGTCGAGGACGACCGATGTTACTAGGGCCTCGAAGAGTGTACTCCAGCCTGGCAAAGGTTCTTCTGGTGATAGAATGATCCCGAAATCTAAAACTTTTACTGCGTTTCGGTAGTCGGCACCGATGGGTTGATCAAGGCTGTCGCCGTTCCTTTGCGAAACTTTCAAATCCACAGCTTTCGTCGTAAAATCCGCCAGGACGTTCCAAAGAATCTTGGAACTAGGCGTGTCCCCAGGTGGCAAGAGTGCAATCAAATCTTTGGCAACCTCGATAGATCTACAACGGTTCAGTTCCTCCGCCAAGAAGAATGGGGAAAGGATGGTTTGAGCGAGTTGGTAGAATGTCGCATCATATTCGAGGTTGGGGGATTCATATGCTAAAAGGAGGATTAAGTGCTCAAGAGGGGTTCTAATTTCGCCTTTTAACTTGTTGGGTCGTTGTGATGGAGTGGCCACGGGAGTGAAAACGTCGTGAGTTCCAATGCAAAGCTGCCGTTGAATGAAAGGTCGTATACCGAGGGCCTCTGTCGTTGTGACAACTAATGCTTGGAAACATTTCAAGAAATTTTCACTTGAACATTCTTCAACAGGCAAAGCTGGAATATTCTTAGGACCCGTCCGCCAAATTTTGTGAAGTAACCCAAAAATTGAAGCGACCGAGGCCATCGTATCGTTATGCACAGTTACTTCCATCACAGCTGGAGCTGATATGGAGTTATTGTACGTCTTCCAAAGACTACGAACCTCAGATTCGTGACCCAAATCCCAGAACAATTTTTCTAGTATTGGGACGAGGATTGGATAGATCAAGCTAGAACTTTTTCGAATCCATTTGGGTTCCAGGGCAGGAAGCTCTCTTGGGCTCACACCATTTTGTTGGAAATTGGTCAACGCCTTTGAGGCAATCCAGGGCCGCTGAAAGGACGAATCAAAGAGGTTTTGCAATATGGAACATGCATCCAGAAGATCTCGTCGTGCATAGCTGGGGCTTTGAACGGAGTCGGCAGAGGTAAGACTTTGTCCGACTAATGGTACCACATAAGTCTCCCAGGAGAATTCCAGTTGTGCTGGTGAAGAAGATGGCTTCAATGCGTAGTAGAGTAGGTTGCAGACACTCCCCAAGACCGATTTTCTGGTGAGGGTTGATTTGCGGAGTTTGAGTTGGGAGATAAGGGGTTGAACGAGCAGTCTTATCGTAGCTTTCGAGGTGGTGTCGGTCGGATTGACCGCGAAAACGTAGCGATTCCAAGCATAATTTGCTTCAATCCTTGTGTGGTGATCACTTGAATTCAAGCACTGTTGGAGAATGGTGGTATATAGAAAACTGTGCGGCCAGTGTTCTATCTGCTTCGGCTTGCCTCGGAGAAAAAGCATAATAACACTCCATATCTGGGGGATGTGTGTGGTGTCCTCTTTGGCGGAGAATGCTGATTTGAGCTTGTCGGCGTAGAATTGGGCAAACTTCAGATCGTCATCGCCGCGCTTCTGATCAAATAACGACGAAAAGGCACGAGAGACTTTAAACTCGCTACCGAGGTTAAGAGACGCCTCGAGACCGAATAAGATAGCTAGATTGCGTAATTCCTTCAAGGTGCTCAGCATGTCGATGAACAAGTTTTCAAGCCATAGTGTGTTTGTAATCATGAAGGCACGAGACTGCCGTACAAGTGATCTGTAAATATTCAATCTTCCCATCACAATACTCTTGCCTTTGACGAGATTCTCGATGTTGTAGAGTGCAGTGATAAGCTTGCCGACTCTCTCCGCGTTCATAACCTTTGGTGGGAACTTTTGCTGTGACACAGCAAACATCAAATGCTTCACAATATCTTTCGACGTCTGAGGATCCTCGAACACCTTGATAGCGTGATCCACAACGAACACTGCGAATTCTTGGTTGAGGCTCTCTCCAATCGTAGGCAGCTGCAAGAAGGTGGACAGAAGGATGATGCTATTGATCACTAGCGGCGCATCAAATCTTCCGGATTCATTTTTCTGCTGCATGTCGCGCGATATAAACTGGAGGAGGAGGCCCATCTTATCTTTCAGCGCCTTTGGATCCGGAACATTTCCTGTAGCCTTCAGTGATCCCGCCAGCATCAAATATGCGTCCATTCTGGCACCTTTCACATTTCCCGCGAGTTGTTGAACTATGGATTCGAGCATGGTGGCAAAACTTGTGTGCTGATGGGGTGGGAGGAGTTTCGTTCCAATATTCTGATCTCGCTCCATCAGCCCATGGTTGACTTTCAGTATCGATTTCGAGGATTTTCGTTCAGCAGAGGGAGGCAATGGCAAGAGACGCAGTCGACCCTGCTCAGCACTAGGGCTGTCACTGTACTGTGTTGAATCTGACCATCCAACCTTCTTCCGTGTCGACAAACTTGGTGATGCAATGGGCGATTCCGCAGACGACTCAGGGGTTATGTTCGACGCAAGCGCTGGTTTGGGTGATCCACCAAAGATTCTTTCTATGAGACCAGGTCTCTTCTCGTTACGATTCGATTCGCGAGGCGGCGTGGGAGGTCTGGCTGTGAGAGTAGGAATTGATGTCCTGAATATGGATGGCTCTCCCATGGCTGCGAGGACGCTTTGTGACTCGACACTGCCTTTTTGATGTCAGTAATGGTCTGAAAAGAGCGCGTCTGAACATGGAACCGAAAGAAGTATTTCGAGATGGTACCCAGGGTGTGGCAGAGGTTGGTACTCGACATGCGGTTCTGACGGCTCCACGATGGGTTGGAAGCCTGGAAGGGGGAAAGTTCTCACATCGTCAGCTGAGATTGTCGATTCTTACGCAAACATCGTCGAGTTGAACTATGGTAGGATCTGATACTGTGAACAGGGTAGATTGGTGTGAGTGTTTTCGGGACATAATCTCTATACTCCTGGAGACGAGTAACCTGACGACGCTCCACAAAGCATTGGTGTTCTTGATTATTGGGCAGAAAAACGCCGGACGCGACAGTTCCATCGCGCGGCGCGTTGATTGACGCGAAGGCGGTGTATAACACGTGATCATGTTAAAGTGCTTTTCTCGCAAGACCTCTGGACCCTAGAGCAACCATACTGTCGGCCGTGTTATTTCATTTGATAGCATTCCCTTCGTACGTGATTGCCATACAAACACACCAAGTATCCAATCTCCAATTTTCTTGGTCAAAATGACTTTTCCCCCGCGTTGCGGAGATGATTCTGGGGTAAGAAGCAGCTTAGGCAGAGTGTACGGTAAGTTCAGCTGAGGAATTCTTCATGCTATCCTTCCATTTGTACTATTGACATCTCTGTTTATAATTACCTGCCTACCTAGGTAGGTAGGTATGTAACCATCCGACTGCACTTATGAAGCTTCATTTCTGATACCCAGGCGGTAAGCGAGCAGCTCAGGGGTCGGCAGAAATACCCCGCGATGCTAAGCAGAAGTCCAGCTCTGTATTTATTCCCGTCATCACCAAACACCACAAACCAACAACGGGCCACCGCCTTTCAAACGCCACACCAAGAGCCGGCCGACGTCATTCATATCCTGTTTCGCATGTATTTCTGACAGCTGGCTGCAGTGATTTTGAAGCATCTGCGGTATTGCGCAATTGATATATTGGGGTCTGGGAGCAGGACATCGAGCGCAGTGGGATAAGAACAGCTGAATAGTTCAGAGGAGTGGCTCGAAGAAGGCGGCAACGTCAGGAAGGCTATATCGGCGACCTCGAACTTTTGCAGCGTAGTATCGAACTCACAGCAGTATATCCTCAACCCAGCTGCAGTTCTTCCTACTCTGCGGAGGTATTCCATGAATGAGACTCTTCAGCAGAAAGAATTCCGCCGCATCCTCTACCATGTCGGTCTCAACACCAAGGACGTCATCTTCGACTGCCGAATTGACAGGCACTGGTACAAATCCCACACAAAATTGCGAGTATGAAGCTGATGATTTACAGCGAAGCTTGAGGACCTGACAAAGATCATGGCAAATCTCAAACAAGATCTCACGGATATCCACCTCCTTCCACATCGTACGCAGCCCTTTCCTTCGAACTAGACGGACACCGGGTCTAATATTGTCCATAGAGAGGGATGCTTTTCTGGAGCAAGTGAAGGTTTATGGGAGGGACCCTACCAACGCGGATCCAATCTTCACAAAAGAGGTAGGCCACAATTGAACCAAGCATTGCGTGCTTGCACATTTGCATTCTCGAGTTGCACATTTGGCTAATCTTGGAACGCGAAGGGTCTAGAAACTTTGGCTCGACATGCCTTCAATAGCGCATCTCAAAATACGGCCCTTAATGCCTCACGATGCCTGGCAAATGCGATGCTGTTACGGCCCGAGACTAGACAGATGATTGTCGATCAGGGTTATATTCCGAAAGCTTGTACGAAATTGAAAATCGACAACAGAGATAACGAGTTCGTGGTCTCGAGAATTATATTCCTCGCCACATATGCGCCAGAGCTCGACATTGCGAGGTTAATAGACGATGAGAAGTTGGCGGACAACATGTGTCTGAACATGAATCGGCATGCAAAAAGATACTCGGCTTTGAAATCAGGCAAGCCACAGGATCCGATGGCTGACATGGCTTTGACCGAAACGCTTAAACTACTCTTCAACATCACAAGCAAATGTCCCGAGAAAGTCGACAAGTTCTCTCCGGCTCTGCACCATGTCTTGACGGTTCTAAGCAAAATGCCCATATCATCTTCTGCACCTCTTGAAAATCTAGTGGCGACGGTTCTAAATGCACTGGTCAACTTGGATTTTGACGGGAAGAATACCACGATAGTCTTCCCGAAGAGTAACCCCGCGATTTACACTGATTGCTTTATTGAGATTCTAGACAAGGCGACCAACGCATACAAGGACGATGAATTGGAGTCACTTGTCTCTCCTTTGATTGTGGTGTTACAGAAGACGTACGAGGTCGCTCCAGTTGAGATCAAGTCACAATTCAGAAAGTCGATGTTGCCGTCGACGACAGATAGGGAACAGCCGCTGGGTAGAGGCCAAACACTTCCATCGAGACTATTGAGCTTGTCGACAAATCCCGCCACTCCTACGCTGCGAACTACGGTATCGGCATTGCTGTTTGAGATGAGTGACAGAGATGCAAAAAAGTTCGTTCAGAATGTTGGTTACGGTTTCGCTTCGGGTTTCCTCTTCCAACATGGCGTTACGGTTCCCGAGAATGCGTTGGAAGCGTGGAGTAATGAAGACGATACGCCGTCGGCGGTGGCGACCACCGAAAGACCAATTAATCCAGTCACGGGACAGTTCTTGGACAGGGAGGAACACGTCGAGATTGATATGACTGACGAAGAAAAGGAACGCGAGGCGGAAAGGCTATTTGTTCTTTTTGAGAGGTCAGTACCGTAGCACTGTTTTCCAGAACGAGATGCATGTATACTAACAAAAGCAACAGGCTGAGGGCTACTGGGGTTGTCGATGTTCAAAATCCAGTCACCCAGGCTCGTCAAGAGGGACGCTTTGAGGAGTTGCCTGATGATTCGGATTAAAAGTATGAACATGTGCTGTCGGCTTTGTTGTTTTCATATATACCCAGGTAGGAGAGATTTGCACAAATCATGTCAGTGCTTTTACATGCTTGAGAGCACTGGTGCACGGAGTTGTCAAATAAAAGTTCGTATATGTAAACATGCAATACCAATTCCTTTTCGATTAAGACTTTGTACTTGTACATAATTTTCGGTTATTGATTCTACTGGATGCATGATGGCTTTATTTCTTGGACTAGATGCATCGGATGTAATGTTTCCATGATCTAAAACCCGTGGTTCACTCCAATGCGGGCAGCTGCCTTAGCATTTTGTTTGACCAACAGCATTATGATGAAATTCTACATGCTTTGAAGTCATATAGCAGTGGCTTTGTATCACCTACAAAGACACACCTTCACAAAACATCAGACCAGAACTTAGAGATTCGAATTCATTCCCCATCCGAAAATGCGATCCCCGATACGAATTCCTCGTGGGTAACAGATTAACTCACTCTCACAGGACAGCTCTTAACGATTTTCTGTCGAATTTCTAAAAGCAACATATCTCTCTTTCACTGCATGCAGTACTTATATATTAAACATAATGCGGCAGTCGCTTAGGCGTAACGTAATTGTGAAATATGTGTGAAGCGAGGTGAGTTGCACGGTAACCTCGTAAAATCGCCCAACATTTTACGAACACATCTGATCAAACCCAATCCCACTATTTCATAAAATATTCGGAAGGAAGTATCAACGCCTCCAGATCGAGTTCTTCTAGATCGAGATGTTTGGCATTTCCAGAAAGAACAATAAAATTCCCGCAGAAGTCAAGCTTTTTCTCGGGGGACTCAGCGGGCAGTCAGAGGAGCGTTTTTGGGAATTCACAGTCTACACAACATACTCTGCCACCGCATCAACAACTGATCACGAACCACTGACTGGCGATGCACTCGATACAGCCGTAAACTCGCGCTTTCAATCATACATTCAAGCATACCTACGCTTCAACATCGAAGAGCCATTCGATCTCAAAATTCCCCTCAAAATCGAGTTCATCCGACTCCCTAGGGCAACTCTTGATGGAGCACGAATGCACTTTCGGGATAGTACCGGTTGGCCAGTTACCTCTGAGCTCCGAGAACAAAGATGGGACGAAGGACATAATAGCATGCGCTACAACTATCTCATCATCCTCGACGACGAAACATTAACCACATTACTGAATGCGCCACCAGCCATCACCACGCTCCCGAATACCGAAGACTACTTCCAAACAACCAAACAAGAAGACAACATCGTGATTAAAATCGTGGATGTCCATTACGACGAATCATGTGATGGAGAAGTTCTCGCTATCAGTTGTCGGAATTTCACGAAGGGCAGTTCGGATTGCGTTACGTGTTATGGGTATATCAAGACGACGCCGATTTGGTTGCAGTCGCTCTGGGTCTCGTTGAGTGATATGGGGTTTAAACATGTTTTTAAGCATAAGGATGTTGTTTATAGGGGTGGTGATTTTTGATGCTTGTTGGGATGACTTGAAATCACAGTTAGTTGAGAGCAACAATGGTATGTTTAGGATGTTTAAGGAGGGAGTTCCGCTCGGTAGTCCTCTCGCTCATAAGGTAATGCTTGAAGATCTTTATGGCTAGGATAGTGATCACCTGTGTTTGTTGGAAACTCGAGAGCTTTGACTGAGGAAGTGTATGGCCTGATGGAAGACTACTCCTAAAAGTTAAGTGGCAATGCTTCTCTCGAACGGTAACTTGAGATTAGAAGAAGTCTATAAACATACAACAACGAAATAGAGAGGTTTTGCAACTTATGGGATTATGATTGTATGATTACGAGTTATATAATTGTTATTATTTTCAAAATAAGAGGTTTTACAGCTTTTGGGACTCGGTTCGTAATTTAGTGCGTAAGAGACTGTTTCGACCCGAATAACTTCCTAATTAGGACGATTAGATTTAATCCTAAATAAATCCCATAGGACTATATAGTCCTAAACGCGATTTTGGGATTATAAAGTTCTATCGGAGCTCCGAAAGAGAGAAAGTATAAATTACATAAAACTATAGCGCTAAACCATAATAGGAAGTTAAACGGTAATCCCAAAATCTGCAAAACCTCTCTAATGGAAACGATTTTGACTTCCAGTTCTCACGTGCGCAAAAGGATCTGTTGAAGCTCTGCCAGCATTATCCTCGCAGATAACATTACCAACACAACCACGCTCCGGCCTGGATCCGTGCCCCAATCGTTACGGCACAGTGCTCGGTACTGTCTCCGCTAAGCATCCTGACCACCGAACCACAACATAGATTGGCCTACGAAAACAAGGCCCAGATATTTCCGAGTTTCCATAGATTGAAATGTCCCAAAACGTAAAAAACGACCCAGTCAACTGTCATGTTTGACATAAGCCAACCGAGCCAACATCTATCACGGTGGGTATGGCCGGCGAGCAATACAAGCGTCAGGAAAAGGGTTTATAACCTCGGGGGATTCCCACTCGTTTGGTTTTCGCTCTTGGATAATTTTACATCGTAAAGCTATGGCGTACTCCATCTTTGGACTGCTCCTGGTCCCTCCTATCACATTTGCATTATGGAATCTCCAATGTTTATGGCGCAACTATCGTCTTGCCCAGAAGATGAACATCCCTATTGTCATTTTGCCAGCGGCCGGAGACAATCCTGTTTGGATTCTGACATGTAAATATATTATCGCCGTTCTGCGTTTTATATTCGGAGAAATCGATATGGTCAAATATTCGTATCCGGGGTGGGGAAGCGTTGTCAAACACCGAATGCATGAGGAGTTGGGTGATGTTGTTGTTCATGTTACTCCGGCGTATAATTGGTTATACATCTGCGAGGCCGAGGCGATCAACGAGGTATTCAAAAGAAGCAAAGATTTCGACCGACCTCCGAATCTATTAGGTGGGTAAGCCCTTGATGTTTTCAATAGATTGAGAGGTGTTCATTGACGTGGAACTAGCTATACTGGATGTTTTCGGTCCCAATATCTCGACCGTAAGTCTGACATCACGTCAAATCTTCTTGACTGCGAACTCACCAATGGCAGGCCATAGGGGCTGATTGGCAGCGGCAACGTAAAGTCACATCAGCACCATTTTCCGATTCCAATAATGCTCTGGTCTGGACGGAATCTGTGAGCCAAGCCAAGCAAATGATTGATTACTGGGTTTCCTTTACCAAGCCAGTGCGAACGACCGACGAGGATACACGGACGCTTTCGCTCCATGTTCTTTCGGGCGCGGGGTTTGGAAAGCAATACTCGTTCAGTAGTAGTGCTGAAAAGCCGAAAGAAGGTCACAGGTTCAATTATCGTGATTCTATCGCCCTCGTGTTAGAGAACTGCGTTCTGATCTTCATTCTTGGTACAAAATTACTTGCGAAGCTAGCGGGCTGGCCCATATTTGGCCGATTGTCCAATGTTGGACAGGCTACGATTGATTTCAAAGACCACATGACGACAATGCTTGCCGAAGAGAAAGTAGCCATTGCAGAAGGAAAACCGCGTGCAGCAACAATCACTAATTCTTTGATTCGTGCAAGTGAGCAAAATGGATCTACCAAAGACGAAGGATTCAAAGGGTTGACGGAAGATGAGATTTACGGCAACATATTCGTCTATAACTTCGCTGGACATGACACAACTGCTACAGTGTTTAATTGGGCATTCTATCTTCTAGCTGCTTACCCAGAAGTCCAAGATTGGATGTTTGAGGAGATTGAGGCTGTTTGTGGTAATGGAGATTTGGCAACGATAGAGTTCAAAGATATTTACTCTAAACTTCCTAGATGTTTGGCAGTAATGGTGAGCTATTAGTATCTGAACGAGCAGCGCAAGACTGACATACTGGTTAGTACGAGACCCTCCGACTGTGGAATCCATTACAAGGAATCTGCAAATCAACATTTCTCGAACCACAGCAGCTGACGATTGGAAATCAAACCATCACGATTCCCCCCGACACGCGAATCATTCCAAACGTCAACGCAATCCACAGTTTACCGCGATACTGGGGAAAAGACAGTTTGGAGTGGAAACCCTCGCGATGGACTGTCAATTTAAACCCTGAGCCTACCAAAGAAGGACATACCAAACCCGTCGAAGGATTCTTCGCTCCCACCAGAGGTTCATATCTCGCCTGGTCAGACGGTCTACGTCCATGTCCTGGGAGAAAATTTAGCCAAGTGGAGTTTGTCGCAACGATGGTTGGAGTATTCCAGCACCATAGAGTCGAAGTTGCCCCTGAGAAGGGGGAGACGTTGTTTGATGCTAGAGAGCGTGTTAAGAGAGTTACGGAGGATAAGATGGTTGTTATTTTGCAGCAGATGAGAGATCCTAAGAGTGTTGGATTGAGATGGGAAGCCAGATAAGGCTCAGGATGTATCGTGATAGCGTTAATCGAGCGAGAATTGATTCTCGTAGAAATTACCAGAACATCCGCGAAATCTAGATTCTTGTGCTTTTACTAGTCTCGATTTCATCTCCTTCGAATACGAAATGTGATGTATAGTTATATTTCACGTACACGTACTTGTTGGGTGGTACAGCCAACAGCACCGTAAAACGATTTCAGAAAGTATACCTTTTTTTTCATATATATATGAAGCCAGTTCTGCGGACTTCTTCGAATCGACTTTTTTTCAATACTCCGCGCAGCCAATCCCCGAATTGAGTCTGCCGGTTTTCGATGTGTTCCCCCTTTTCTTGTTTTCAAGAAAGTATTAGTTTAAGATTGAAACTACTTTGGCTCAATTCGGTACATCTCGCTTAAGATTGCTGAGTCGAAACGAAAAAAGTTGCAATTGGCACAACAACTCGTTTTATTTCAACTATCACTCTACATCCCTTAGCGTTGAGGTCGTGGGATTTGGTTATCACTACAAATGAAACTCCTGACCTTGAATAGCGTCGTTTTGAAATTTGATGGTAGAATCACCAAGGTTGGTAATATTAAAGACAATTGTCTTGAAGCTTGACAATACAGAGTTCTTGCGGATCGTTACGAACTGCGTACGTGGAATTTTGGCAGAGTGTAGGATATTTCAAGAAGTGGCACGACACCTCTTTCTAATAAAGTTCGTCAAAGTCCTCTGACTTAAAGCGCAGGATTATATTCTTGTACACATTATACACGTAACTGCCGTTTTTCGAGATGGTGGGATTATTTCTAAGCCCAGAACGATTGGCGCTTCTTGAGTTTCAACTTCTTTAAATATGAACTGAAAAACGCGTATTGAATTTTGTAAAGTTACAGGGTGGGTAAAATAGTGTGAATGAAGTTACACACTCTTTACTGCATTATGTTATAGAAAAGTCATGTACATTGTTCCAGCCATCTAAAGATTTTGCAGCCATCTGCACGGGAGGCCTTGGCAGCAACTCTTGTAGCTTTTTATTGACCAACAAACTCGTTTTCTTTAAGCCTCTAAGCCACTCTCTGCATCATGCGCACGGAGCTGACCCAAGAAGAGCGGCAAAGAACTGAAAACAGAGAAAGGAAGCTTAGGGCTCATGCAGATGAACTGAGATGCTTTTGGCCCAGGCACTCGCATTAATACTTAATATCACCTGCTTGTATAAGTTACAGCTCTCCTGTCGTGCCGCCCATCCGTGAGCTTTTCGAGCCATTTTACTCGGCGCAGAACTGTTTTATCGTGCAAACACTCGCCAGGTCAGAGCCTTCCTATTACGCAGTAACATCCAGTTGTATAACGATGCGCCCGCTCAACTTCAGCATCTGGTCGTCATTAGCTTGCCTTAGTACATCTACGCTGAGGCAAGGTGTTCTAGATCCAAAGTTAGCTCAGATTACACCCCCTCCGCGACTCGCAGAAAGAGCAGAAGGTATTGAAAGTGCTTCGGTACCTAGCAGCGTCTGCGGCTATCTCAGTGGAGAGTACAGTCAGTCAGGAAACTTGATAAATCTTAGGAAAACACTAACTTGAACGAAGAATCTCCAATTGCTTGTCCTTCTGGATTGTCATGCTCGCGATATGGAGGATATCCTGGTCAATTCAATTGCTGCAATTCAGATAAATGCTATAATGACTATACCCAGTGTATCGGAAGTCGCGCTACTGGTTCCTTTTCAAGTTGCTTTGGGTCTAACACCCGGTGTCTCGATTGGTTTGTATATTTCGGCACATTTGTAGGATATCCTGGGTCACTGACTTCACCCACTAGTACCGGGATCAGTAGTGAGTGTGTTTGGTATACACTGAGTTTTGGATACGGTGTAGACGCCTTCGCTCGATCTGTGGGTTGCGGTACGACTGCGACAAGCTTTACAGTTCAACCTACTGCCAAGAATGCTCCAGCAACAACAGTCAACTGCGTCCCTTCTGGCTTTGTCGTTGCTCATTCGACCGAACCATGCGCAACTCAGGCCGTACTCCTAATTCCATTGATTGTCTCCAACGTGGTTGTTGTAGCCGTGAATGTCGTATTGAGTCGTTTGAAATTCCAGAACAAAGTCAAGTTCTGGGGCGAGCCTTCGACCGTAGATGACAAGTGGGCACCTTGGTCCGGTTTGACAACCGTTCCTCTTGTTGTTGTCCAAGCTGTCGCATCTGCAGCTTTAATCCGCGCTGGAGGGTATCTCGCATCCTGGGTGGATTTGATTCTTCTCTGGCTTCTCCGTCCGAGAACGCTTTGGTTCATCATGTTTTTGTACGGTGCTTTGGGCAACGAATACCAGCGGAGCGCCACAGACTATCTGTTTGCCGATGGCATTTTGACTTTGCTGGGCATACACCAGTGTTCCGCAAAAGGTAAGGTATACCAAGGTACCTACCTGACTCAATTATTTTTGGTACCTACCTAGGGCTTAAAAAATTGGTAAGGTACCCTACCCGAGTATGCCTAGCTAGGTATCGGGTTATCTTAATTTTATAATATATAGTAGTTATAAGGTTATATTATAGTACGGCTCGCTATCGAGCTATAATAGTACGAACTTCGGCCGCCGGAATATAAGGGACTCCCGAGCCGAAATACCGGGATTGTGATCGGACCCTTTGTTTATCTTCGGCGCCGATGCGGTCCGATAAGAATAAGGTATCGGGTAAGGTACCCCGGGTACCCGACTTTTTTTCGGATACCAAACCAGTCTACCTTATAAAAGGTAAGGTACCAACCTTTTATTGCTCTAGGTATATACCTTGGTTACCAAATGCGGAACACTGGCATACACATAGCTGCATGGCTGTTGGAGGCAGCTCATAGTAGTTATGCATGTGCTAATGAAGGCGGAAACACTTTCAATGATTATGTGCTAGATTTTGGTAAGATCTTACATTTGGAGACTCCGGCAATGCAATGGGGGGTCTCAAAGTCGCCTTGCACATGTGTCTTGCCTTCTCTGGGGTGGATTTGTTCATTTTTGCAGCCTTTTGTGTGAAAAGGAGGCTCAGTCGAGGGTGTGCAATTGGCGCTGGCGTTTGGTCTATGGTGATCTTTGGAATATCGTGGTACTTTTGGATTGGTACGTACTATTACGTCTTGATAAGAACGTCTAACAAGAGACTTACAATTACAGCTTGGACATCATTTGCTGAAACCGATTTTTGTGTGTCAAATATTGGCGCACTAGCCGCAATCCATGCAGCGGTACCACTCTTGAATGGACTATTCAGAGCTTGGTCGACTTGAGCATTTAAGAGATTGGCACCTACTACTCGATCCTCCGACAAAACTTGGACTCCAGTCCCAACGCTCGATGCTGCCTAGATACATACCAGTATGAGCAGAGTCTTACAGGCTATAGACTGACTTTCCACGGGAAGTGCACTCGCAATTTGTGAGATCTCAGGACTCTTTTATGTCTTTGGAAAATGAACTTTTGTTTTGGAAAGCTGATTCGGTTTAGATATCGTGAATACAAGGAGTTCTTGGAGAGCTTATATACGTACTACAAAGTAATTTCACAGGCTAATCGCCAAAAATAGCTACCGACTTCCCTCCCGTGTCAAAGGCCTTGGCCTCAGTGATACGTAAACCCCTGACTTCCCCCAGCCACTGCGTGATCCACCAGAAAATTGAAAAGGAAGACTGTCGCACAAACGCCGCTGTGTGCAGTAAGCCGATTTTCCACGCCATCCATGTTTTGCTGTGGGTCACAGAGCCTCAGGTGAACCTTTATCACCTCTTACGTAGCAAAATGAGCACAAACAGATGTGCTTCACTGGCTGTTCAGCTAGCTGGTTATGTAAATTGGTGACAGGACCATGGCATCACCGACGATAGCTCTGGCAGACAACAATTGTGAATAGTTCCCAGGCAATGCCGATTATCAAAACAGTTCGTAATGGTGACAGACTATAAAGGAGTTCGTCTTAAGAGGGAAATCACATTGATTGCTCAAGTTTCTAGAAAACAGATCTCAAACGACGACCCTATCACTATAGCCCATCCAATATTCAAGATTGAAGAAACGTCAAAGCAAATGAGAATGAAAAAGTCAGTGAACTGGCCGGTAAGCCCAAGACTGCCCCCCATCGAGACGGAAGAAAGGAGAAGCCGTTTATCATATAACGTGATAAACGGGTGACGAGTTTTTAATAAGATCTCTCCTTCCGCCAGGCTCCTCCTAGATCAACCTTATTGAAGCTCACGACAAGTCACTCAGAGCTGCTATACTCTATTTAGAAGTTTTCTTATCCAAGCTTTGCTTGTCATTGTAAGGCGGAGGGGCATCTTCGGTCTCGACTTCGCGATTCTGCTCTGATAGTACCAGTTTTGCCTTAAGGTCTGCCTTCAAAGTTTTTACGTGGCCCAACTTTTCATCGTCGCTCCACCCCGGGTTAGTCCAAATTGCATATTCCTTATTTAGATCTTTTTGCTCTTGTTCGTACTTAGGAATACTTCCCTCTTCTCCAAGTTTGCGTGCGTTGTTGATGTCGTTCCTCAATTGGGCCACTTGATCTTTGACTTTATATCTTCTGTTGCGCACATCCTCATGCGCTGAATCTATACAACCGTTAGTGACATAGAGCTAGATCATTGTGGGTTGCGTACCCAGGTCAAGGTCTATGAGTCGCGTGAATGTGATTATATCAAGCATCAAGTTCGGCACATCCAGGATCCTGTCTTTTTGGATGGACCAAGCACCAATAATAAGATCGTAATGCTCGTTGGGAGAGATGAGAAAACGTGTATCGCGAAACACGCGAGTACTCTTCTTGTGGTACCAGGTTAAGTTTATTGCACCTTGGGGAATGAGCCGATGTCCAGTTACGCTAGTGGCCCCGGCTTCCTCTTCTTTGGTCAAGGGAGCGATGGCGGACTCTGGATACCCAAGCATTTCGATGAATTTTCGTGAGACGATGTTGCCTTGCATGTTGCCAGTATCGATGGTGCATTTTGCTTGCACTGCGATTTGGTGCTTGTCCTTGTCCTGGCGAGTTGAAAGTACATAGACGGGGATAGTCCATGGCGACGAGTCACCATTGGGCTACGTAAGATTTTGATCAGCCGCTATTGAAGTCATGAGCAGTGTGGCACAAATCACCTCTTCCTGGATCTGCAAAGACCGCTTCTTCGTCGGAAGGCCAACCGAGAAGATTCCCCAAAAGCGATCAATCAAAGTGTGCTTGTGGTCTCCGTCGAGTACATCCTGGCGGGAATCTTTGGACGACGCGGGGAAAGGGGTGGCCATCGTGCCAGAAATGTTGGAGGAAACGAAACAATTCTGCACTGCTGGTTTTTTAGAGATCACATAAGAGTGACGGAACTTGGGGGCCTACCCTTTGGTGCTGCTGAATCATGCATGCTGTTGGAAGTTCTCAGTAGTGTCTAAGGTTTCTTTCAGAAGTGGGTGATGGATTGCACTTGGGTTGGATTGCCACTGCCTGTTTATACTCGGGTTAGACTAGGTGCTGGACCAGAAGGAAGCGCCTCTTCGCTTCCTGCTTCCACATTCGAGGTTACACGGAGAGAAAATGGCTCCAGTGACGTGCTTGACACTGCTTGTACAACCCCTTTCCCGCAGTCACGCCCCCTCTCTTCGCCCGAGTAGGCACATTGCTGTCCCTTTTTGTCATTGTCTTCTCCGGCGTCGTTGAAACAACGGAGAGGCCGTTAGTGATGGCAGCCAATTTTCGCGATGTGGTGACCAGAAGGTAGTAGATAGGGGCGCTAGCTGAACCGCCAGTACGTGAGATGGGTCAGCACGTTGAAGCCACGGCGTCCAACCAAAACCATGAGCAACGCGCCGACGAGGCTCTTCACGGTCTGCGGCGAAACATGATCAGCCCAGAGATCCAAAGGCCCTCCCGCACAGCAGTGGTGTGCCAATATTCGAGTTTGCAATCCAGGGTTTCCTGGTTGAGGCTGAAGGAACTGCCGCAGCCCACCTGTTTCGAAACCGACCTTGAGGATTCGTCAACGGTCGGCGAACTCGGCGTATCCCTCTGGTTATTATTGCCACGCTCAAGTGGGAATATAAGATAGAGCTATGCAATATCCTTTGAGTTAGCCGTTGCATGTTAAAATTACGGATGGGACGCACGTCGACAACGAGCCCTCGGGTTTGAACAACACTGGGAAGCGAGAGAACCACGGCCATTGGCCCTCATACTTCGTTTCCAGAATCTAGGCCAGCGCCTTGGGGACAATGGTGCTGGATGGAAAACACCATGAAAGCAAAAGTTTTGATGGAGCGTTTGACGCTCGAACAAGCGCTTCTGCGTTCTATTTGAATCGTGAATCAGTCTGAGTTCATCTGTTCCGAGCCTTTCATATATGTCTGTTCAGAGCTGACAAGGCCACAGTCCTACAGGTCTTCGCGAGGCATCGAATGGGGCTGCGTTTTGGAGCCTCGCGCTTTAGATAATGTCGTCTGCATTACTCCTGTGGTCATTCACGAAACGCAGCACATAACCTTGCAAAACCCTTCGAGCGGTGCCAGCGCATCGCCATTGATACTTGAGATGTGCTCCATTCGTAGCCAAAGATGCAGCAATTCTCGGAGCCTGCCTGGACCTCTTCTTTCCAGCCTATCTTATTGATCTCTAACCCACCATCGTGCGAGCCCGGTCACTTGATGGTTCTTCCGTTTGTAACTTTCTATCTCATGTGAGCGACGGAGTGGCAGCACAGCATGAAGAGCAAATGCACTTCAAAAGTAGGGTGCCATTTCTTGCTCGCATAAGCAGTAAAATGTACCACAACCGGATGGTCCATTGGCCTATGCAATATCAGCAGGCCGAAGAGTCGTACGATATCTGGAACTTCAGATATACACAAACCATGTGAACGATGACAGTAGCACTTACTTGATCGACTAACACAATCACGGTATCTGGCCCAAGAACGGCTTTAATTTGAGACGAAACAATGTGTTTTTACCTCAGCTATCCCCTCTTTTTGGGCAGTACAAAAATTTAAGATCTGAGATGGCCATGATCGGCTGCATACTGTTGACGAATTAAAAACATGGTCTCGGAAAAGACAAGGAGAAACGCTCTTACTTGCATACAACCCTATATTGCAGCATGCAATTAATATCTCAGCGACTGATTTAGTGTTATTGCCTACCTATACACTAACCGACTTGATGTGGAAGGCTTAGATTGCGACATTTCGGAGAGTCAAAATATGCTGCGCGGTCTGATAAAACTCCCAACCCAAGTCCGAAAATTGGTCTCTCAACAACAGATATACTATCTCTTAGGATTTCTTCCGAATGTAAATCCCTAAACTCGATTGATGTTTCTCTTTCCTAAGCGCTCGAGACGAATAACATGGCTCAATTCGAACTACAAAATTCACGCCATCCACCTAGTTATCCACGATCGTGTCATCATTGCGGGCACATCGTTCGTCAGAGAAACCCCGAAAGTGATCCTTTACCTGGATGGCCGATGGTCGCAAAGGTCATCGTAGACCATCCTGGGCTCGAGGCGTTTGAACCTTTCAGAGATTTGAATGTCAAGAGCTTGCTCTACTACCAGGCTGAGCTCGATATGCTAAGAAAACAACTCCGAAAGATGGAATTGAAAGACAACCAAAACCCTCCTGTCTCTAATGGTGGTCCTCTGGACTGTGCGGCAAGTGTGGCAGACTTGTTGGACACCAAGTGTCTACCTGAGGGCAGCCGGGCTCAACTTGACTTGATTACAGAAATACGGAACGTCTTGAATAAATACAGTGCGTTGTCTAGTAAGTTTTGTACGAGTTCAAACATCACTAAGCTGCCTCCGCAGACAAGGCTCTTATACAGTACTCTCAAATTACTGCATTCCAAAAAGCTGATCCTTTTAACGTCGAAACTCTCCGGAGTTGGATAAGAGACGAACAATGTGGGGATATGTCTATTGTAGGGCCTGGCTCAAAAACTTGGGGCTCTTTTGATTCTGAACGTGACTTGGTGGCCACCCAGAAGCCAGCGATTCAATGGCAATTTTTACGACTTTTATGGCGTCTTGTCTGGCCGAAAAAACTCGATGACGGACAAAATACCCTCATAGTTCCTCGCCCAATTCAGAAAGTGGACGGTCTTACTCGCTGGGTGGCTAATGAATGGGTACCTTTCTGTGAAGAGCTCCGCCGGGCCAGACGCAAGCTTCGTGACACAGATTTCTGGCGCACACTTTGCCAATGGTGGAAGGCAACTAAGGAAAAGTTACATATTGACGGTGAAGTGTCGGAGGAGCAACAGAATACTCCTTGTTCGTGCCACGTTCCGAAACTCAACACGTTCTCCGAACGTCGAATGCTAGTATTCACCTCGTCGGTCGCGACTGCTGTAGCTTGCGCCCTTCCAATAGCCGCCATATCAGTGCTTTCGACACTCCATTCGAATGCGAAAACGCTCGGGATTATTGCTCTCTTTACTGTGGCCTTTGCGGGCGGTCTGATGTACTTGGTTGGAGGATCTTCGAGGGTGGAAATATTTACTGCCACTGCTGCGTGAGTGCTTCTTTCTTGACACAGACTACGGACGAAACCAGGCGTTAATGATTGTAGGTTCTCTGCTGTTATGGTAGTGTTCGTACAAAATCAGAATGGTAACCCGGTAAGCGTAGGGTAATGGTACCAGCGTTATTTGATGTTAATTTCGCGATATTTCCACCAAGACATAAGGTTGGATAGCAGAGCCTACGTCAACATAATTATATCGGTAACCGTGTACGGTGTTCCTATACTCCGCAGCAGAAATTGTTATTCAATGCTCCACTAATTCAAACCTTTAGTTCAAGCGCCTGATCAATTATCTTGCCAGCAAGAATACTAATGCTAATACTCGGATTATGTAAATCAAACATACTAATATTAATTTAAAATGCTTGAGGAAACTATTTCCGTAACTCGGCCGCAATCAAGCTATCTACACTATAATCCGCAGTAGACTTACTCGAAGAAATACTTATATCTAGTAAACTTAGTACTCTCTTAGAGTACTAAGTGTTTTTGTTAGCAGAGTACTAAGTTATCTTTAAACTACTTAGTACCCTCGATTTCTACTATAGGACTCTATACTAATAATTTTATATAAGATACTATAGCTAAAGAGCTATATATAGAACTAAAAATTACCTAATTCGGTTAAGTATAGCTTAAGTTATAAGGGTTTTAAGTTAGAGCTCGGCCGGAGCCTATAACTCTAGGTATTACGAGTAGCGTCGGCCTTAGCGTCGTAATACTCCTAGAACTAAAGGTCCTAGGATTAGATAAGGTTATAGAAATTAAGTAGTTCTTAGAACTATTATCTAGTAGTTTAATTTAGTTAGTATTAGCTAGATTTAGATTAGCGAATAGACCTCGGTTTTAGGCGGTATTACGTAATAATTAGAAGTTTAATAAGTTTACTTAGTTTACTATTAAACTTATTAAACTCGTTAAACTTAATAAACTTAAGTAGAATAAAAAGTTCTATATAATAATTATAATTTTCTTAGATAGAAGCTTTATACTTAACTTACTATAGTAATAGTATATTATCTATTTAACTTACTCTTATTATAATAAATATACCTTTAAGTATATAATCTAATAATCTTATATATACTTACTTATATACTAACTTAATAAAACCTCTATCTATAGTATATATAATACTTAAATTATTATACTTTAAGTACTTATTCTAAGTATATCTTAATTATTAATAATAGCTTTATCTAGTAAGAAAACTATCTTACTACTTAATATTAGTCTAACTACTAGTTATATTAACTTTACTTTTACTACTAATCTAACTTAGAGAAGTAGTAAGAAAGCCGATAATATTAGTATACTAAATAATAATAAAAGAAATATTATAGTTAAAAATATAGTACTACTTAAAGTAGTACTATCTAAATAATATATAAAAGAATACTTAAAATTAGAGATATTCTTTATTTAGACTAAACTTTACTTTACTTTTAATAAAGACTAGTTTAGTAAAGAAAAGTATAAGGTTCTATAGGCCTTATCTTATCTTAAAGATACTACTTATCTTTAGATCTAACTTTTTAATTAAAGACTACTTTAAATATAATAATAAGCCTACTAGTATAATAGTAATAACTTAAAAGATCTTTAGAGATTTTAGAAGTTTTAAAGTAAAAATATAATAAATATTTAGAGATATTAATACTAAAAGAATAGCTATATATAAGCTATTAGCTCTTATCTAAATAAGCTTTATAATTTACTATACTATAGAGTTCTAATATTATAAAAATAAGACTAGATAGAATACTATAGCGCTACTTAAGATCTTATAGTAAGAATTAAAATATTACTTTAAAGAAAAACTAGTATACTAAGAATAAGTTTACTATAATATAGTAACTATAATTAAAGAGGTAGTTAAACTAAATAACTATCTTTATAAGTTTTATAAAAAACGTAGAAAGTTTAATAATTACTATAAGAGATACTATAAGTAATATAGTAATACTAAGTAATTAAATATAGCTTTTAAGAAAACCTTATAATAGAGATAGCTCTTTAATAAGAAAAGATAATAATATTAAAAGAAAGAACTTTATTATAAGTATAGATAATCTAGTTATCTAGCTAGCTTCTACTATAAGAAAAGCTATAAAAGTCTAAGAAAATAGTTTAATACTATATACTAGTTAGTAATAATATACTATATAGCTCGAACTATACTAATATTAGTATAATTTAGTACTAATATTTTATCTTCTTATATAGAAACTTAAGATAATATATAACTACTAGTAACCTAGAAATATTATCTAGAGAATAGCTACTACTCTATAATTAACTTTAAGAACTATAACTTATTATATTCTAAATAAAGAGAGGTTAAACTAAAATAAAAAGAGTACTAGTACTTTAATAAGGTTACTAAAGAGAAGAATCTTTAAAAGATAAAATATAGCTACTACTTTATAGAAACTAATTAGACTATTAAGAAAAGTATTATAAGCGATATTATTCTTAGTATTATAATACTTCTAAAACTAAAAGTCTTAGAATTAAATAAGGTTATAGAAATTAAGTAGTTTCTAGAACTATTATTTAGTAGTTTAATTTAGTTAATATTAGTTATAATTAAATTAGTAGATAGACTCTAGTTTTAGACTCTATTATATAATTAGAGAAGTTTATTAGTTTAACTAGTAAACTTATAAAACTAAGAAAAGGTTTACTAGTTTAACTAGCGAACTAGTAAACTTAAAGAAAGAGAATTTCTATATAATAATTATAATTTTCTTAGATAAAAGCTTTATACTTAACTTACTATAGTAATAGTATATTATTTATTTAACTTACTCTTATTATAATAAATAGACCTTTAAGTCTATAAGTAATACTTTATCTTTCTACTTACTATATACTAACCTTATAATACCTTAGTTTACTATTAAGTAAAGAACTAAATTATTATACTTTAAGTATTTATTCTAAGTAGTATTATAAATTATTAATATAGTCTCTCTAACTAAAGAAACTATTAGTCTAACTACTAGTTATATTAACCTTACTCTAATAACTAGTCTACTAGAGAAGACTAGAAAGAGAAAGTAACTAATTTAAGATAATAATAATAAGAGAGATAATATTAGTATACCTAATACTTTACCTCTAGTTATAGTTGAAAATACTATTAAGAATAATAAAACTCTTAAAGTTACTCTTTTAAATAAGTTTAATAGTAAGTAAAGTAAGCTTAAAACCTTTCTTTACTAGGTTAAGGTTTACCTTAGAGTTAATAAAGATAAGTTTAAGTTATCTACTAAATAGAGTATATATATAGCCTTATACTTAAGAGAGAAAGTCTAGAAGTAGGTTTAACTATTTTTAAAAGACTTTTTTATATATTAAACTACTTAAAAATAAATAGTAATAATCTAAAGAATCTTTAGAGAAATAAATAGATTTAAAGTAGAAATCTACTATATATTTAGTAATATAGATACTAGATAAACTATAGAAAGAAAGCTTCTAGCTCTCTATTAGATAAGATCTACTATTATCTATATAACTATATTCTAAAGATATAGATATTATAAGTAGTATCGGCCTTAGTATTATAATACTTCTAAGACTAAAGGTCCTAGAATTAGGTAAGATTATAGAAATTAAGTAATTTCTAGAACTACTATCTAGTAGTTTAATTTAGTTAATATTAGCTATATCTAGGTTAGTAGATAGGCCTCGGTTTAGAGTACTATTACGTAATAATAAAAGTTTAATAAGTTCGCTAGATAAACCTATTAAACTAGCTAGAAGTTTAATAAGTTTAACTAATAAACCTATTAAACTTAAGAAAAGAAAGTTTTATATAATAACTATAATTTCTTTAAATAGAAGCTTTATACTTAACTTATTATAGTAATAGTATATTATCTATTTAACGTACTTTTATTATAATAAATAGATCTCTAAATCTATAAGTAATAATTTTACGCCTACTTCTTAATATACTAACCTTATAATAACTCTAGTCTACTCTAAGTAAAACTAAATTATTATACTTTAAGTATCTATTCTTAGTAAGTACTAGATTATTAATAATAGCTCTAAACGTTACTAGTCTAGCTAAAAGTATTATAAGAACTCTAGTACTACTACTACTAACTCTAATAGTAATTAAAGTAAAGAAGAGTCTATAAATCTCTCTACTAAATAAGTATAATAGAACGCTAGCTAACCTAGAATAGTTTATTATAAAGGCTTAGCTCTATATAGGTTTCTATAGAGATAAGTTTAAAAATAAAATAGATAAGGTTTTATTTCTAATCTTATACTTTAAGAGAAGAGTTTATAACTAGATTAAACCTTATATTAGTAATTACTAGAAGAATAAGACTTAAGCGAGCTTAGTATCTATAGTTTACTTCTAGTTTATTAAAGATTATTTTAAAATACTAAAAGACTTTATAGCTAAAATAAGAAGAGCTTTTAGAGATATTAATATTAAGAAGAAATTAGAGTTAGTTTTACTTAAGCTTATCTAGACTAGATTAGCTATCTATTATAACGTTAATTTCTAATAAACCTTAGCTCGATTAGAACTAGATAATAAGGCCTTAAGAATATTATTCTATAGAGAGTTAAAGAAATTTATTAAAGATAAATTATTATATATAGACTCTCTTAAGACTCTTTATAAGCTAAGTAAAGCCGCTATTAAGATTAATAACTAAGTATATAAGCGCTATATTAAAAAGAAAGAAGTATATTCTTACTATATATAACTAGTAAAGAACTACTATAATAATCTAATAGAACTTAATATAATTAGTAGAAGAGAACTTAATACCTTAAAGAAAAATAGAAAGAAGCTTTCTAAAGAAGAGAAAATATATTAAAGAAAAAAGAGACTTTACTTTAAATATAGAAAAGAGAGTTATATAGCTAGTTTCTATTATAAGAAAAAACTATAGAAAGGTTAGAAAAAATAGTTTAGCTCTACTAGATAACTAGCTATATTAAGTAAGACTACTCTACTAATAGGTAACTAGAGTAAGTAAGAAACTACTAAACTTAGTTCTACTATCTAGAAAGAATTTATAATATCTCTAATAAATAAAGAATACTAAGTAGAAGATTCTTTATACTAAATAGACTTAAAACCTAATAGCTCTTCGGTATACTAATTCGAAGAAGTAATACTAAAATCTAGAGAATTTTAGTACTTCTAGAGAACTATAGAAGAGAGAATTATCTAGAAAGCTAATAATAGTTAAAAGTTTACTAGCTAAGAAATATAAGAAGAGAAACCTATAACTAATATATATTATAAAGTATTCTTTATAGATATAAAAAGAGTTATATTCTAGTAGAAATATACTTAAAAGATAACTATTAAGCTACTTAAACTACTTAGATAGTTACTTTACTTAAATAATCTTCTTAAACTAAAAGATATATAGAAAATTATTAGTAAAGCTCTAGAGAAATATATCTAGAAATAGATCTTCTTTATTAAAGAATAAATAGATAAGTTTACTTAGTAGAAGGCTCTAATCTCTAATACTTATACTCTACGCCTTAGTATACTATACTAACTATAAGAATAAGTAATTTAATACTATATATAGACT